AATGAAAAAAACTTTTCCCCTGGGTTTGAAGTAGTGAATTAGCGAATAAAATATATGAAATCTATAAAATATATAGAACACACTGTAAAGTGAATTGATTGTATATTTGTGGGCAGTTGGATAGCATTCACTAAAAANCGATTGAAGGGAGCTCTTCATATCTCTTTCTACAGTGCATTTGCAGTAAGGAACAGCTGCCTGTCCTGTTAGGATTAGTGCAGACCAGTCACGGGGGGCAGGGATTCAGTCCCCTTAGTTCCTGTTAACCTGCAAGCCAAAGCCGTAACAGGTTGGGTGGCCCTAGCCGGACAAGCAATAGGAAAGCTTGCCTGACAGCAATATCAATAGCAAGCTATGCAGTTTTAGTTGGTTAGACGCTAGCAATGTCCCAGGGCACACTCGGGGCTGCAGACCTGGATTGGGATCATTTGATCAACAGTTTACTGGTGGCTTGAGGGGCAGAACTACAACCAGTAGCAACATAGAGTGTGCCCTGGGGTATTGCTGGAATCTAAGCAGCTAAAACCGCATAGCTTGCCATTGTTATTGCTGGTCTGGCAAGTCTTGGCTCTTGCCAACCTGCACCTATTACTTTCCAGAATTAAGTAAGAAGGATCCATCCCTCCAGCGAGAGAGTGTGCATTCTATTCCAACAATCTACCTCTGGGATTTCCATGTGTAGGTACCAAATTCTTTGCTTGGTTTGGATGCTCTTAAGCGTGGTGATGGGTTTCCGCATGCGCCAGACATCCAGCTAACCAAAAAAAGGATTAGCATCATTTTATGTATTCATTTTCTAATGGAATCTTGTGTGCATTATTTCTCCGGTGCCTTAACGAATAGCTGAGCCGCACAGACTCTCACAATCTCTTGCTGGATCCCTGCTCTGTGCTGAGTTAGTTGATCTCAGCCAGGATGCCCTTAAACTGCTGCAATTGTCAAGATTCCGGGGCTTGGGAGGGGCAGATATTAGCTAAGGTTCACTTTCTTGATCACTAATCCTGCTTTGAGATGCATGTATTTGTTAATAATAATAATCCTTGCATTTGATATAGCGCTTTTCACGTCGGGAGGACATCCCAAAGCGCTTCACAGAATACACTGTAAAGTGAATTGACTGTATATATGTGGGCGAACGCAGCAGCCAATTGCGCACAGCAATGTCCCACAAACAGTCGTAGATTGAAAATGACCAATTTATTATTGTTTTTAGTTTTGGAGGGATTATTATTAGGCTCTGTGTGGAGTAAGGAAACTTGCCCAAGGTTTCGCCCTCTGCCTGGAATTGAACTCAGGTCTCTCACTTGCAAAGCGAGTGCTCTAACCACTGAGCCACAGGACTCCACGACAAGGACTTAAGGACAAGATGTGTGTCAGCTTGGCTCAGGTGGAAGTACTCTCATCTCTGAGTTAGAAGGTTGTGGATTCAAGCCTCTTATTGGGACCTGGATGCACAGAATCTAAGCTGTCCATCCAATGCAGCGGTGGAGGTGTGTTGCATTGTTGAAGGTGCCGTCTTTCAGATGACATTTCCGTCTATCTGTTCAGGTGGATATTAAAGAGCCCATGGCACTACTCAAAAAGAGAAGGGAGTTTCTTCTGGTTTCCTGGTAAACAATTCCCCCAAACAAAATTGATCGTTTCATGGCTGCTTGTGGGACATTTCTGTATGAAATTGAGATGCTGCATTCACCTACAAATACAGTCATTCCACTTCACAATAAATCCTGTGAGGCACGTTGAGATGTTCTCCCAATGTGAAAGGTGCTATACCAATTGCAAGGATTATTATTATTATTGACACTTACCATCAAGACTCACACTTGAATATAAGCCACTTTTGTTTAAGTGGCAGGAGGTGCCCGGGGCAGTGGAACCATAACCTAGTGAAAAGAAAAGGGAATCAAACACTTTCAGGAGAGGAATGGAGGGGGAAAATTGGTATAGAAAATTGCTGATGAAAAACCACTGTTGTGTAAAGTTGACTTTTCTAAGAGGCTTTTGTTTTCAAAAGATTAGTGGCGATTTATTTCAAGTTAGAATTTACATCAGCGATTAAGAACATTCTGACAGAAATGGAATCTACTTAAAATTACTCGCTGCAAATCACAATTAATTTCTACTTTTCCATTATTAGGTTAATTCTCTTGCTCTGTGTGTTGCCAGGATTTCAGGGGATGAAATTCAATAGTGAGTTTCTGGAAACTCACATGTGGTGCTAAAAATGACCTCAGACCCACATAACTTTCAGCAAGGGCCTCACACAGGCACTGAGCAAAGTGAGAATGTTATGTATTAGCTTTCCTAAACCCAGCAATCTCAGTGATAAAGCGGCACTAATAACTACCATACTTTCTGCAAGTTTATTTCCTGGTTTGACAATCATCAAGCCTTTTGTTCAAAAAAATCTCATGGGAATTGAAACCAATTAGAAAAGGAAAATATTAAAACAATGGAATTAATTCCTAGAGGGAATAGGCTAAAAGATGTTTGGTGTCTGTCACAATATTTGGTAATTTGAACAGAAGCAGAACTCTATCTACCTCCCGACCGACCGACCAACCAACCATCTATCTTTCTTCCCTTCGAAAATCTCAGTTGACTGTGATTATGAACTTCTGAAACAGTCCAATAGATACATTATATTATCTAATTCGGCGCCTTGGGACATCCTCCAGATGTTGAAAGGCACTTTACAAATATAATTATGTTGTTATTGTTGGTGTATATTCATAGTAGAAATGCACAATCCACAGATAGACAAGATGTAATTTATGCCCAAACATAAACAACACTGATTTTATGCTCAAATCATATGTTAATCAGCACATTGGTTGTAGTATTGGTATTTTTTCAAGTCTGAAAAAATCACAGTGACAACAATATCATTGTATGTGAAGACAATGACATTTGAAGCACTTTGAGATGTTTGAGGCAATGCAAGGATTATTATTGTTATTACTATAAAAGAATTAAGAGCTCAGCAGTATAGCAATCAGTAATAGGCTCTCACAGTCCTCGAAGAAATTTCAGGAGTACTCTTAATGGTCATTGTCTTCATCTGTGTTAGACCAGAAAATTAAAGGAATAATATATGACAGAGAGTGAATAAAATGCTGTAATTTATCCTCGAGGTTCAAACTTCTGAACCCGTAGATTAAACTGCGGTCTCAGTGCTTACACCCAACTCCCCATAATTGTGGATATTTCGTAGGCAATTTGTTGGCAGCTCATCATCTGTTTCTGCTCTAATAAATCCCTCATACCATTTCATCCTTTGTGCTAAATACTTATAGTGTGTGTGACTGGAAACTAATTGGCACCCCACTTACTTAAGTAAACAGTTTGTCATATAAAGAAGCTGCTTATTAACTTTCCCCAAATAGCCAAAGGTGACTGTGAATTCCCACTGAAAGCAATGGCAATACCTAATAACGTTCTCCAGAGAGTTGAATTGCTGAAGTTTATGGGAATGCTGAAGGAATCAGTGTACCGATACATAACCGAAGGATGAAAGCCTTGGGCCCTAGTTAAACATACTTCAGAAATATATTTCTCAGTCAGGCCATTGAATATCAGCATGATGTATATAAATCAGATAGAGAAACACATCATCAATGAGCCCACAGAACTACCTGTCTTTTGGACAGCATGCATTTCTGGCCTTATTTTTCTCTCCATCACAACCATTCCTGTACAGCATTATTCTATTCACTGTTTAATTAATACTGCAATGGCCATTGCTAATCTGTTGTTCTCTCAAGCAACAAATAAAATGTTCTGCATACTTTTTCTTCTCCATTATATTTAAATCCAGAATAATTGATCTCAAATGTTAATCATTATTTTCCCAAATCTCAAAACTGGATCATCTTACTTCCCTCAGACTTTCTCCATCCTACAACCTCTCAGACTTTCTTCCTCTTACAATCTAAAGTTTTTGTTTAACAACACCAACAATTTGCACTTATATAGCCCCCTTCACTCAGGTTAGTGTCCCTTTTCCTGGATCACACGTGAAGAATGATCACAAGAGCAATCTAGTGGATAATGGCCAGTGTCCATGAAACTTTATCCCAGCCTGAATCGACATCTCCAGGGGAGAAACAAAGAAACAGTGAAAAAAGAATTAAAAACTGAGAGAGCTGGGAACACTCAGCAGGTCAGACAGCATCTATGGAGAAAGGAAAGTGAGTCAACGTTTCGGGTCCACGACCCTTCGTCAGTTCTGACGAAGTTCTGACGAAGGGTCGTGGACCCGAAACATTGACTCACTTTCCTTTCTCCATAGATGCTGCCTGATCTGCTGAGTTTTCCCAGCTCTCTCTGTTTTTGTTTCAGATTTCCAGCATCTGCAGTATTTTGTGTTTTGTTAGTGAAAAAGGAAATGTGTTTAAGAGCGCAGAACAAAATAGAAGTGGTGGAAGGTGAATGTAAAATAAATGAGCTCTACGAGTATCTAATGACACAGATGAGAAAAAGCAAGATTTACATAAAATGGAGTATCATTTTGTACACATTTATCGTGCTAACTATTCACACATAAAAACGAGCATATGCCTTACTTTTCTTGCCTCTGTAAGATTAAACCAAACTAATTTATCCTCTCTAATTACTTTTCATAGCAGTAATTCCACTTCATGTTGTTTTGCCCTTATAAGGTGCACTTGTCACACATTAAATTGATGGTAACATATGCCTTGGGCTGCAGTGAATATTAATGGCAAACTGTTCTCAATTTTAAGAAGCCACAACAGAAGAGGCTTTAGCTGTGGTTTCCATATGAGTGAGCAGCAGGGAGCGCTGTATCAATCAATCCATTATTTTGTCTGTGAGGTAGAGTATGGAGCCCTCTGGCTTTGACCTACCTACCCCCAGGCAATTTATTTTAGCAAACCCACTTCAGGAATTTGAACAGAACCAACCAAAATTGCAGGCAGTCCTGACAACAGAAACTTCACCAAGTGCTCTGCAGAGACCATCAGACTGCAGCACTCACACCGTTTCTGCTAACATTTCTGCCCCAGCAGTCAGGGGGAGCAAGAGGCAGGAGCAGAAGCAGATCCTTCATTCAGTGCAGTGGTGTCCCGACCAGAAGCACAGTTTGAGTGTGTGTCAGACATATACAGAAGGTTTCTCCATTCTGGAAAAGTTCAGCTTGTGGCATGCACATGGAGTCACTTATAGTGAACCTAAACAGAAAGATGCTGTGGATATGTTTGCTGGCATTTGCAGATCTTGCTGTCAGTGGGAAAACACAGATAAACAGGTAACAATGCAGCTGAAGGAGAAACTAATGTGATTTTATGAATGAAAGAATTTTTTTCTTTACAAATAAATCTGGATTCTTTGATTCGAACCAGAAACTTATTTTTTTAAAGAATGTCAAAGTCTTGTAAAGTTGTTGAAAGAAAAACTTTCTGTGCACTGAAACATGAGCAGTTTTACAACATGAACTCCCTGGAGAAACTTTTCTTACCAATTAAGTTGATGTATAAAAGGAAGTGGTCTTTTTTTGATCAGTGCCCATGCACCTTAAGACTAGTTAAAGTTAACTCGAACAGCATGAAGTACTGTTGTAAAACAGAAAAGTTTCAGTCTTGTTTGGATCAAGAGAATGAAACTATAACCCTTTACACATTTGCACTGAATGAATGTATAAAGGTGGTAAATTGACAATATTTTACCATCTGTACTGCAAAGGCACCGATAAATACCAGTACTCAGATTTTTGTAAGAAAAGGATCAGCAGAAGTGTTATTTCATTAAGTTTAGTTAGTTTTGCTCTGTCTGGGTTGCATCTAACGTAAAATAGTGATCTTGTATTTTGTGTGCTAACAAGTGGATACGTCTGATGAGGTTTCAATCTGTTTCACTAACTGGATAGTGCATAGAATAGGCTAGGACGGGATAGTGTGTATAATAGTCTATAATATTAGCAATACTTGAATTTGACAGAGATCTCTTAAGTGCTTCACAAAATTTATTGTAAAGTGTAGTGACAAACGGCTATAAGTGGACTGTGCATACAACAGGCTGTAGAGTTGACGGTGCATGTATCAAGCAATGAATGGACAAAGCCTTTAACGAGCTATGAATGTTGTAATAGATTGTAATAGACACAAACTATGTCATGAACACCACATGTAACTAAATGAGGTATGAGTGGGCAGTGCGTATTAACAGACTATGAGTGGATATTGTGTATAATAGGCTATGTAGTGGACATTGCATGTATTAGGCTATGTACATGTAATAGGGACTATGTGGTGGACAGTGAGTGTAACACACTATTCACGAACAGTCATGTAATAGGCAATGAGAAGAACGTGCATGCAGTAAACTATGTAAGGGAGAGAACATTAACATCATTTTAAGGGGTTATTTTCACAGTTGTTCAAACTACAGTCTGCAAGGGAACCACTTTGTTGTGTAGTATTATACATGTATATGACAAGCAATGGAAATTTAAGATTAAGTTTATTATTATGATGATTAAAGTGTTGGTGGGGGTCTGGTGAGGGGAGAGAATATATTAAATACTGTTTGGATACAAGGGTGTTGCATGGAGAGGTGGCTCTTTTCTGGAGGATATTTTTGTGAAGTTCATGCATTTTTTTTGTAAGCACAGTTCATCTTGTTTTGTCCCTCTGCTCATCGAAACTAAAGCATGTGTTTCAAATCAGGTTTATATTTACAAATCTAGATAGGAAGTAATTAAATATGTGACCTCTAACACAAATATGTTTTAAAATGCTATGGCATAGGATTAACTATTTGTGGTTGTAAATTTTATAATTAAAGTTGAGTTATTTACCAAACGTTGTGATTCTAGCTGTGCTGGAATTCTTTTTAGTATTTAAAGGAGTCAATTATTGTAAGATGCAGTTTGTGCTTCCATACACTCCTCATAATAGGGACTTATGAGGTGCTAGTGAACTATTGCTTTAGGAGCTGGAGTATAAAGCTAATGAAGTAAAAAATGTGATGTTTTTATAACCCATTCGTTGTGATAATTATCAAACCTTTACAATTTCAGTCAATAATTCTGGATAAAGAAGGACTTTTGGTCCATCTGATCTCACCCTCATCACTGCATCAACCTTCTTTTACATGAGTCTAGTGTCCTAGTTTTGATCACCTTTCCTGGCAACCTGTTCCAGTCATTGATTACCCTCTGGTAAAGAAAAGCTTTCTGGTGTCGGTCCTTTACAACTCAGCCTATGTTCTCCTGTGTTGATATAATAATAATAAAACCCTAAAATATTGATCTAGGTTTACTTTATCAATCCCATTTAAAATTTTGTACACCTCTGACTGAAGAGGCTATTGTGTCCAGTCATTGAGCATTGCTCATGCTCTAACACTGGCATACTCATTGCTTTCCTCTGCACTGCCTCTAGGGCCTGGGCTCAAGTCGTGGTGACCTGAACTGTATGAGTCTGGATCCCCGCCATCTTTGTTCCAATCTCCCCCATTGTTTGGAAACATGGAAAACGACATTTGAGTGTTGCTTCATGGGCTACATTGCTGGCTGACCGAAATCCGAGTGAGATCAGTAATGTGTGAAGCAGCACTGAAGTGGTGTGCTCTGAAACAACAATGGAAGCACGAAGATATTCAGCTCCAACCATTGTACTGAAGCCAGAAAAGGGGGGCGTCTGCTGGCTAACATTTGTTCATTTGTTGTATATTATTTTATTTTGATGCTTATACTGTACCTTGGGATGTCCTCCTGATGTGAAAGGCCTATACAAATGTAATTTGCTGTTGCTGAAAATAGTGGGGTAGTATGCATGACCTAAATGCTCTATGAATATCAGATTTATTTTTGCCAATACTTATCCCCTCTTCTCCCCTCCTCTTTCTTAAAGGATCTTGTCTTTGCTGGGATTATGATTCCACAGGTGCCAGCAGCTCTCTAGAACCTGCTACAAGTGGCCGTTCTGCATGCTTGAGGCCAGATAGAGTCCTGGCAGACTGCCTAAACACATCATCACAGCTGAGCTCGATGCTGTGCCCACCCAAGGCCCCAAATTCCACCTCGTCTGCAACCTTCCAAATTCCACCTTAGTCTTCGGCTGCAAGAACATTTTATCTTTAATGTCTAATGTGATGCAGAATTGTAGAAAATTCTTCATCCATCACTTGGAAATTGGTTCTTCTTAAAAACTGCAGGAAACCGGCTTCCAAATTCAGAGTGAATTTAAGATTTTGCCACAATTTCACACCATTTTAAGTTTAAAGATAAAATGTTCTTGTAGGCTAAGACTAGGTGGAATGTCAAGCCGCCAGCACCCACACATGACACTTTTCAGGAAAGGGATCACAGAAAGGCACTCAGAAGAGTCAATCTTTTGGCTTAAGAGCATGGATTTTGTCCATCTTTGACAGATCATTCCCAGGAAACCAACTCTGAAAAAGCATATTAAACAATAACACAAACTGAGCATAGAATTTAAATTTACAAAATAAAATTGCTTGCGACAGGCTAAGGAATCCTTTAAGGAGTACTGCAAATTTTACCCCACTGTTTTGGATTTTTTTTATTTTAAATAAGTTTAAATAACTGAGATATAACAAAAAGATCACCAGTCCTACATTTTGCAATACAGTACTTACGCAGAGTTAGGGTTGCATAAGTAAGTTAGTTCCTTATTTAACAAGTCACACAATACAATACATGTATATAATGTGCCATTTATTGAACTACATTTTCAATACAATGTCTTAGCAATCAGCCCCACTGTTACAGGCACAGTGACATACCACAAGTTAGGCTAGAAAGCTAGACAATGGGCAATTTAAAGAGCAGAAGACATTCTGCCACATGGGCATGAGTGTTAAACATTTCGCTGCTATTTCTCTCACTCATTAACGAATCATTTGAATGTGAATATCATTGAGATATCCACTGAGCAAATTAATGCCACATCTGTCCCTTCCCTGCCCTCGCTCAGTGTTCAATCCAAACCCTGTAAATTGCTTTGAGATGTTGCTGTACGTGAAGGCTGCTATATAAATGCAAGTTGTTGTTTATACCAGCACATAGGATAGTGGTTTGTAGTGGGTGGGGGTGGAAGGGGGGAGATGTCATCTTTACTGTACAAGTTTTTGAAGGTTATGAGAATAAAAAGTGATAGCTTCTTTGGTGTAATAGGACATATTTATTTTAAACACAGTTTTCGAGATCGAAGACAGACGGGGATCCAGCCTGGAGTGTGTCGTTATGGATCAAGGCTTGAATGCTGTTATGGCTGGAAAAGGAATGCCAAGGGACAATGTGAAGGTACAAGAACTGCACAGCTCCCGTCTGAAACCTGATTCAGTGAAAACTGTGGCTTGAACTTTACCTGATAATACTGATGTGTGAATGTTATTGGTAGTCAGCTCATTAGCCAGTGGGAACATAAGTGCAGAAGTGCAGAGGTTTTAAAAACAGAGATGAAGACTGCAGTTTAAATTAACTAAACAGACTAAAGTGGGACATTGCGGTGTGCAGATTGGCTGCTGGGTTTGCCCACAAAATATAGTCACTACACTCTACAGTAAAATTCTTAAGCGTTTTGAGACCTCCCCCCAACATTAAAGATGCTATATCAAATGTAAAGACTATTAATTATTTTATTAAAGGTTTTACTGGTTTTGCCTTTAAATATTGTAGTTCCCATGTTTCTGTTGTCTGTAAAGCCAGCACAAGAATAGATGGAAAATTGTTTCAACAGCCCATGAATATTTCTACATTTAAAATTGAAGCAGCATGTTTCTGAGCCCTAAAAGTGACAAATAACAGTTAGCAAAAACAATGTAGTAAACAGCACTTAAGGCTCTTAATTGGCATTCAGGGAAAAGTAGTCTCACAATGGCTTCTGCAGAACAATAACTCTAGTCTAATGTAGCTGATTCAAAACCAATTCTTAAATGTTAAATTATAATTTTAATCCTTCCTGAGATATTGTGTGTCAGTCTGGCTCAGTTGGGAGCTCTCTCGGCTCTGAGTCAGTAGATTGTGAGTTCAAACCCCATGTTGGAATTTAAAACTCCACTTGCCCACTTTAAAACTCCACTAAGCAGACACTCCAATGCAGTACTGGGGATATGCTGCATTGTTGGAGGTGCTGTCATTCGGATGAGATATTAAACCAAGGCCTCAACTGTTTGTTCACTTGGATGTTAAAGATTCCATGTTACGATTCAAAAAGAGAAGGGAGTTTCTCCCAGTGACCTGGCCAACATACTCTAAATAAAATTGGTCATTCATTTCATAGCTGTTTGTTGGGACTTTGCTGAGCACAAATTGACTACCACCTACACCTACAAAACACACAGTCACTTAATTTTACAGTATATCATGTGAAGTGTTTTGAGATATCCTCACAAAGTGAAAGTTACAATGCCAAATGTAAGGATTATTATTATGTTTATCCATTGAACCACCTTCAAGGATTTCGACAGATCAACATATTTCTGCCCTTAAAATGAACTGCTATCCAACACCAGTTAGCAGGGACAAAAGGCAAAGTACTGCAGATGCTGGAAATGTTTTCACAGAAGTCACTGGGAAAACACAGCAGGTCAGGCAGCGTCTATGGAGAGAGGAAAATGAGTTAACGTTTCAGGTCAATGACCTTTCGTCAGAACTCGTCAGAACCAGTTAGCAGGGCTCTGATTCAAAGTTTGGATATAATATCCAGCTCGGACGCCCAGCCAGCTGTATCAAAGCTTTGGGGCATCCTCCTGACGTGAAAGACACCATATAAATATAAATTTGTATTGTACTGTAAATAGATGGTTTAAAATTACCCTGCTGCATCCAATTAATGCCTTTACCAGAAGAGGCTCCTGCAGTCAACATGGGATGGCTAATAAAATTCTCTTTAGTGTCCGAAATCCTTTTGAGGCTATGCTCGAAAGAACTTTGGACAAAGGAAAGGAGAAGAGCAGAGGGTATCCCCAAAAGAGGTTGAGATTTCATTGCAAAAAACAATTGAGAATGTTTCTGTTTCAATATTTCTATTGGCCCTTCCGAGGCTGGCCTCCACTGTTTTTTCTCTCTCATTTTCTCTCTAAATCTTTTTAACATTCTCTCTCTGTCTCTATTACTTTCTTGATCTCTATGTCCAGTCTTTTTTCGGACTCTAGCTCTGCACTGTACAAAAGTATTGTCCTCTGAACACAACCTCATGCTACCTGCAAACACAATCCAATTGTGTGCATGCAGAAGAGATTACTAAAGCCATGATATAACTGCAACTGCAACTGCAACATATCTGCAGCCTAACTGGTGGTTCTGATTCAGATTACTTTTTTTTGAATGTTTCTGCCTTCACAACAATAACTACAAAAGGGCTATGGTAGAGCTCAATTCTGTAGTATTTTAAGGGACATTCTTATATGTATGCATGCATGTACGTCAAACTGATGCTTAAATGTTTCAAACTCTGGGCAGATTAGCACACTATGTTTATTGCGCTCAAATATTGCAGTACAGTTATGTAGTGGTGGTCAAATACTTATGCAGAATTTAAAACAAGTAAAGGATCCCACACTGTGCAATGTGAATGGGTAGTACCACTCACTCCACCCACAGATTCTGATCTCAGTGCAGAGACAGTTTGTAGGGACAATATGGGTCCCTTGTTACTGAGATGCAAAACCCTAGAGATCACAAGATGATCAGCAGCATCTGATTGTAAAGCTGCATTGTCATCTCTATCGAGAGAAGTCAGCCAGGATCAACAATTAGCATGGGATAGGTTGTGTGTATCTGAAATGGCAATTCCTTCAGCGTCACCACCAATTCATTTTAACAATAATAATAATCCTTGTACAAAACAATACAAATTTGTATTGTATTCTATAAGGATTATTATTTTTTACCTAGTAGTGAAACAGAAGAAACATAACCATTTCGGAAACACATAACCTATCCCGTGCTACATGTTGAATCTGGTTAACTTCTCGCTATAGCAGGTTTCATGTCAGGAGTGTTTCTAAAGTGTTTCACAGGATATACTGTAAAGTGGTGTGGCTGTGTATATTCTGTGGGCAAATGCAGCAAAATTTGTATTTGAATCAATATAAACAATTTGCGGGTGAGGAGTGTTAAAAGCTGCAGCAACCGGTGCCAAGAGTTTATATTGACTTAATGTGGCATTCTCAAGTCAAACAATATTATACAAAGCACTATACCAAGAAGGTAAACCCAATTGGAGATTGGCAGTAAAACCACCTAGAAGATGTCCTTTTGCCAGGAATTCTGAATATTGGCTGTAGTGTAGTGAAGAGTGATACATAAATGCAAATTGATGTTGTAATACTTAAGTAGCTGGTGCAAAGTCCCCCAATAATAGATTCAGCAACTCATAACTCATTCAATTCATAATAATTGACGATTGCGGATCTCGATAGCTCCTAAAGATCATTAAAAATCACATTAAAAATCTCAAAGAGCAATGAGCAATATGTGAAGCCCAATTTACCACCAATGGAAGAAAGCACCATCATCATAGCTCCCCGCTGCACCAAACTCCAGTGTAAAAAAAAAGTGTCTCTGAGCTGCAAGTGAATGCTTGGCATATTCATCAAATATCTTCATATATATATTATAAGAAAAGCAATAGAGATTAAGCCCCAAATCAGAAGGCAGTCTGAATCCTAAATAATTACATTTTTTTATTGTGGTTGCATGAATTAATTTATTGCATTAGTTTCTCCTACAATACCGGTGTGAAATAAAAAAGCAATATTCCTTCTTCAATTGCCTTGAGTAAAATGCTGGACTGAGTAAAATACCCTTCAACTTTTTGTGCTCTCCTACGTGATACATAAACTGCTACAGGCTGCCAGACAGAAGACTGTAGCCAGCTAATAATAGTAATTGCAAAACCTCGTGGGGAGATTTGTTCTTCAAATCTGGTTGTTATTCTTGACTCATCAGCCTGAGAGCGACTTGTAAGAACCTGTCTGTGCAAAGACATTACAGGAAGCACGCACACCTGCTTTATCAATGGTTTGCAATAACCTTATTATGTGTCGGATGAAAGCTACTATAGGTCGTAATTTTGTACTTTACTGTGTCTAGAACTATTCCCTCGCTAACTCAGATATAAGTTTTGGTTGGGTTAGAGACCATACTTGGCTTCACTGCCAATAAGCAAACTAGTGCGGTCAGCAGCTGTATGTCTGGCCCATACTGTCTGAATGTTTTACCTTGTATCACACCAAACCGCAAATCAAATATCTATCTCGAGCCAGGTACACATGAATTGTTTTAACTTAGTGGTTGTATGGCATCTGAAAACTTTGGTGTGCTCTTATTTCTTGAATATAATGTAATTTATCTTTATTAACAACTGAAAGGTAAAAATGAGGCACGCTGATACCCTCTTTAAATGAATGTGCTGCTCTGAGGGAGATATCAGGTTGAACATCGCTGCATGGCCAAGGCTTCTGTTCAGCACATGGATTTGTAATTAAAGTTCTGCAACTGGCAGAAATAAATATAGTTTTAGAGACGTGCAGGAAATGAGGCCACCTGTAGATACACTTCCTTCCCCATCCCAGGGAGGGGTGATGTGAGCCACAGGCTTCTTAACAAGTGCTGTCAGTATCTTTGGCTTTTAATCACTGCTGCCACTGTGGTCGAATTTGTTCCTTTTTTTATTCTAAATAATAATGCTTAAATTTGGAATAGCGCCTTTCACATCAGGAGGACATCCCAAAGCGCTTTGTTAGAATATACGATGCAGAATTCTTTAATCAGAATCTGAATTGCTTAAACGAGAACTTCTTCAATAACAGATAACAGCATGAGGCACATCTCACACTGCTAACTCTGCTATGATAAAATGCACATATTATACGATAATATAAACAGATTTTCTTATTAAGGATTCCCATTACGAAATACTGAAAATGAGACTCCAATATAACTGGGTCTCAACTACTGCTATTAATGTTACTTTTCTTTCCTCTTCTCCACCCTGAGATAGAACATTCAGAAGGACCATTTAATTCAGTTTTTATTCAATATAAAAAGCAGTTTTTTTAGGGTTTATTTTTTCTGTTTTTCTGCTATAAGGGCCACCAGCTATTTTGAAACCTTGCTCAACTAGCCATTCACTTATAAGCCTTCAAAGTGAATGTTACCTGGTTATTTGCTCATGAGAGGCATCACAGCCTAGGCCAACAACATCCTTAATAAATGTTCACACCCACACTTTCCACCAAGAGTTACTAGATTGTGACCATGGGCAAGAACACTGTTTGTTTCCTCCCTGGTGTTGGTATTTTACAGAACATGCCTATTGTTAAGTTATTTATTTATTGTTATTTCCTATTGTGGAAACAGAAATTTCAGCATTCGAGGTTCCTCAGGTTCAAATAATTCTGAATTAAATCAACCTGCTAAATAAGAGCTGTTTTAATCACCAAAAAAAGTCTTGTCAAATGCTAGCCCAGTCATATATCTGTTACCATCTTCTTTTCCAGCTATCTGTGAACATGGATGTAAACATGGGGAATGTATCGGGTCAAATAAATGCAAATGTTATCCAGGATTTACTGGTAAAACCTGCAACCAAGGTAAGTGTTGATCTCAATACAGCAAAGGACCACTAAACTATGCTCTTCTGCACGTACAATTTACTGTGTGGCAATACAGAGTTCCAGTCGAGTTTGTAAGAACAGGACTCAAGTTCACGCTTCCAAGATAATGCAAGTATCTCACTAACTGGAGAGTTTGGAAATGTTTCAACATCCAAATCTTTATACAGAATTTCAGAAGAGGTCACATTATCACATTTCAGATTTCCCCCTCTATCAGCCTGTTACTCCAGAAAAGTAGGGTCAAAACTTATACATTATGAAGCCATAGCCTATTTTTAAGGACTTAGACTAATTTAAAGACTTTATATCCCGGAAATTGCTGCAGAAACCCCACAATAACTCCTATCAATCAAAAGTGTTGTGATACTCTCTAGCCTACTCCCAGTCTTTGGATGAGTCCCAAAAGACAGTCATTACCATTCTACCATTCCAATTAAATGAAGACAATTAACATAATAGGCACATGAAAATTAAACTTAAATGTACAGCTCAGATTCCCGCATCCTTCCCACATTCCTCCAACCTGTCTACCTATTGGTATTCACAAACATCAGTCTTAGTTCATCCTTTTCTCCATTGCTTCCATTGTTCCTCGCTCAATCATGCATCTTGCCAGTATGTTAAGTCAGAATGAATTCAGACTCTAAGGTACATTAGACGAAAGGCCAAATCAACGATTTTATCTTCCAAATACTTTCATCTTCTAAATACTTTCCTGATATAAGTGCTCATTACATTGTCAAAGTCGCTAGATTTCATGTCAAGAAGAACCTCTCACCCTTCATGTTTCAGCAGCTCTTTCATGTTTTGCTCATAATTGCTCAATTATTATTTAGCTAAAAAAAATCAAAACCTAGCAGGTAAAAACAAGTGACATAATTTATTCCCTGTTTTTCTTTTCTTTCAAACTGATGATTTGTTTTGGGCCTTTCCAGATTTTAATGAATGTGGACTGAAGCCAAGGCCCTGTGAGCACAGATGTATGAATACTCACGGCAGTTACAAGTGCTACTGTCTGAATGGTTACATGCTGATGCCAGATGGCACATGTGCTAGTGAGTAAAGTATCCCTGGAATGGTGTGATAATTGTGCTGTAGCACATGTTGGCTCTTGGGGTCATTACGTTTCATCCCCGAGTAATTTATAGTATTTCAACATGTTGCATGCATTTTAGTATTTATGCTAAATAGGATGCTTTTTATTTTACAATGAAGATTTTTTTTAAGCTCATCAGTTGCACATACACATACTCCATTTCCTTGCCCTGTAACATAATACTCGGTTTAGCTTTGAATAGAATATGATAGGATGTCAGTTGAATTTGGATATTAATGTAAAGGTGGACACACTTTCACAGTGTAGTGGTTCTCACTCTCCTCTGCTCTCCCCCCTTCCAACCCCCATCAGTATTCCTGTTACTCTAACTCCCAAAGGAAAATCTCTAACATGATCTTCCTATCAACTCTTTTCCTGGCATCCGATGGAGAAAAGAGTTGGGAGCCAGGATATCATAGTGGATTTAAGACTTGTGTAATTGTATAAACAAGTGCTCTGAGACGTTACCCTGCATGGAGGGCGTTATATAAGTGCAAGTTGTTGTTGTTATATGAGTATGTGGGAGAGACTGTATAGTCCATATAGAATATATGAGTGTTACTGTATAGAGAATAATGAACATGTGGTAAATGCAGAAAGTACTTCCACGATGACCACAGGAAGTCATGCAGTTTTTCCCACTCCCATTTTAATGTTGTCTCTGAGATTTTGGATCCAGAAAACTGCATTATCGGAGTTGTCATGAATGTATACTTTGTGGCAGAAATGAGTATTACAAGTGCAGTCTGATCATTGCCTTATGCAATACAATTATAACCTTCTAATTGTACACTTAATTGTTCTGACTGTGTAATCCAGCAATCACGTCAAGAAATTAGCAACCGTGCTTGTTCCTTTCATTTTATTAGATTTTCTGTCTTTGTTCACTTTTACATCGTTAAGATGGTAGTGTTTTTGTAAGAGTCATTCATATGTTGTTTGTAGATTCCAGATCTTGTGCCATGGCAAACTGTCAGTATGGTTGTGAGGATGTGAAAGGAGAAATTCGTTGCCTTTGTCCATCCTCTGGACTTCAGCTAGGGCCGGACAGAAAAACCTGCATAGGTCTGTGCATTTCTCTGTAATTCTACCTATCACAACAAATTTATCAGTAACCGTAGGAAATGTCTCTGTGTCTGACAGCTATTCAACTGTGGATAATCATGAACCACTTCCCCCAAAATTGCCAATAACGTCATCTCTTCAAAATGCCCGGCATCACACATCAACCTCAGAAGTGTTAACAGAACAGAATAAAATTACTATTTTTAAACTATAAACTATAAAACAATTAAAAGGTAGAAATCTCTTCTCAGGGTTCTTAGAATGACTGCAAACTGCTCCACCCTCTCTCGCTCATAGTTTATCACATAACTCCAGATATCTGTTAAACTCTATCTGTATAATCCCATTATGTAATCATCCTGGAATTTTTATTAATCTCTGTGTAATTGTTGATGTTCTCTGTGTAAACTTGGGTGTTTTATTTTGCAACAGATATTGATGAGTGCTCCAATGGCAAAGTTCTCTGCCCTGCACTGCGGAGGTGTGTGAACACATTTGGCAGTTACTTCTGCAAGTGTCAAAGCGGCTATGAGCTCAAGTACATCAATAGCAAATACGAGTGTATAGGTAGGGTTCATACAATACAATTTACATTTTTATTACCTGCTACGTCAGGAAGATGTCTCAAAGTGCTTAACACAGCTGACTTGGCACCTGCACTGTGGCAGTGGTGGTGGGGGGGGAGGGGGTGGTGATTGTGGGGGAAGAGATAACAAAAAGCCCGATGTTGACGCAAGTTTTAAAATGGAGAGGGAGCAAGTTGAAGGGACTCTGGAATGGAGTTGCTTAGAGTTGAGTTAGAATGGGTCAAACCTATCACCTTTCATCTCGCAATTTCAATCTTATCACCTTATGTGTTTATCACTCAGGGTATAGACCGAAACTAGGATCTGGTTTCGAGAACTTTGTGATTGATGCAAAATAAATATTTTTTCCAATAGGATCTTTTAACATGCTTCAATGTTGTTTGACAGATGTTGATGAGTGTACTACCAATATGCACACTTGTAGCATCCATGCAGATTGCCACAACACGCAGGGAGCCTTTAAATGTAAATGTAAGCCAGGATACAGAGGCAGTGGCTTTCAATGTTCTGGTAAGTGACACTGATTAATATTATTGCTACTGTAGAATTTTTAAACACCAGCCATACAGAAACAGCTAAGTACCTCAGAGTTTATCTAATCATGACTAAGCCACTGATAAACAGTGGCACCATAACAGCTCTTCCCGGGTCCTGTAAGTATTCTACACAGATACAATAATGATTAATTTCAGAACATTTCAGGGAGGAGGAAATAACACTGAACACTGTCATCATTTCCCTAATCTTACTGAACATGTTGGTTCTGACCACATGTAGTTAGCAATGGTTTGAAAATTACATAACTTTAAAATATTTAATTTAGCTAAATTATGCTAATTTCTTATGGATTTGACATAAAATGTGACTTTAGAACTCTTACCTAAAATAATTTGGTGCCTCTACTACAATAATTTGCATTATATAGCGCTCTTCTCACAGGGTAGCCTCTCAGAGCTTAAAAGATTCATTTTATAGATAGGGTTAATGCATGGATCCCATGTTCAATCTCTGGCTGATCTCAGCTAGGGTAAGAGTGGGCCTGGGAGCTACAGTTGCCCTCAATGATTTAGAGTAATAAAGGGGGAAAATAAGCCAAAATTCCAACTCCCGATTGCTATCCATTGCTGCTCCTCAAAGCGGGAGTGTGAATTGTCAGGTGAGGGTAGAAATTAGCTCAGTTTTTGATGGAACTCATGGTAGCACAGCTTGGTGAAATGGGTAGAAGGGGAAAATGAAAGGTGGTTTTAAGCCAGTACTTAACAACAGAGAGGGAGACAGACAGAGAGAAACGTTAGTAATGTAGAATTTGAAACCTTGGTCACCGATGGTGATGTGGAGAGGACGGGGGATGTACAGAAAGCCTGAGTTTGCTGATTGGATGGGGTGGTGGGGGGGAGGCAAACAGAGGGGTGGTATAGGAGAAGATCAGAGAGTTAGGGAGGGAGGGAAGTAAGATGTTAATTACTGAGGATACTAAGGTCTTCTAACTGCTTTGACATGCTGGGAAAGAATGAGTTAAAAAGTAGAAGTTTTTTTTCTAGACTGCTGAGACACGACAAACACTTGTGTGTTGGAATATAACTGAACTAAATGTTGTTTATTTTCACAGTTAAACCTTTCCTCCAAGGACCATTTGATGGAGAGTTGGGTAGCACTGACGACACCATTAATGGTGAGAAAACGACCAGTAGAACCTGTTGCCCCACAGTTTGCACAGTTGCTCAACCATTCTTCCAACTCCTCCTGCACCACAACCTAATTTGTGTTTGCTGCCCCTTTATGCATTTAATTATTGTCCCTGTTATACCCTGATTCATCCCTGGAAGCATGACCCTCTGCAGTGGAATGTCAGCTGTTTCTGTTTTTATCTTTATAAATTTTATCAAGTGCTGAATTGAATTGCACTGCAGTCATCAACATTTTCAATGAATCTCGGACAATATTTCATTTGAATATGCCTTGTACCTTGAGGTGTGCTTGGTTGCTCTGTTTCATTCTCCACAGGCGGAGACTGGTTTAGCTTAGTGTACTGGTGCATTCGTATAGAACAGGAGCAGAAAGCAGATATGCATTACCTTCTGAATTACAGTCTTGATGCGTCCCCACCCCACCTATTTGGTATTTATAACTGGTGAGGATTAACAGGAGAAGGCTGCATTTTGATTAGTCCCACTGTTCCGAGCCTGCCCATGGTTTATTCGTGGAGGCAAAGCTACTGATAGAAATGCTAATCCCTCGGCCCTCTGTTGGCTGGGATTGGGATAACAGTGGTCCCATCCTAAGGAGTTTAATCCGCTCTCAAAAAGAGGAAACTGGAATACAGAACTAACTTGAGCACTTGGTCACCCGGCTCATACTGGGCTTGCCTGGTTAGAGGTGATTTGGCCAATTGACTTGCTCATGAAGTCGTGTTGCAAGGCATTGGATCTGCACTGCCTTTTGATGGTTTAGGGCCCAGATTGGGGTTTGGGGAGTAAGACAATCCAAGTTCCCGGTGTGTGGAACGGGATTTGGTTTAATTCGGCCTAGCTGATTATCCACATTCATATCGCAGCTATGAATCTGGCTCAGTTGGATTTCTGCTGCTGTTAAATTTACTGTTGGCTCAACTAGATTGAAGGCGCAGTTCCATAAACAGTCATGAAGTGAATGATTAATTTTATTGGGGTTTGTTGGCCAAGACACTGGGTGAAATTCCCTTTTGTTTTTGAATAATGCCATGAGATCTTTAACGTGCAAACGGACAGGCAGACAAGACCTTTGTTGAACATCTCATCTAAAGGATGGTACCTCTAACAATATGGCACACTCCCATCTATTAAATGGAGAGTCAGCCTACATGAGTCAGCCAGGCTGACAGTGTCAATATCCATGGTTATATTGTATTTACACTTGACTGTATGCGCTATTTGAAAAAAATTAAAAAATAATTGCTTAATGGAATTCTTTTCCTCTCAGCTGTTCCTGAATTTCCCTACATTGAAGGGCCTGTAATTTTGGGAGGAAATAGAGATGAAATTAAAAAAATCCTGGCAAGCAGGAATAATGGAAGAGACAGTGAAGTGATAAAGAACGCCATCCCTCATCCAGTGCCCACGCCACCTTCTCGTGATCGTCTCCAACCATTTGACTATGAAGACGGTGTTTACATTGGGAACTATGATGAGAAAGAATACGAGGTGACTTTTGATGGCAGTGAAGAGGAGGATGAGAACTACATTGATTCAGAGGAGCTGAGTCCCAGGGGAGATGTGTTTGGTACGTCCAGTGTATTTTATGTGTCAAGAAAACGCAGTACAGTAGTCCAGCTCTGAGAGCCAGTGCAGGCTTGATGGGCCAAATGGCTTCTTCTGTGCTGTAGATTTCTATGATTCACTGATTCCCTTTAATATTACTGAATAGCCTGCATAGTAATGAATCTAGGGCACTGCTGATGATCATCCCATTTCATAAAATACAGAGTCAATTTAATTTGCAGTATATTCTGTGACGCTCTTTGAGACGTCTTGAAGATGTGATAAGGCGCTATATCAAATGCAAGAATTATTATTATTATCCCTTTAAAAGTGTGATCATAGTCCAATTAAATATTGAAAAATAGTTTTATTCGACAGACCTATTTCTATTCTATAATAAATCAGCATCATTTATTGTTACCAAAAATCATTCATTTTGCATTAGGTAATGAATATTTGCCGTTTACAAGTTTAAAGTCACTAGGGAAAATGTAAAACTAATACAGAGAACAAGAGGCTAAGCCAATATTCTCAGTGCAATGAAGGACACTGCTGTCCTCAGTGAATTACACAAGTTACACAAGCCAACTTGTGTAATCATTGCTCATTCCTCACTGCCTCTAGTGCCTGGGAAGCCCCCTTATGTCACAGTGACCAGAACTGTGAGCATTCCTCCAGGTGCAGTCTGACAAATGCACTGTACAACTTGAATATGATTTCTGGGGATCAGTTAAACTAAGCCGCTCTCAAATGTTGTGCTCCACGGGTTGCTGAGCCCGAAGGTAGCCCACAAGTCAACATTGGACTCAACCATTATGATGAAGTTGGGGGTTGGTCACGCCAATGGCTGCTAACTGGGTGGACTTTTCTATGATCTGATAATCATTGCCTGACATGTCACAATTTCCACCCCAGGTGTAAGTGTATATTAAAGAGAAATTTCCCTTTATTAAAAGGTTAACAGCTATTGCTGACAGCTGTTTGGTTCTTTTGCTGGAGCAGATTTTCAGGCTAAGGATTAACCAAAAGATCGTTTGACAGAGGAGTGTGTTCCAAATAATCACAATGCCAACATGTTTGAAGTAAAAACACAGTAACACAAATAACTGCCCTAGGGTAAGATCTTTATGATAGTAATTTTAACAATAGGCTGGAGATCAGATTCTCTCAAAACAGGAGGCTACAGGTTCTAGAATTCCAACTTTAATTGAGTTTGTTCCCAATGAGAAGCCTGAATACGGTGCGGATTACCCTGAAATAATGCCTCCAAATAGACCTATGTTAAGCAGTCTAATCTTGTGTATTCATAGGTCAGGGTTTTATTATGGGGACTGAGAACAGCTGGAGCAAAACCCTCCAATGGACATGTTGTAAAACACAATTTTTTTTCCACCCACCTTCCTACGGAAGAGCAAAAGTGGTTCACAATGCTGATGATAATCAGCAAACAAGCATCGCTGCATTTACGCACTGCAAATAGTTTAGGTTTGCAGATATAAATTAGAACATTGCATATATTTGGAGGCCATTTTGTGAGGCTCCACAGGAGGAATGGAATATTAAGAGCGATTCTTCCAATGTCCAGGTTTCGGGCTGTCGACCAGCGGTCAGTGCTTTTTACTGAACCAGAAACTCCAGAGTAATCTGCTATCCTGCTGATAAACAGTTGAATGCTGTGTTCCACAAGCCAAAAGTGAAATTCACGACCCAGACACATTAACCTCAGCATTGAGAATGGTGTCAAGGAAGGAGAGGGGGAGGGAAAGTCAAGCTCCCAAATATCAGGTTCCATTCAACATTATTGCATTATAAATTACTACCTTTACACCACATATAGGAATATAATAATAATAATCCTTGCATCTGATATAGCGCATTTCACGTCTTCTAGACATCTCAAAGCGCTTCACAGAATATACTGTAAAGTGAATTGACTGTATATTTGTGGGCGAAACATGGCAGCCAATTGAGCACAGCAGTGTCCCACAAACAGTCGTGCATTGCGTGACCAAATTATTATTATATTTATATTTTTTCTTGAGGGATTATTATCAGGCATGTGGAGTAAGGAAACTTGCCCAAGGTTTCACCCTGCCGAGAATCGAACCTAGGTCTCTCGCTTGCGAGGCGAGTGCTCTAACCACTGAGCTACAGGACTCCATATATCTGATTGGTCATGAAATATATCTGATTTAAGAAAAGGACAACTAGTTGGGAAGGCCATCCATAGAAGCAGTTTAACAAAAGCAGAGTACATGTATAGTTTTATATATACATATATATAGATAGTTATATATATATAATTGCTTATCCTTATGCATGAAGTGTTTTCAGTCTCCTTTTTCTCAAATCTTTTATATAATCTATCTCATGTTCACCTCAATTTAGTCAATTGCATGGTCCTTGGAGATTATCCTACTCAGGGTACCTTGAGAGACATAGTTGGAGCCCTTTCATTGTCACGATGCTGAGTCTGATCATGAAATGGGGTCGGGCTGCATATGGCAGGAATGGGAAAATGTCAAATGGAAGACTTAGCAATGGAGTACGCCATGGCAGACTCTCCGAGCCAAGCAGAGAGAGCTGTATTTGGGCTGTCATTATTGTAATTTAATTGGAGTAACTTAGGGGTTGTTCCTGATTTGGAAAATACCTGAGATAAGAAACTTGGTATGAAGGGCAATTGTGAACATGTCCTCTGCTCCAGCACACCCTTCATCCTGCAATTATATTTCTTGGAATACAACTGAAAGATGCTCATCACTTTTACATGACCAAACTGTACCCCAAATCACATTAATCCTTTACGATTTGTTTAGTTCGCAGGAAGAATGAAGCAACTGCTCTTGGTCCACTTCTGGTTAAGAAAGAAATTCCTGCAGCAGAAACATATACTGAAGGTAGCATTTATTTGCATTCAGCTGTTTGAAGCCTTAAACGCAGGTTACTTCAGTACAGCATCTGCCTGTTGTCTTCACTGATATGTTAAAGGGGAACCCCATCAGGATGTGAGTAATTGGGAACTGTTTTATGTTTACACACTCGGAATCCAGCAACATCACTTGAAACAGTGAATCATTAAAATACGTAGAATCATAGAATGTATGATACATTAGGAGGCCACTTGGTCAATTTGTTTGATCCTCTAAGAAGCCATTCATTTTAGTTCCAATTACCTGCTCTTTCACTATGTCCTCTAATACCATCCATCTGCACGTGCTTGTACAATAATTTTTTAAATACCATGTAAACCACATCACCAGGACCAGGAGAGAACCCCGAAATCCCATATACATTATCCCAACTCGTGAGACTATGGCTCTACCTCACTTATTTCTGTCCCATCTCTTTCCTCCACCCCACCCCACCCCCACCCCCCCATCAATAAAAGTTGCTTAACATTTCCCTCAAAGCAATGTTTCCTTTGGAGGCACTTTTCAATTTACTGGAGTAAAATTTGTAGTGTCAGCGTAAATTAATGGAGTTTCGCTTCACACTAAATCTGCTATAATACATTGAATAGCATTAGGTGATTGTCACACTCACTCAACCCCCACCCCCCCACCTCCAGCCCCCTCACCTGCTCCAATTTTTAAATTCTATCTCCTGCAATGCTTTGGACTTTTGAAGGCAGCATAAATTTGTTTTCGTTTAATAGTTGCTTTCTTGGCTGAATATTTAGACGACCAGTGAAATTTGCAGACTCTCTAGCCTAGAAGTGCTTATTTCAGAATCAAGATCGGGGCCTCAGGTGAAACATGGGTTAAAGAAGAGGGTAAGACAGGTTTGAAAGTGTGGAGGGAGGGATGGGTAGGGGCCAGAGTGGTTTTGCTTGACAGTTATTGCTAAATTATTGATTCAACTCATTGGTACCTCACCAGCTCTGCCACAGTGCTGTAGAATGGATCTAATCCAAAGAATTTAGTTTGAAGCTGTTCTACTTGGAGATGCACAAGGCAGTGAGACACATCCCACAGAAGAGAGAGGAAAAGCAAAATCAGCACCAGTCTACATGTACCAATACTGTTTGCTGTTGAAGCAGATCTTTTACCCATCTTTTTGGAGAGGAGGGGCAAGAATGAAGTATGACGTAGGGAGACTGTGGGGGAAGAAGAGAAATAACTTGTTCAATGTAATGTGGGCATTTCGCCCAGAAAATATGCAGTCAATTCACTTTACAGTATACTCTGTGAAGTAATTTGAGACATCTCGAAGACGTAATAAGGCATTATTATTATATTATTATATAATGTCAAAAGAAAAGGGAATACTTTCCGAGGTAATCACTCAAAGATTATAATTACAATCAGTCTCCTGAATCATAGTCTCTCTTCCCTTTAAATTAAGGTTTCCAAATTAATATATACTCTTTGTTTGTTGGTATTGTTAACTAGTAGGCTTTGTGTCTGTGTTTAGATGTTTTAGTGGACTGCAGCTTTAATCAAGGCGTCTGTGAATGGATTCAGGATACAGGAGATAACTTTGACTGGAATGTTGCAGACCGATCCAATGGTAATAATTTTTTCAACTAAGTTAAAACTTTACTGTATATCAACAAAAATCTATTATGTTTTCAAAATAATCTAGATGCGATAACAGTACACAAAATAACACGGTATAAATTTATTTATACAGCAGCTTTCATGCAGGAGGCCATCCCAAGACACTTATCAATTGTGACTTAGCACCCAAGCTGGGGTTGGGAGCCAAGGGGGATGGGGAAGAGAAAGATGCCCGAAAACGCAGTCAAACCAAACTATAGTTTGCAAGTGCCAGCAGGTCATTTTTTCTAAATATTTGAATTATATTTTAAATGATGAAATCACGGTGATTAAGCTAGAAAATGGCACAAGTTGACATTTTATTTTTGACATGAGATCACTTCCATTACGAAACATTTCCATTTTTAACTCAGTGACCATAAATTCAGCTGATCAAGTAGTTAGGAATCCTCTCAGTAAATTTTGGTTTCCAGACAAACAGCTGTTCTTATGAATACATTCAAGTGAAAGTGGGGTCAGATCTAGAAACCTGATTAAACTCTGATGTGATTCCTAATAATGGTGCTCTTCACTCACAAGGTGTTGGGCATTACATGGCTGTTCCTGCACTCCTTGGCCAAAATAATGGTGTTGGCCGCTTGAGACTACTGCTTGGTGATCTCGCTCCCAGGAAGAGCTTCTGTTTGATATTTCATTACCGTCTGGTTGGAGAGAGGGTTGGAAAGTTACGGGTACTTTTCAACAACCAGGATTCCTCAATCTGGGAAACGAGCAGGAACAACAAGGAGGGCTGGAAAGTTGGAAGAGTCACTATATCAGCCAAGAACAGTTCACAAGCTCAAAGAAATGTAAGTCAGCAAGTTGCTTTTAATCTGAACTGATAGCTGAACAAAGTAATGGGGTGAGCAAGCTGTGAGTAAGGCTTAGTGTACTGATGACACCCAATTCTGCCTCTCTGCGTCTACTGTCAATTTCAGACTGCCTGCCTGTCAGACATCATGTATCTGAATGAGCCTTATCTCTCTTCATCTTAACATCAACAAAATTCAAGCCATCTTGCTTAACCAATGTTTTCTGCCTCTGGCTCTGACTTTGCCAACCTCCCTGGTTGCTGCTCATTCTGGTTAACAGCCAGTGGGCAACCTTAGCATTTTGTTTGACTCTGAACTCTGCTTAAAACCGTACAACCAGGCCTTGACTAAAACCACCTTCTTCCATCTCTGAATCACTGTGCTGTCTTATCACCTTAGCAGTGAAGTAAGAATGATTTTTTTAATAGTGCTTATTCATGTTCATGTATTTACTGTGAAGTGTAGTGTAATTTTGTAAGCAAACACAGCAGCTATGTCCTAGGCATGAGGTGAATGACCAATTGATCTGGAAGTGCACATTCCATTCCAACAATCTACCTCTGGGATTTCTATGTGGAGGTGGAATGCATGAACATCTGTCTGACCCCCCAAAATATCTGGAAGAATGTTTAAAATCTCACTAGAAAGACACCATTTTGCAGCCTTGTGAAATAATTACAGTTCATTATTGAATTGTTACAAAATATCACCAATGTTGGTCAATAGCTAAAGACCTTGACTGGTCCCGAATGTGTGCCACCACCCCCCCATCACCACACCTCCCAACTGTTTTGAAACAGTGAGGTCTGAAACTTTTCTGAACCATGCGTTGGACTTGCTAACCTCCTGTTTGGAATACAAGTTCGCAGTTTACAACTTAGAACATTAAGAATTTGCTTAGAAAAAGAAGACCAAGGTCCATTTAGTTTGCTTTCCACCATCCTTGCTTTTCAAGCTTGACGTGTCATGTCCCAAACTATATATTGTGAGATATTATATTCAAATACTTACTTCTGATGTTTTTTTATTGAGATTTAAACTATTTTCCCATTCTCTGGTGGTCCAATACGAAACTCTGAGCATTGATTTAGGCCTACGTATTGTAACAGACAGGACACACACAGTGATGAAAATTTAAAGAACTACAGATGACATTTAATTTGCTCTTTGCTTGAAATAAAATCAAACAAACAGATTTTGTTAGTTTTTATTTTGAAGCAGATTGCTACTGCATTTCAACAGGAATAAGTTCAGTTCGACATTAAAATTTCCATGGCACTCAAAGAATAGGGTGCTCATATTTCTCAAGCAAATTCACACAAAATAGATTAATTGGTCATTGCTGTGTTTGTCTGTGTGCACAGTCACCACATTTCGAAGTAACTCATTGTTGGAAGGGCTTTGAGACTTTTAAATGTGACAAGAACCTATACCAAATGCAAGTATTATTTTTATTAGCAGTTGACCAAGAAAACTTTTAAACACAGTGCCCAAGAGACTACAACTTTGTGGGAAATTAGAAGCATTGAGTAAATACACACGGGGTCAGTGAAGGGGTTAAACACATACTGAGATTGTGATGGAAATGGAATAACACTGCATTTTTTAAACCACTCAATTGATACAAACAAGAAGCAGGTTATTTGTGGAAAGAGAATTGACTTTGTGTTTTTGAGAGTCACAAACCTCCAGGTTAATAAAATTACAAATTACCCCGACATAATAATAATAATCCTTGCATTTGATATAGCGCTTTTCACGTCTTCTAGATGCCTCAAAGCGCTTCACATAATATACTGTAAAGTGAATTGATTGTATATTTGTGGGTGAAACGCGGCAGCCAGTTGCGCACAGCAATGTCCCACAAACAGTCATGGAGTGAGTGGCCAATTTTTTTTATATACATAGATTGTATATAATTTTATTTCACATTGATTGTGTTGTGACATTGAGACAGTTGAGAGAAAGAGAGTGAAGTAAGAAAGTGGTTATTAATCATTTTGAGCAGTATGTTTAGACTTTCTATATCAGATGTGCTCCTTAAGGAGCGTGTGGAAAAAGCAAACCCTAAGATCGTCCATGTGCGAGTGATGGGCCTTTTGTTGTTAAAATATTTTCCTCAATCTTTGTTTCTCTTAAAAAGAGCAGGGTTTTCAAAGAAAGATGTTTGGTAAAACCTTTATGTTTGTCAGCCCAGAGAGAAGAGCCAAAAGAGACGCTTTATGAATAAATGAGGAAATATTTGCTAAACATTTTTATTGTGAGGGCAGAATTCCTTCAATAGCAGAGTCCATTCAACGATGACAATGGATGGTTTACAGTCTGTGAAGTCATAGAATGAGCCTGAATCATGGCTCTATAGAAACAATTTTATTCCTTGTTGCTATTGTTAATTTTCTCTTCTCTTCCTATCTTCTTGAAAGCTTTTTGACTCCATCATTCCTTACACTAGGAATATGGTTTATCCAAGTAGCCATCATTCAAGTGTGAACAAATTGTTTGATCACGGAGGACTTAAATGCAAGTTGTTTTTGTTGCTCACAACCCAATCCTGGCATGTGCTCCCTTCCCCCATCAATGCTTGCTGGATAACAATCAGGAGCAGGAACAGAGAGTCAGTTTTGACTCCCTGACACCAGAAGCACTAAGACCAACTTCAGTGTCCCAAATGCTGGCCCTGACTGAGATCAGCAAACTCAGCACAGTCCAGCATTTTAATCTGGACCCGGGATGTGTAGCTCATCTAATTACCGAACAAACTAGTTGAGCCACCAGGGAAGTTGGAAAGGATTCTGTAAAGTATCAAAAAAGAAAAGAGAAACTGCCTTTAATTAGATGGCTTCAATAGACATGTAGTCTAAAATCTGATATACACTGTACGTTAGCAAATGTTGTGTTCCACAGATGTCTTAATATAAATGTGGAATGAAAAATATACTGGCGTGTTAGACTGTTTTATGTACAGAACTTTGTAACAATATGTCTGGCACTGTTTGTTAAATTGGCAACCATGCCAAATTAAATTTCCTAACCCAAAAGTGCGCTGTGCATGTTTTTTATAAAGACGTTTTATAACCGGCTCTGATTTCTCATGACTCTTAATATATTCATTAGCATATTTATTACAAGTTAAACTGCTGTACTTCTGTACTTACTAACAATTGGGGATTTTTGTTTGCAAGCTCTATCTTTCTGGAATTTGCCTCCGAACTTAAGGAAAATGAATTTCCAGTTTGGAGAGCAATCCCCTGATACCCCAGCACAAACACTGAGTGTCAAGGGAAGAAAATGTCCAATTACTTAAACATAGATGTTGAAATTACTGTTTTAATACTTCATCCTCAGGGAAGTATTATAAAAATCATTGACTATTTACAGCACAGAAGGATATTCACTCCACCATGTTTGGATTGGTGCTATGTTTCTCACGAGAGCCATAATCGCATTCCCGTGCTCTTTCCCTCATACCTGGTGTTCTGGCCAGAAATCTCCTGAAAAATAAAATTGATCATTCACTTCATGGCTGTTTGTGGAACATGTCCGTGTGAAAATGAGCTACTGCATTCACATACAAGGTTTACAGTAAATTCCTGTGAAGAGCTTTGAGACGTCCTCCCAACATGAAAGATGCTTTATCAAATACTATTATTATTATCCAATACCCATTTAAATACTGCAGCACAGCTTCAACAGCCATTTGTTGAAAAATATTCTATATTCTACCAATCCTCTGTTAGAATTATTTTGATGCCACCTGTCCTTTTCTATAGCAATAACTATAGGTATTTAACCGATTGCATTACACACTAATTCTAGCATAATTGTGAGTTTATGGCTACATCTCAGGCTAGTGGGCCTGCTCTGACTCATTTCAATTTGACTTGGTTTCTACAAGTTCCAACACAGACGCAATGGACTGAAATAACCTTCTTCTGTCCTGTAAATATCCATGGTTTAAACTCTTCTATTCACATGTTTTTAAAAATAGCAAGTAAGCAAAAAGAAAACAGTGCAGGGAGAATTTACATTTGGGTCTACACTGTATTTATGTAGCATTTGTTGAGTGTCCAGAATTTAGAAAATTGTTGAATTCACTTTATGTGAAATTGTGCATTCAAACGTCTTTTTTTATTCCTGTAGATTGCCTTCGAAGCAGAGCGAGGGATGAGCAGAACTGGAGAAATTGGCTTGGACAATGTCTTTTTGACCTCTGGATCATGCCAAGAATGAACCTCTGAAAACAGTAACTGAACATAGAACAGGTTTATAATCCTAGTCTGCAAATAAGTGAGAACTTTTCATGTGGCAGGCCAGAGAGCCTTGAAGGTGCCATTTTTGAAGTGTGATTCTCTTTCTCCAATGCCAATTTTATACATTTAAACTTTGGCATTACAGGATTTTTATATTAAAGGGTATGATACTAAGCAGTATGCATCTTTTGTGACTATTATTCTCAGATGTACAGTTGTAATGCCTTTCAGTCTGTGTATTCAAGGTGCTGTGTATATCAGGAGTACACTTCCCACAATTTTTAAGCAAACTTGGCACTCTCGTATCATTTTTGTTTTGTTCGATAAAACCAAATTTAAAAAACTTACAGATTGAAATTTTCTACTGTTTTGGGATTTGAAGCATCAGTGAAATGATGTGATTGCTACGTAACCTGTCAGGAAAACCACCTGCACTGTGGACTGAGATTTGCGATACACATAGCAGGTCTCTCTACAGAAAAGGCAGTTTAACTCCTGGGCACTTTTTCCTACAGTTGCGTTTTTCTATGGCTTCATTGACCCTAATTATACGAAGGATTGTACAACGTAGAAACCAAGCAAGCAAGTTGTTTTTGTAAATGTATTAGAAAAGAAGTACTCTATGATATTTGAAAATTAGTAATAAAAGTAGCAATAATATAATGTTTAATTTGATTCAGCCATCAACTCTTGAGGGTTTTGTAAATCATTTTTTTAATGTGTCCATTCATGGAATACTGCAAATTCATAGAAGCATGTATAGGCCATGTACTGTGTAAACTAAATGACTGTCTTCTGTCTTTTCCTACTGAAATTTCTTATTCTATCCCAACTGCTGGATATTTTTTGTTTGTTTTTACAAAGTTTTGCAATAAAATTTCATCTTTAGAGGAAAATGTCTCACTTTTAATCGGATTCCTCATTCATTTGCCAACGTCACTAAACAAATCCGCCAATTTGTAAGGAATATCAACTTTGGGAAGACTTCCAATAACAACAACAACTTGCACATATATAGAGCCCTCCAAGCAGGGTAGTGTCTCAAAGCGCTTAACAGTGGTGGAGCCTGACCCTGAACCGGGGGTGTGGTAGGGTGAGGGGGGAGGTGGCTGTAAGCACGGTCAAAGAGGAAGGTTTTCAGGCGGCACTTGGAAAAAGGGGAGAGAGGGGGCAAGGCGGAGGGAGTGAAGGAGAGGACGTTCCAGAGTTTCAGGGCGTAGTGGCTGAAAGGGCGACCTCCAATGGTGGGGCGGAGGGTGCCAGGGACGAGCAGGAGGCTCATGCCAGTTGAGCAGAGGTCCCGGGTGGTGGATTGGGGAGTGAGGAGGCCAGAGTGGTAGGGAGGAGCCAGAGAGTAAGGGTTTTTACAAGGGGAGAAAGGTTAAGAGGTTTGGTGAGGCTCTAAGAAGGCGGAATGTAAAAAATAAACTGTGATGTAGAGTTATTTTGTATTTCTCCAGAATAGGCATTGTTGGGGATAGGGGAAGAGGAAGATTTATTTACTGATGGAAACTTCGGAAAATTGGTGTAATTTCATTGTGTGACAGAATATTTGATCTAATTGGCTGTTACACTTGGAAGAACATGAAGGTGTCGACTTACAATTTCTTTGAAGGGTGTCAGTCACCCAAATAAACCAGACAAGATGGCACCTGGCACAGTGGAGTTTTTTTTGTGCTTTACTTTTTTAATCAGTGTTTTGACACAGATGGAAAGCTTCTACTCTGCTTAAGAGTCTCAAGTTCCAGCTACCAAAAATTCACAGGACAATTGTTTTGTTTTTCCAGTATGCATTATAAATGTGCTCCCTTGCGCTACTTGCATATATACATGGCATGGTAGAAGCAATACATTAACAGACCCAAGAATACACAGAGTATGGCTCAAACTGAACCAACTGAAACAGCACGTCCTATGAGTCACACTGGGGTAAAAATCATAATACAATACATCTTGCACCTTATGAGATTGTCAAGATGTCTCAAAATACTTCACTGGATTTTACTGTAAAGCATAGTGACTGTATTTTTGGCAAACACGACAGCCAAGTTGCGCACAGCAATGTTCCACAAACAACCATGAAGTGAGTGACCAGATTGTGACATGTGATTTGTTTTAATGAGCAAGGTGTCTGACACATTCGGAAAACCCATCACCATGCTTAAGAGTATCCAAACAAGAGTTCCACATATGTATGAAACCTACGTGTTGAAATTTCCTTGTGGCTGGAATGGAAATGCACATCTTTTAAACCATCATACTTTATTTTCAACAAACAAAAGAATCACATGTAGTAAGCAATAACGGTACAAACATGAATTCTCTCCTACACAGTCAAACTTGTCTTGGCACCAAATGACAGTATCCTTACATAAACCCATAATGCCTGCTCTAGATCCTTCCTCTCCTCACTCCCTCACATGGGCTCTGGACTATCATTGTGGGAGGGTGTTTCTCAGCCACATCTGGTGTGTGGACTTGAGCCGCTGATGTCCTTCGCTGTCTCTGAGGCCCTCTGAGCTCTGGGACTTTCTTGAGGCCTTCAGAGGTGCTAGGCTGGGCTACGTTTGATCCCTAGTTTATATGAAAAACTAATCTCAGCAAAACGAGCAATTAATGGGGAGACTCCAAATATACTTAGTCGTTTGGCTAGTGAAGGTAAAATTAAGCCAGGATTCATACTTCTGCAGCTCCAAATTTCTCATGGACTTATCTTAAGTCTACTTTCTTAAAAATATGGATACGTATAGTAAATTCTTATAGCCAGCCTTCTCCGTAACACCGCTCGACTCTGCCACTACCTCACCCCTCAGGCCGCTGAAACTCTTGTTCATGCCTTCATCACCTCCAGATTCGACTAGGCAAACGCTTGTCGGCCTTCCAAAATCCTCCCTCCACAGGATGCAGATAATCCAGAACTCTGCAGCTCGTGTCCTCTCCTGCACCAAACTCCATGGCTTTCCATGGATCTTTTTAAATTTCTACAGCGGCTTCCAAATTTTGGCTGAATTCAAGAATTACCACAAATTATTACATTTTGAGAAGCTATGACCCTGAAAAAATTTGATCATCTGACTACTATCCCAGGGCTCCCTGCCGACATCAAAGAAACTAGTCCAATAAAACCAATAAAATCGCTGCAAGGAACAGAAGAGCAGGGAAGAAAACAATTACGGATATTTTTTATCTACAAAATACACAATAGCTACATTTTATAGTATATCCTGTCGAGACATTATAGTGTATCCCTACACAAATGGTGTTCTATTGAATGCAAGGATTATTATTAGAATTATTATTAGAATTAGAATTAGAATTATTAGAATTTTCAACTTTGATGGGTTTCAGTGAGCATGACACACTACACAGTAAAACTCACATAAGTTGTATTAGTCGGGACTGTAACATTTAATATGATATACATGAAGCATGAGTTACGGGCAAACTTGTGTAAGTTATATAAAATCTGATCTAAACAATAATCTACACTGTGAATGTGTTTTTCCTTGGAATTGAAAGGGTTAGTTGAGGTATATATCAGCCATGATCTAATTAAATGGCGGAACAGGCTCGAGGGGCTGAATGGCCTACGCCTGTTCCTATGTTCCTATGTTTTCAGTGCAGACAGTAAAAGTGCATCAATGGATCCAAACTTAATTTCCCGCAATTCAGTGCAGCCGGTAAGTGCGGCAGTGGAGATGATTTGATTCCTAAAATACGACTGGTGCAAAGAAGTGTAAGTGTTTGTTGGTAGGAAACTGAATGGGCTCAAGTGCATGTATGTCTTAGGTGATTATATGATTTATAAAGATAAGACTTGTGTGAGTTTTACTGTATTTGCAATGGTATGACTACTGGCTCACTTCCATCCAGATGCTTAGATAATTAGAGGTACCATTTTGCACAATCAATGTCTGGTATCCACTGTCTAGACTCACACATAAATATTCGGGCAATGATCCAACAACAACAATTTGTACTTATTTAGACCTTTCACATAGGAATATGTCTCAAAAGTACTTCTCAGATACAGCATGGAGGCCCAAGCAGGGTGGGAGATGTAGTGGGTGTGGAAGAGGCAACCTAAGGAGCAGCCAAAGAGGTATGATTTGAAAGTTGAGAGGAAGCGTGTGTAGCAACAACAACATTTGTATAGCGCCTTTCACGTCGGGAGGACGTCCCAAGGCGCTGGACAGAGTACAGCATTTCAGACCCGAGCTAGGGTTAGGGTGATAAGGCAGGGCAGGGGAAGGAGGGTGGCTGATGGCATGGTCGAAGAGTAGGGTCTTGAGGCGGGACTTGAAGACGGATTGAGGGAGAGATTTCCAGAGGGGAATAAGATGTCGAAAAGGTTTTTGCTATAGTGGGGCTTGGGGGTGGGGAAGGTGAAGTAGGGCTGAGTTATTAAAGTGGATGGAATGAGTGGAGAGAAGGATTGTAGGAGATGACAGAGGTATTCTATGGCTTAGAATTGGAAATCCAATTCAGAAAAACCATTGGCAACAACTGGTGAGCATTACCACAGAAGTGACAGGGTAAGTATTTTAGAGTTCTCACCACAACCCAAATATAAATGAAGATATACGGTATTTGGATCCTTAAAAAATTAAAAAACTAGTAGACAATAACTTTTCCCAGATTTATATTAAAAAAATTAATATTCTGCAGTTAATTTCCTGTTCTTTTCTTGTACCTTATCCAAAAACATCATTTTCGATTAGAATATTTAGGCTGCATTTCAAACCAAACAGTTGCAGACAGCATAACTGAACCTTAGCTGTACAACCCCTGTGCTTTCTTTGATAGTGCCGTTTCATTCCCATTATCATTTTCTACAGACTCCTAAAACTACGAGCTACAATTATTCACGGTGTTACTGCTAACTTCTATCATTTAAAATAATAATAATCCTTATATTAGGTACAATCACTTTCACGATGTGAGGATGTCTCAAAGCGCTTCACTGAATTTTTTATATTAATAGTATAATAGTGCAACACCCATTCTAAGATATTTTTACATTAATAGTGTTACAGAAGTAACATCTGAAAGCAAGGTACTTTTATTCATGCACAGTATAAAGTTTGGCCTTGACTGGATTGGTGAGGTTCTTGCAGATTGTTTAACATATGTATTTGTGACAGCTGTAGATACATTTTCTTCATGGTAAATGTCATGCGCTCTCTGTCTGGAATGATTTCCATTAAAAAAACAGATGATATGCCTCCCATCAGTGCCATTTCACAATTACAGAGTCTGAGGAGCTGAATCGGAATTAAAAAAATGTTCAAGTTTCAAAACTATTTCACAAACTTGTCTTAAACTTGTGCTTTTGTCAGAATAAATGGAATGTAATATCATTTCTGACACTCGGGTGTTTGATGATAATTACAATAGAGCTCACTGTAATTCAGGCTATGTATCTGACAGTGTTGCATATTGCAGTGTTAAGTGCAGTTAAAATGTCAATGGAATATTGTTGTAGAATTAATATAGGGATCAATATCCTGGGAATTTGGCAGGATTGCAAGGAAAAACAGAACAGAGCTTTATTCCTTTAGGATGTTTTACCTGTAGTTCCCCATCTTGATAGAAGATTAAATAAGAGTGGAGAATCCATATTGGAACAAAAATATATATAGTCGGTGGAAAGAACCAATTTAATGAGTTGAACAGGCTTTTTTATTAACAAAGTTTTTTTATTTTCAATTATCAGTGGGATTCTCATAACATTGAGGTGTGGTTGAACTATCCTAAAGGGTCTCAATTTCAGTTTGATGGGCGTCAGCAATAAATTAGTCATTCATTTCATGTCCGTATTATTCTTGTAACATTCTAGAAGAATTTGCATATAATCTCAAACTGTACAAATCTATCTCTAAACCGCATGATAAAATAAACAACTGATTAAGGTGGATTATTGCAACGTATCAAAATAAGTATACAAATATTTAGCAATGTTTTGCAATGAGTCTAATTGTCATGTTTTTATTACGGTAAATTCCACTGAGCAGCCTTTAAGCCTTTTAGAGGTTGGTAAGTATATTTTCAGGATTCAGAAGAAACTAAACCCAAAGGTATTTTTTGCTTATTCTGTGATGTGGAACTGCACCCTAGTGGAAGGATATAAACGAGTTAAGGCCTTCAGGAGGAGGAGAGAAGATTAGAAGAAAAAATAATTGGCAAGGAAACAAAAGGTGAACAGATTGGATTCTTTTTATTGATTCTTAAATTCTTTCCTGAATTATCCAATAAACACTGAAACCTTATAAAAGTGTTAAAAATTGTAATTATTACAAAAATAGTGTTTGAAATGAAGTATGCTTTTATATTCTGAATTTGAATACCTGAGATTGAATACCTATGAAATTGCCTGTATCTATTTACAGTTGATATCTGGGTGTAGGTGCAAGCCAATAATATAAAAAAGGGGTGAAGGTTGGGAACATGGGAATTTCAGAACAGCCCCCCCATTAGACCCATTGAGCTCATTCCACTGCAGACCATTCTTTGGCACTACTTTCCTTCATCCCATTTTTTACCATCTTGGCAAACCTTACATTTCTACTTCTTATCATAGAATATTACAGCACTGAAGGAGGCCATTCAACCCATTGTGCCTGTGCTGGACATATTCTTAAATATCTATCCATATACCCTTCTACTTCTCAAGTATTCATCAACTTTTCTGTAAAGGACAGAGTTCTCACCCCAGTACAAGCCAGTGAGGAACAATAACCCTCAACGTCACAAACCACCTTCAGTGCCAAAGTGTCAATAAGGCAGCTGTTACTTGGAGTGGACTAGAGTGGATTGTCCTGCAACTTTATTTTCCTCGGTGACTATCCTGAAGATGGCGTCTGGTCTGCACCTCCCAATGATGGTGAAACAGAGATGAAAAGGTCACCATCCATGGAACTGTGGGCACAAATCTTCACTCTTCCTATCTGCAGTACAGTATCTGCAATAGAATTCTAATATTTTGTGTTATCACTTCACCAAGAAATACCCTGTTGCTTTAGATGTGTATGCTGACGTGAGTCACAAGTTCAGATAATACAGGTTTGAATGTAAAAATAAAATTAGTTTGCCATTGCTTGGAAATAGAAATGATAAATGTTCTTTTACTTTAAGGTTTGGCTTGAACTGGCTTCTGGCAAAACTATCAGTTTTTTTTAGCCTTGCCAGAATCATAAATAATAATGTTTAATAACCTGATTAATGGACACAGTATTGAGCTAACCTGTGCTGCAGTTAAAAAGACGAGCTGACTTACATCCTTTGCCAGCTAGATTTCAGCACTCAACATGGATACAGAATTTGGCATTTTTCCCACACTGACCAGTCATCAGAAGAGTAACATAATCTAGATTTCAAACCTTCTTCGAGACAAAACAAAACTACAGACGTTTCCTTGCCAGATGTTTCATTGAAAAATGCATGGTTGAAAGGTGTGTTTTTAAAGGTTCTGCATTGTCCTCCTCTCCTCTCAGTGTTGTTAGGACAAACATAGCTTTTCTTTTTAAAAGCAATTAAACTTCCATTACCCTGGACAAACACAATTCTGTCCTTTCTTGCATGTCTCGATTGCACTCTACACACAAAGATTTACATAGATTGTAAAGCATGGAAACAGACCATTCGGCCCAACTAGTCCTTGCCAGTATTTAGACTGCACATAAGTCTCCATCATTTCTTAGTCTCTCCTACACCTTTCTGTTCCATCGTCCCGCCTGTATATCTAATTTTCTCTTAAATGCATCTACACTATCTGATTCACCCACAGCTTCGGGCAGCAGTTCCACATTCTCACTACCCTTTAAGGGAAGTAGTTCTTCCTAAATTTTCAATCAGATCAAAATATCTCAGTTCAATTCACAATCTGTGGTGTTAGTTTATCTCAGCAAGACTGCTGGTTGGATTACTACTTCGGCCTCAATCCCCCTCTAAGCTACGGAAAGAAAACATCAACCATTGTCTGCTCTTGATTACTGTCTCTTGTACACTATTTGAATGCATGTATCAAGTGATTGTAGTGCCAAATAAGGTTGTGTCCTCAGTCACATAGTCATCCAACACCCATAACTGGACTCAAGCAAGAAGAATGTACATTTGGACAAAATTCCCATGGAACCAAAGAAGAACAAACTTAGAGGAAAAATTCCCATCTAATTAGTACTGATATAAATAACTGCCAATTTCCTAATAAAAAAACAAAATGATTTCTAAGTTCCACTGTTCATCTTCATAGGATAGTCAGTCCTGGTAATGTTGTCTTGACCTATGATCTCATTGCCTTCAGAATACCAGTTGCATTCCACCCATCTCTCTCAGACTGGACTGTGTAAGATTAACCATTCAACATGCTTCCATGCACGAAAAAGGCAGTCCTGCTTGTAACAAAATGCCCATTCCCAGACATATAATTCATTCTTTACTTTGAATCAATCACCATTTACCACAATACCATACTCAATGGCAATCTAGGGACCCAGCACTCATTTCAGCTTACTGAAATATTTTGTTGTGTTACAGTATGGCACCTGCAGTAAGTCAAGATCCACAAAATACTATCCAGAGTTGAATGAATGACTGCAGCAGTGTTGAGCAAGGTTTTCAGTCACAATGATTTTGCAGATTGCACTTTTGTGAATATGAAAGAATTTGCAGAAAGACTGCAGAATGACTATTCTGTGCAACTGTAAACTAAGAAAAGAAGTCTCCATCTCACTGCCATTCGTAGATTTACCAGGAGCTTCCCAGTTGCCAGGTTGTGGAAGACTCCCGGGGGGAGGTGAACCTGCCTGTATTGTTACCATTGAGGAAAGATACATAATATGTAGAGTAGGCACAGAGACAAGCTCTAACAGGATTTGGGACGATTAAGTTAAAAATGGAATTTGCTATGCATATCAAAAATTACTTTTTTTTTACTCTTTACATTCAATAAATTGTTCCTGTTTCAAATGAGATTTCCAACACAGAGGTATAAGATATTTTGCATGATGCTAAAGAGTGACACCACATCCGAAGAGTCGTGTTGTACGTGGGCTGGTTCTGTATTCCCTTGTGTTTTTATACGAAGCACAATAACAATACCAACTTGCATTTACATAGCACCTTTCAGTCAGGATAGCGTCTCAGAGCAAAAAGTAACATCGTGACTATATTACTTGATATCATAGTAACTTCCATTTGGATGAGAAAATGTGATTGTGTCAGAGGACTGAAAAATGTGACGCGGTTTACGTTGTCAAATTGATCACATTGTCGAATTGCGGTCAAACCAGTTAATAATTAATAATCTTCCTCCTTAACCATTCTTTTGGCCATCTTTATACCCGCCCGCCTTGGCCCCGTCCCGAGCTGGGGTGCAAACCCTGGACTATCTAGTGCCTTGCGATGTCCTTCTAACGTGAAAAGTGCTATATAAAGATACATTTTCGTGGTACTGTATGGGTAATTAATTGTACTGTATGATTTGGGGGCAAAAGTTCCCATTTTAGTTCCCGATAGTTTCCTATTGACCCAAATCATAGTGGGGTTCTCACCATTACTGTGATCAAACCACAGTCTTAAATCAATTAAAAAATAATCAAGATTGTGGATTAAACACTGAAGATAATAAATGGTCTTAAGGTAAAGAAAGACAATTATAAGACTTTAAATGGAGCACATATTGGGCAGATGCACAGGTCATTATATGCAGTTATTCCTTGCAAAACAAAGCACAGCCCTCTCTCTCTCTGTTTATTGAGACCGTTTGTGATCCATTCATCCACCACCAGTCGAGATGCCTGGCATTGCCCTCAGGCTGACACGCGGCTCAACAGCGCCACCGTGCGGCGGGCACTCCGCGGCTGGTGGCGGCTGTGCGCAGGTGCGGACCGAGCGGATCATCTGACCTGAGCTGAAGCCGCGCTCCACCCACCCCCCGGGCCAGGCCAGGCCGGGAGAACAGGACTGACACCCTGTCCCAGGCCAGGCCGGGAGGAGAACAGGACTGACACCCTGTCCCAGGCCAGGCCGGGAGGAGAACAGGACAGACACCCTGTCCCAGGCCAGGCCAGGCCAGGCGGAGAACAGGACTGACACCCTGTCCTGGGCCAGGAGGAGAACAGGACAGACACCCTGTCCCAGGCCGGGAGGAGAACAGGACAGACGCCGTGTCCTGGGCCGGGAGTGTATTTTTGTGAGTTGCTGTGTTTTTATTATGAACGTTTCCTATCCACTGTTGGAGTGTAACCAGCTAAAGCCGCATCATAATAATAATAATCCTCGCATTTTGATATAGCGCTTTTCACGTCGGGAGGACGTCCCAAAGCGCTTCACAGAACACACTGTAAAGTGAATTGACTGTATATTTGTGGGCGAACGCGGCAGCCGATTGCGCACAGCAATGTCCCACAAACAGTCGTGGATTGAAAATGACCAATTTATTATTGTTTTTGGTTTTGGAGGGTTTATTATTAGGTGTGTGGAGTAAGGAAACTTGCCCAAGGTTTCGCCCTCTGCCTGGAATTGAACTCAGGTCTCTCGCTTGCAAAGCGAGTGCTCTAACCACTGAGCTACAGGACTCCACAAAGCATAGCTTGTACGGCACGTTTTCCCGCTGATTGTCCAACCAGCACCACCTGAACCTTAACCCGTTAGGGCTTTAGCTTACAGGGTTAATGGTAGGTAGCTGAGTGCTAAGAGTTCCTGTCTCCTGTGACCATTTATATTTCTCTGCCTGAATTCATACAACCGACTGCATTCTCATCGGATTGCATTTGGTCTGTCGCTGCCCAGTTTTACACTGGTGTTTTATTACATCGGGACTCAGCAAATGCCTTGTGACAGATATTTAAAGCATTTTTTGAGTCGAGTTTCTGGGAACCAGCCCTTCACCAATGCCATTTCAGATATGTCCACTAGGAAGCGAATATCTTGCCACGGATTATGAAGCGTATATCTTGCCACATCTACCCCCCCACACACACCTTCATTTTGACGACTTCGCATGACCATAGTTAACCAAAATCTGAGATCTGATATTTGCTACAGGAATGGTTGTCTTTCATTTAGGTTTTATTCCATTTGCTGGCCATTTTTTCTTACCAGGATAGTACCAATACTGCTTTTATTCTGTACAAAGCTGCAAGTATAAATAATAATAATCCTTGCATTTTGGTACAGCGCCTTATCACGTCTTCGAGACATCTCAAAGTGCTTCACGGAATATACTGTAAAGTGATTTGACTATATATTTTATGGGCGAAACACAGCAGGCAGTTGCGCACAGCAGTGTCCCACACACAGTCATAGATTGAGTGACCAATTTTTTTATAAGGAATTATATTACCTCTGGAAAAGTGATTTGCCAATCAACTAACAACCAGGAAGGAAACTTGCCCAACGTTTCCCCCCACCAGGAATCAAACCCAGGTCTCTCGCTTGCGAGGCAAGTGCTCTAACCACTAAGTTACAGGACTCCACATAATGAGTCAATTCAGTAAATGGGCTCATTTGTACATCTTATGGCTGATGCTAACTCTGCGTTTCTTGTGATAAGATCCAACTTATTATTTTCCTTACTCCACGCGCCTTACTCCACACACCTAATAATAATCCTTCCAAAAAAATAATAAATTGGTCATTTTCAATCCACGACTGTTTGTGGGACACTGCTTTGCACAATTGGCTGCCGTGTTTCGCCCACATATATACAGTCAATTCACTTTACAGCATATTCTGTGAAGCGCTTTGAGACATCTAGAAGACGTGAACAGTGCTATATCAAATGCAAGGATTATTATTATCCAAATCTTGTGATAAGATCCTAATCTATACAGCCTGGACAATCAGCAACTTGGTCAAGGAAATAAACTTTAAATTGTTAAAATGATCAGTTATTTTGTCTTCCCAGGGCTATGTCTCCATGGTAATGGTCTTGCAAAAGTTACACATTTAGCAACACTTTCCTACCCTTATTCCGTATCTCATTGTGTTTGTCTTTAACAAATATTTGTCTAACCACGCGTAATTCTCTTTAAAAGTTAATATAGATTCCGAATGAACTTTTTTTTGCTAATGACCTTTCATATATGCTCTCCAGTTTCTCTTTGGTGGAAACAGTGTTATGACTTTCCCCCCTTTTAGCAATAATTCTTTTCTCTTATTAGGATGTTAACCAAGACCATTGTCATTGTGTTCATCACCAGAAACCAGAGCATTGTCCAGACCTAGATGCTAGATAAATTGGTCAGCAGATACAAGTAAGTGAACAGACCAAGACTATCTTCCGGGTGGGGGGTTAAGTGTAGTTGAAGGGGAAGGAGCTTCTTGGAGCTGAGCTGGATCTAAGATGACATGTTTGGTGGTCCCAGTAATCCAGTTCCTGAGCCAGGAGGGTCCACATTACAGCACAGGCAGACCGTCTCATCAGCTGGACTTGGAAGGGCAGACCAGTCACTGGGGAGCAGGGACTCTTCTCACTCAGCTCCTGTTAACACTGCAATCCAAAACCCTAACGGTAGGGTGGTCCTAGCTGGACAAACAGCAGGAAAGCTTGCCAGACTGTGCTCCCAATGAGAAGCTATGCAGTTTTAGCTGGTTTAAACTCCAGCAGTAGATGGGAAACGTTCCATAATAAAAACACAGGGCTCCACTGTATTTCTTAATGAGACTGTTTATAAGAAAATCTAGATTTGAAAATGGGATTGCAGTAAATAAGAAAAGAGAACATTTGAAAGGATTAAAAATGAAAGAGAACGTCGGTAATGAAGATGAAGAGGAAAGCTAAAAAAAACTATTAGTTAGAGAGACAAGAACAAAAAGGGAGGAATGTTTTAAAGGCAGACAACCAGCAAATGAATATAGAGAATTTAACATTTTGTTTAAAAAAAATGAATTTTTTAAAAATGAACTGTAGCATGATTTTAATTATATAAAATTAGGCAGTCTTTGGTAACGTGATGTTAATTATTAAATTTACCAAACTAGTTCTTTTTAACTGAACTAATTGCTGGAATAATTCCCCTTGGCCTTTTTTAATAAGGTTTTTTGTAAATTGACTATACGACTGCAGTATAATTTAATCCAAAATTTAACTATAAGTGACATAGCATCAGATATCCATGGGATGATCTTTTATCCAGCCCCAAGATCAAAGATCTCCATTTCTGGTGATCAGTAACCAGTGTTGTTGCCTTATTTAGATCAAACATTCACCCGTGACCTCTGCTGGAAAATGTTGGAAATTGGTGACGCAAGGCTCAACTGTGATGCCCCGAAGGCACGCTTAACCTCACATGAAGACTGGGCAAAATGTCGCAAGACAGCCAGTGCCTATAGAATCCTATGCGTTAGCGTCTTTGAGATAAGAGCAAAGAATTTTTTTNCAATAGTGTTTTTTTATAATAATCCTTGCACTTGATATAATGCCTTATAATGTCGTTGAGACGTCTCAAAGTGCTTCACAGGATATACTGCAAAGTAGATTGACTATGTATTTGTGGGCAAAACGCAGCAGCCAGTTTGCGCACGGAGTATCTATCGAACAGCCATTGGAGTGAATAATCAATTTTAGGGTATTTGTTCCAGGAAACAGGAAGAAATTCCCTTCTCTTTTCGAATAGTACCAGGATCTCAGTTTAATGCCTCATCCTTTTAGCTTTGATATTGTGATCTGCTAAGTATGTTAATAAGCACAATACAACATAATTAAAATATCAGAGCTGAACATTGCATAATAATGTTTATATTTTGATATTTTGCAGGCAAAGTTCAATGAAGTCACAATGACAGATCTAAAAGAGGTGACCCGTAAAACTCATCAGATTGAGAAACTTATTTCAGAAAACTGTATTCAAGACATAAAATATTTGCTCAGTGACTTTGGGGAAATTCCAGTGACTGAAAGGATTCTTCAGGAGTCTGATCTTATCAAAGCTGTGTATAAGGTTCTAAAGAACTGTCCTAATGCCGATGTCAAAAAGAAAGCACGGGATCTACTTTCCACATGGAAGAAGCTTTACACAAGTAGCAGCTTTCAAGAAAAATGCAGAATTCAAGATGGGGAAAAAATAAATGATAATCTGCTTAGAAAATCAAATGAAATCGCTGAGGAAATACTAGATCCTGGTATCCTTGGAACAAGTTCTGCCCTTAGAAATACTACACAGCAATTAACATCAGAAAGCACTCAGATAGAGATGGGAGCTGCTGTCACCCAGTGTCTTGACCCAAATGAAAATCTCCAAGGAAGCCATAGTGAAAAGCAGATTTTAACAGACAAGGTTTTAGTGCTAACTGACTGTGATCCAACCCCTGAGAACCATGGTGGATTCATAGTCCAAGCTGTAAGATCTAAATGTGTGGAACTTCTGCTCCACGCCCTGACAGATTCAGAGCTGGCTAATAAGGCAAGGCTTGAAATGTGCCGTGGTTTTGCAAAAGAAGTGGAGGAGTCTATTTATGCTTTATATAACAAAAATGAGAAAAAATACAAAACGTGCATTAGAAGTAAGATTTCTAATTTAAAAAACCCTAAAAATCCCCATTTGCGACAGAAGGTATTATCAGGTAAAGTAACTGCTAAGATGTTTGCTGAGATGTCAGCGATGGACATGGCAAGTGAGGAGCTGAAGCAGCTCAGAGCATCATACACCATCTCAGCTGTACAGGACCATCAGCTGCCTTATGAGATGGAAGGTATAAAGACAAATAAAATCAGATGTAAACGGTGTGAAAATTTTAACTGCACAGTGACAGCCATTGCCAGAGGGACACTTTTTATTCCAGCCTGGGTGCGCAATGGAAATCCTGATGAACAAATGATGACTTTTGTCATCTGCAATGAATGTGGAGAAAAATGGTATAACAGTGGCTGGATTTCTATTTAGGCATGATAGTGGATTACACCTGGTTGTGATTTATTTCCTGTTCTCTGTGGCTGTACATTTAACTGTTTGATTTAATAAACTTGTAGAAATCTGGTAGCTCTTTCTATCAAATAATTGGTGACTTTTTATTTCTTTTGTGCCAATTGGTTGCAGTTTCATATTATATTTTATGGTATTTGCTGCTAAAATACTGCTCCTCTACATGATATATCTTGCATGTCTTAATTTTACTGAATCCTGTAGCTCAGTGGTTAGAGCACTCACCTTGCAAGCAAGACACCTGGGTTCAATTCCAGGCAGGGCGAAACCTGGGGCAAGTTTCTTTACTCCACACACCTAATAATAATCCCTCCAAAAAACAAAAACAATAATAAATTGGTCATTTTCAATCCACGACTGTTTGTGGGACACTGCTGTGTGCAATTGGCTACCACGTTTCACCCACAAATATAGTCAATTCACTTTACAGTATATTCTGTGAAGCGCTTTGAGACGTCTAGAAGACGTGAAAAGCACTATATCAAATGCAAGGATTATTATGCTAACACTTCAAATGGAAACCATTTTGTAATAAAGGTGCAGCTTGGCTCAATTGGTAACCTGCTCACCTGAGACAAATGTCTGTGGGTTCAAGCTATACATTGGGACTTTAACCTCATAGTCTGCATTGACACTCCAAAGCAGTACTAGGGAAGTACTAGGGAAGTTGGAGTCCCGACCTTCAGATCAGACGTTAAACCAAGGTCATGTCTGCCTGTTCACGAGGACGTTACTCAGAAGAAGGCAGTTCCTCCCAGTGTCCTGGCTAACAATCCCCCAGATAAAATTGGTCATTCACTTCATAACGAGTTTGTGAGATGTGTACAAAATTGGCTTTCGCATTCGCCTACAACATACTACACTTTACAGTAAATCCTGTGAAACATTTTGAGATGACCTCCTGAAATGAAAGGTGAATCAAATGCAAGAATTGTTATACAATGACAACAAAATTACATTTGTATAGTGCCTTTCACATCAAGAGGACGTCTCAAGGCGCTGGACCGTCAGTTTCAGACCTAAGCTGGGGGTCGGGATCGGGGAGGGTGGAAGGCAGGGGGGAGAAGCAGGATGATTGAAGAGGAAGGTCTTGAGATAGGTCTTGATGAAGGCAAGGGAGGAAGCGAGGCGGAGGGACTGCAGGATGGAGTTCCAGATGGTGGGGCAGAGTGGCAGAAGGCCCGCCCGCCAATAGTGGGCCACCGAATCAGGGGATGTGAAACAGGCTGGAGCCCGCTGAGTGGAGGGAGCGAGCAGAATGGTAGGGGCTTAGGAGGTCGGAGCGGTATAGGGGAGCAAGACCATGGAGAGCTTTGAAGGTGACAACCAGGATCTTGAACTGTATCCTCTGTGTGATCGGAAACCAGTGGAGTCGGGCGAGGATGGGGCTGATAGGGTCACAGAGCCTGGTGCGGCAGAGGAGACGGACTGCAGAGTTCTGGATGATCTGCAACCTGTGCCGGGATGAGTTGGGGAGGCCAACAAGCAGTGAGTTTGCATAATGAAGCCTTGATGTAATGAAAGCGTATATGAGGGTTTTGGCGGCCTTTGGTGTGAGAAAGTGGCGGAGCCGGGCAATGTTGCGGAGGAGGGGGAAGGCAGAGCGGGTCATGGCACAGATGTGGGGTAAAAAGGATAGTTGAGGATCAAACAAGATACCGTAGTTCCGGACTGGCTTAGTAAAGTAGACTGTGCAACCATGGTGTAGAGGCGATGACAGGAGCCAATCAGGAGGGCCTCGGTCTTGTTGACGTTCAATTGAAGAAAATTAGTTCTCATCCAGAACTTGACGTCTGACAGACATTCTGTCAGGATAGCAGTGGACCTAGAGTCAAGGGTGGAGGCAGAGAGGTATAGTTGGGTGTCATCCGCTTACATGTGGAAGTTGACCCCATGTCTGTGGCTGATGTCACCAAGAGGGAGCATATTATACATATTCAACACTATTTTGTTGACTTACAGTTGTACTGGGGTCCCATGCACTCAACTCAAAGCTGACCTATTATACCAATAGTGGTTTATTGTGTGGAAATTTATTGACAAACCAAATTTGGTCAAAGACCTCACCGGCTAACCAAGTGGTAATAATTTGTCACACTTTAAACCCACGCTTCTATGGCTACAATGCTAAACTATAAAGGAGGAAGGTAATTAGGTTTCAGTTTAGATAACTAACTGCTTTATTTTTAAAGTTTGCATAACATATTGTAAAATTGTAATTTATCTAATTTAGAGAGACCCTTAAAATATATGTATATTGTATCGTCAATTACCAGGCAATTGCTTGATTTTTTCACAAGATGTATTTTTATAGCAATGGCTGTGTTCGCTTAATACAATAGTAGAAAGTGGGTTATAGTGAAAATTTGTCGTAAGAATTAAGAGCTATGTAAATATATTTTTTCAAATTTGTGAACCTTCAGTCTCTTTGTCTGTTTACTGCATTTCATTCTTAAACCTGTATCTTAATATTCTAGCACACAGCTCTCAAAATGTCTTTCATCAACCTAAATGCATAGTAAACAAAATGGGGACAATAATAACTGTTTCAAGAGAAATTTGATGAATTATCTTAACAGTGTTGGTGTACTGTGTGCAAGATTTTATAAGTAAAAAAAGTAACAACTGAATTAAACTGTACAAACAACAATTTACACTTACATTATCACCGTTTACACAGGGTGAACATCTCAAAGCACTTTAGCAAGACTGAGTGGGAGCCAGACAGGGAAGGAGAAAAGGTTGGCGTGAATTGAGGTGGCTGAGGCTGCAGTTAAAGAGAGAAATCTTTAGACAGATTTTGAAAACAGAGGGGGAGACAGGGATTTGGGAAGAAAGTTCCAAAGTACTTGAAAGTACCCACAGAACCACTGGGGAACTATGTACAATTGCCTCAATTCTGTGGAGCATTTTGTAGAGTGGTCATAAGAAAGATATAGTTTACTATTGTGACTCTCAACTAAAAATAACACAAGTGTATATGTAGCAAATGCAACTGTAGGCACACAGGGTTAACTCCTTCTATTAGTTTACAAATACTGTAATTGTTTCCTTCAGGAGCATGCAGTCATGCTGATATCATGTGGTATAAATGGTGTATCAGTGATTAGTAGTTAAGAGAAGGTTCTGTTGTGTGTTTAATGTGGTGTGTAATGAAACTGGTCATGTGAATGAATGAACTGAGTTTTAAATCAGTGACTGAAGTCACATGATATTCTTCTGCTGCAACTCCAAGCCCAGCCTGTTATTTACTGTAGCAGACCGCTGCCCTTTCAGAGCTGACCACACGTCCAGTATTTTATACATCTACTGCAAAGCTACAATCCCTCACAGAAACCAACGACACAATTTTTCAGGGCTGTTGGAACAGAAAGGAGCAGGTAGAGGTGATCTATGATAAACATTTCAACAAGCTTTTATGTTTTGAGCACTATACAAGAAGCAGGTAGGATGCTAATGGAACGTGACAATCAAAAGGCCTGAGCAAAGAAATTATATTAAACTTAGGGTACAGCGGACCTTTCTTTATGTGACATTGAGCACTTTTCAGTGTATGCTCACTTCCAGTCGCAGATGTTGTATGTTGAAGAATTATAGCAGTTATGCATAAGCTCAGACACAAATTCGCTAAATTTATCAAATAGAACAGAATAGCCCAGCATACATAACAACATCTCCACATTTAACGAACTAACCACTTTAAGAAGGTGCATTTTTGCCTGACTTCCAAAACAAAACTTATTTTTTCCTTCTGTTATAGGAACAAGAGTAGGCCCTTTGGCCAGTAAAGCCTGCTCTCCCATTTTCTTAGATCATAGCTGATCTGTAACTCGAGTTTTCCTCCATACCTTCCAAATAGTTGTTCGTCAAGTATTTATCAACTTCATTCTTAAATACTCCCACCAATTCTGCATCAACAGCCCTTTGAGGAAGCAAATTCTATGATCCAACTATTCAAGTAAATATTTTCTTGTATCACTACAAATCAGCCGTCCCTCTCCTCAGGTTCTGTCCCACTCCCCCTCAAAACCGCTGTCATCACTCCTTAAATAAAAACCTTCGATCCCTCTAACCTCACAAATTTCAGACCCATCTCAAACCTGCCCTTTCTGGCCAAAGTTTTGGAACGCATCATTACAAATGAACTTTGCTCACACCTCTCCCTCCACTCCCTACTCGAACCCCTCCAGTCCGGTTTTCGCCCTGCCCACAGTACAGAGACAGTGCTCATCGAAGTAACAAATGACGTCCTCTCTCTGTGACCTGGGCTCCCTCTGCCTCCTCGTTCTCCTGGACCTCTCCACCATGTTCAAAACAGTTTACCGTGCCATCCTCCACCACCTCTCCTCCCTCATCCACTTTAGTGGGACTGCACTTGCATGATTCAAGTCCTGCTTAACAAACCGGCAACAATACATCTCGGCAGATAGCTCATTTATGCAAAAAGTTACTAATACTTTAACCATCAAAATATATCTTTCAGTCTGATTTTGTTATTAGACGCTTACTGAGATAACACATTGAACAGTTGTAGGCTTCCCTACTTGAGATTAGAAAATTGCAAATGTAAAGTGAGAAAAATTTATATAAAACGTATAACTCATAATACTTACAATTGTCATCCTGGCTCAAATTGTAGCACTCAAGTCAGAAGTTTGTGGGTTCACGCCTGTGTCTGGACTTTGAGCCTCATAGTTTAGGCTGATACTGCAGTGCAGTGTTGGGGCATATTTCAATGTTAGAGATGTCCTTTGGATGAGACGTTAAACTAACAATCCGCCAGATAGATATGGGCATGAACTTAATGGGTTTTTATGGGACATTGCTGTGTGCATAATCACTGTCACGTTTACTTACAAATACACTCAAATGCTGTAAAGCGGTTTATGAACTTTGACAATGTCATAAACGAAGTGCTAAATCAAATGATTTGATCAATCAAATGATGACAATTATTCTTTTTTTAAAAAAGTATCAACAAGTTATAAGTTAGCAAACCAAAGTAAAAATAGTGATGGGGAAGAGTATGGAATAATGACAAAGTGACATAACTAATTTAAATGTTTTATTTAAGGTTATTTTGTGTTTCTATTATAGGATTAATATATTAATAAAGCTACTTCAGATATTTGAGTAGTTTTACTACTCTTAATATTAGTAATATTATTTCTTCACCATCACAGCAAGTGATTGAAAACTTAAAGATGATATTCTCATAAAGCCATTGTATTCTCACCTCATCCCAGGATCTGCTAGAAGTACTAATAAGTTATTTTTATCTGGTGTTCATACCTGCATAAGAACCAAAATGTATTTAAATATGCTTTATATTTTAAATATTATGCATATAAATTTTCATTTTCCGAGTTGTTCGGATCTGGAATGCATTGACTGAAAGGGTGGTGGAAGCCGATTCGATAACAACTTTTAAGAAAGAAGTAGATAATTATTTGGGGAGGACAAGTTTGCAGAGCTATGGGGAGAGAGCAGCGAAATGGGTTTGATTTGGATAGTTCTTTTCAAAGAGCCGGCACAGACACAATGGGCCGAATGACCTCCTTCGGTGCTGTATAATTCTACGATTCTATGATATACATTTTCAAAAAAATCCTGTCCTCGCTTGACATCCTCACATGCTCACTTTGCTGTAGGAGTCACTGAATTTCAATCAGGAGAGGAAAATCTGATTATTTTCATTCCCATGCTGGGCAATGAGACAAATTATAAGGCACCACTACCACACTAGTTGAGATAAGCTGATTCAACAAAGACCAAGGTTCAAACTTGGCTTCCCTTCAATGGCTTAGCTCCACAATGAGGAATTACTTTACAAAGGCAGTCATTTTTATAATCCAGGTTAATATGAAGTCTATCCCAGAATTAACTTTTGAATGAGACACTAGACTATTTTAATAAAAGAAATACAGGTATAAACCAATGAAATATGCTCTCCTGATGAATCTATGGTAAAGGCACTATTCCAGGCAGCATTAAGTCATATAGACTAGAAAAGTCATACATTCAAATCCAATCTGCTAAGTTATATATCAGCTAGAGCAACATTTGAGGTCCTGCTATTGCCCTAACTTGTTTGTTTTGGGGAAGCAGAAATCAGCAAAGATTTTTGCTCCTGATCACTATCTAAAGGCCTCTTCTGGATTGCCCACACGTGTACAGCTGAAGGAATGGATTTGTCTTAAATGCAATGCCCTTTCAGTCATATAGCCCGCTGACACTCAAATTAAGAATGTTGCTTGGGCATCGTACCTGAAGATGGCTGGTACGCAAGGAATTGTACCCCAGTAGAAGGAAAAAGAACTAAAAGCCTTCAAGAGGGTAGGAGAACCTACAAAAAAAACTATGTTCTGTGTTCAATTCTGTTTTGCAATCTTACTGGAGGAAAGACAAAACATAATATATTTTGAATACATAGAAAATCTGAGCGCACCTTATGGTAAAGTAATAATTAGAAATGAAGTGCAAGGTGTAACTACAGAAGAAACAAGAAAATATAACGCTGCAGTGCATTAAAGCAACCAATAATAACTGACAGCATTGGGAGTCAAAAAAAATATTTTTCTTAAGCTTTTGAAAATCTTAGGTTTTGAAAACTGAAGCATTGCTAATTTCTTTTGTAATTTATATTAATACATTTCTCTTTTTATTCCCTCTGCCCACTCTTTCTACTGAACCCAGCTTCGTGTCTGGGACAATGGGTTCTGGGTGTGGTTTTCTTCAGCCAAATACAGTATTGGGTTCTCAATAATACTCCATGATTTCTGCTGTGTGTGCGCCTGGAAATGCTTTCTCTTTTCACAGTGAAACAGAATTCAGTGTGGTGAATCTGCAAACTCAAACCCATATCTCTGGCAGGAGCATTTATGTTAAATTAACATTCTTGTCAAGATCACAGGCAATGAGACAAAGCTTCTGCTGTATTAGGGCTAATGTTTACGTGGTACAACTCAAACATTGTCGCTTGGTGCTATGGTAACTGCAGTTTGAAAGGGGGCATTATTGCTTCAGTTGAGCTTTTTTGGGACAAACTCAATTTTTGGAACGGACACTGCTAAAACCTCAATTTAAGCACTTGCTGAAACAACTCTATATTGCAACAAGCACTGTATCTGCTGCAGTCAATACATTTTCAATCTATTTTTAAAATTTACCGATTCCCCTCACGACAGTAGTGGTGTCCAGTTTTAAAATGTTGCAACCAACATTTTAAAAGATTTTTTTTAAAGATTTTTTTTTTAACAGCACAGGGAGACGGCGGTTCTCTGCTTGTGCCAGCTCCCTGAAAGAGCTAACTGTTTAGCCCCATTCCCTCGTCCCTCTTACATAACCTGCTCTATTTTTCCACTTTATACAAGCACCAGTCATCCCTGTGGATTTACCCTCTGTGTAAGGTAATAATTCCTGGTATCAGAACAGAGAACAGCCTGTATGTTTCACCCACAAATATACAGTCTATTCACCTTACAGTATATTCTGAGAGGCACTTTGAGATAGCTTGAAGTCATGATAAGGCTCTATATCAAATTCAAGGATTATTATTAGTAGTAGTAGTACCACCACCTGTAACACCAATGATAAAATCAGGCATTCAGTTCGTGGCTGTTTGCGGGACACTGCTGCGTGCGGATCGACTGCTGCGTTTGCCTACAAATACACAGTCACTACACTTCACAGAAGAAATCCCGCAAAGCTCTTTGAGACAACTACTGTGTGTGGGCTCTACATGAACCAGGGCTGATGCTGATTACCTGAGTGGCCTTACCCTGTGCCATGTCAGGGTCACCAGACTGTACACAGGTGTGAGCTTAACTGCTGCCTCTGTTGAGCTCCACTCGGTGTCCGTTGACTTTTAAACTTGCACCGGTTTCAAAAGCACGAGGAGCCAGAGAGAGAGAGTGCGAGAGAGAGAGCGCGCGCGCGCACGCGGGGGTGGTGGGTGGGGCGCTGGTCACGTGCCGCTCCGGCACCGGTGAGAGTTTAAAAGGACTCTGGGACCCGAGTCACGTGATCCACCGCGCGAGAGGGAGCGGTTGATCGTCCGTTTTCTCCCCCCCAACCCCCCCCCCCCCAGGAATGCGCAAGCGCAGTCGTACGCGACTCCTGTCCGTCCCCCTCCCCCACCCCACCCACCGAGGCGCGCAGACGCAGTGAGGAGGAAATTCCGGGGTTTTCTGCCCACTGTAACGCTCGTCTTTCCTCCTCCTCCGCCGACCAGAGTCGGACTGACAGCGAGCGAAGCCGGAGTGAGTATGGAGAGACCGGGGCCTGCTGTCAGGGTGGGGGGGGGAAGCGCCAGCTAACCCCGGGGGCCACTCACACCGCCACGCCGCGAGCGGAGCACTGACTTGACTTGACGTGCGGCGCTGTGGGGAGAGAGGGAGAGAGAGAGGGAGGCGCTCGGACAGTGGTGTAAATAAGCGCGCGTTATAAACCCGTCTTTACCGAGTGACACCCCCCCCCACCGCTCCCCGTAACGTCCTGACCCGTCTGCCTCACCGTGTCTCCGGCTGCCAGGCCCTCCCCTCACACCACACCACACCACCACCGGCAGCTCGACTTGGGTGTCTTGGCGGGGGCGGCGGCGGCGGCTGCACAGAGGGCAGATGGAGACACACAGACACAGACACGACGGGAAGAAATATGTTTATCGTAGAAAATGATAAATCAGGGACGAGCGCATCGACCGCGTGAGCCTTGAGGAGCGCAACGTACACACAGTCACATGGGGAGGGGGGAAATCTTCCGAGGTAAGGACGGCCCCCGGTGATGATGATGATGATGATGGGTCACGTCGGGTTGTGGTGCGATGTTCGTGGAGGAACGTCTCCGCAGTGAAGTGCAGTGTTCGTCTTCCACCCGCAGAAGCGAAAGGCGCTATCGCCGAATGCAAAGGCAAAGGCGTTACTGTTGTTGTTGTTGCTGTTGCTGTTATTTAAGGAGGGGTTTCGGAGCAATCTTGTCGGAGGAAGAGGGATCTGTGCGTTTGCACCGTTTGTAATCTTACACCGGGGTCTTGCGATCGCAGTTTCGAAAGGTTTGAATGAAAAAGTCGGTCCGTCTCTGTGAAAGGTTCGGCCAATTGGTCCATGTATTTACGTCGTCTCAAAACAGACGTGGTTAGACTTATAGCATAAATCGCACCGAACCGTATGAAAACAGATTTGGGTTCGGCAGAGAAGCCGTTTGTTTTCCTAAATGCCATTTCACTCAGAGTTAGGAAGCAGATTTATGCAGGTGAGCTCATGGTAGAGCTTTTTTTTAAAAAAAAATAGCATTGGGGATAAAGTATTGCTCTTCAAAATGTATGTTTAATCTGTGCGGGCCCGCAGTAATTTCAGTGATAACTTTTGCTTTCTTAAATTGTCTCCAGCTCCTCCGCTTGAGCAAGAACACCGCCCAGTTTAGCACTACGCCATACAGTCAGGAGGTGCGCAAGACGGGTTCAAGTGAAGAAGGCAGTGGCGTTATCTAGGAATGGAATTTGTGGTGATGGTTTTCCATTCATTCCTGGTTTTTGCCACTGATTCTCCCCAAGTTTGGCAGTCAGATTTTCGCCACAGATCACAAGGCAGGTCCTTTATGTGCATACAAAAACAGAAGTCGCTGGGAACACTCGGCAGGTCAGGCAGCATCTATGGAGAAAGGAAAGTGAGTCAACTTTTCGGGTCCACGACCCTTCGTCAGAACTGGGCATGTTGGGAGGGAGAGGCTTTTAAGGGTTAACAGGGAGGAGGCAGGGCAAGGAAGTCAAAGGACAAAATGGGGTAGGGGATAGTGGATGATGGGTTAAAGAGGCGTTAATGATGCAAAACAAAGGAAGGGACTGCAACAAAGAAGGGGAATGAATAGTGGTGTTTATACTGCAGAACAAAAGGGAGGGGGGGAAGATTGCAACAAAATAGGCAGGACCAGAGAGAAGAAAGGTGTGCCTGGGACCAATGGTCACAGAAGAGAGAGAGGGGGAATGTGAGCTGTTATTGTCTGAAATTGTTAAAATCAATATTGAGGCCAGAGGGCTGTAAGGTTCCTGGCAGATAACTGAGGGTCTGTTCCTCGAGCTTACGCTGTGGCTCATTGGAACAGAGTAGGAGACCGTGGATGGAGAAGCATAGGAGACTCCTGCTGGCCTATTCTCCTTGCACATGCCCCATCTCAGTGTCCGAGCCTCTTAGTGCATTGGTCAGACTGTACCTATAGTACTTCAAAAGATGTTTGACATAGGTTTACAGTGTCATATGACTTCCTACAGCCAATTTGAGATGTTACCTCAAAGTTTGAGGTTGGCCCGACAAGATTTGCCCTTTTGAATCCACTGTGGTCAAGCTCTATTTTGATCTTAGTCTTCTAGGCTGATAGCCCAGCGCAATGCTGGGGGAGCGATGCATTGTCAGAGGTGGCATCCTTCAGATGAGATGAAACTGAGGTCCTCGCTGCCCGATGACACATGAAATTGAGGTCTTATCTGCCTGTTCAGATGAACATTTGAGATACCATTGGCACTATTCAAAAAGAGAACGGATGGTATTTTGGCTAACAGTCCACCAGATAAAGAAATTGGTCATTCACATGCTGGCTGTTCATGGGACATTGCTGTGAGCAAATTTTGTTGCTGAGTTTGCCTACAAATAGTCACTACACTTTCCAGGAAATCCTGTGAAACGATTTGAGATGTTTCAATGGCTTGGGTGCACATTCCACCTCACAGAGCCAGTGCAGAACCTTCTTGTCTTGTTCCACTCTCAATTTTCCTTTAAACCCCACATCCATGCCTTGACTCAATTCCGCTTTCCCCAACTCTCGTAATGTTGCCCGCTTTCGCCACTACCTGTTCCCTCGGGCCACTGAGGCATGACTATGCCAACTCTACTCACCCAACTCTTTCAGAAGTTTGCAGATTGTGTTCTCTCCTGCACTCGGTTCTGCAAGCCCTCCACCCCTATCCTTTACCAGCTGCATTGGCTCCCTATCCCCAGAGGATCAAGTTTAAGGTCCTCATTCTTACTTTTAAATTCCTCCATGGTCCGGCCACACCCTACCTCTCTGATCTTCGATAATAATAATAATAATCCTTACATTTGATATAGCGCTTTTCACGTCGGGAGGACGTCCCAAAGCGCTTCACAGAACAAACTGTAAAGTGAATTAACTGTATTTTTTGTGGGCGAACGCGGCAGCCAATTGCGCACAGCAATGTCCCACAAACAGTCGTAGATTGAAAATGACCAATTTATTATTGTTTTTGGTTTGGAGGGATTATTATTAGGTGTGTGGAGTAAGGAAACTTGCCCAAGGTTTCGCCCTCTGCCTGGAATTGAACTCAGGTCTCTCACTTGCAAAGCGAGTGCTCTAACCACTGAGCTACAGGACTCTACCTTCCGCCTGTTCCCTCCGCTTGGCATTGGCCTGCTTCACATCCCCCACCTTGCCACTGGCGGTCGAATCTTCTGCCTTTTCTGCCCCAATCTCTGGAACTTCATTCTAGAGCCCCTCTGCCTCGCCCTTCCTTTGCCTCTTTCAAGGTCCACCTCAAGACCTTCCTCTTTGACCGTGCCTTCGGTCATCTTCCCATCCCCCTCGGCCCTCACCCTTCCCAAACACTCAGCTCTACTGACCAGTTCCTTGAGACCTCCTGCCAACGTGAAAGAAGCCATATAAATGTAATTTGTTGTGTTGTTTCGAAAGGCTGACATTTACAGTACTGTAAATATACTGATTGTACTGCATGGTGCCTGCGCATACTAATAAGAATTGATTGTTGGCTGACTGCAGTTTAACAAACAACTAGATGCACTGTATTTTTTTTCAGTTGTAACACCAAAACAGCGCCTTTAGATCCTTGAACTCTTCGCTGAGGCAGTTCTTTATACCTGTTTTATGGAGGCGAAACGTTAGGCATGTTTCCTTACTCCACACGCTGCTGTTTACCTACTATTGTAAGTAGGAACCCTGTTAATCGATTGGCAAATCGCTTTTCCTGGGGTAATAATCCCTTTAAAAAATAATTTGGTCACTCAATCCATCACTGTTTGTGGAACACTGCTGTGTGTAATTGGCTGCTGCATTTCACCCCACAAAATACAGTCAATTCACTTTCCAGTATATTCTGTGAAGTTCTTTGAGAAGTCTTGAAGATGTGATTAGGTGCTATATCAAATGTAAGGATTATTATTATTTTCCATTAATTGCCTTTTGCAAATGTTATATATCTGGTAATGCCTAACTGGAACTTTCTGGATATTAGGGTTCGCTCTTTATGGAAGATATAAATGTTTACTCATGCTGAGCTGAATGCATTGTTTCAAAATGAAGTATTTATAGTGACAGTGCATATTCCATAAACTAATTGTTGCTTTGCAACTCAGTTCTCCTCTCCCCTGTTGTAGCAGAAGTATTGAGCAATTATCCTCTGCAAGCTGACATTTTATTTGCGTGGTTGGTCAAAGGCAAAAGTTGTATAAGGTACTTGATACCATTGTTGAACTTTCAACTTGAGGAACTTGGTTTATATCTGATTTTTGTATGCTAAATTAGAAGAAGGTATACAAAACCATTAAGAAAATTAACATACTTTGAATTTTTTTAACAATCGGTTTAATATGCAAATTTACTTAACATTAATTTGATAAGCAGTAAGACAATTAGTACTACATCTAACATGGAATTTAGGAGGAACCAACTTCAGGTTGACAGTGATGAAAAAGTGCAACTTGCTGCCGGAAGCTGTAATTGTAAAAAGCATCAATGTATTTAGGATGAAACTTGATGCATACATGAGGGAGAAGGGATTAGGACAGGTGAATTCTCATGTGAAGTATAAATACCAGCACAGACTAGTTGGGCTGAATGACCCATTCTGCGGTAGTTCTTGGCATTTAAATATTGTCTTGCATAATAATATGTTAACATTATAGTGTTGACCAATGTGGAAATTAGTTTAAAAAATGTTGGGTGTGGAGTGCAGCAAGAAAGGTTTCTTAGGTTCAAATTAAAGATGTTTGAAGGCCTCAAGCAGAAGTCAAGTAGTGTATTTCACTGTGAGGGACAGAGAGCTTCACTTGATTTTTGTTGGGTATTTGCTGGAGGACTCAGTGTAAGTTGCATGCCCACTCGGCCACAGAAAGTGGCAGTCTGGAACTGAACATGTACTGAAAATAACTTGTTGCGTATTTGGGTTATTTTGAATTGTTGTATTAGTTTTACAGAAAAGAGGACCTCAGCTCTTTGCAGATGAACATTTAGGTGAATGCGTCTGAAATGTTTGAACTTCAATGGTACCCTTAATGTTGGCTTTCTTTTAGAGAAAACGTTTGGCTTTTGATAAAAACCTCAGTTATCAAGTCTTGATTTTATTTGAAACTTTTTTTTCAAATCCTTACTTAAAAAAAGTAAGTATTTATTTTCCAAATTTCTGAGTGCCTCCAAGTGTGCTGAACATGAAAGAGGCAAATTGAGCATGCTCAGAAAAGCTTTGAAAAGTCATGAGATTTTAAGGAAATATTATGAGTGGACAGTTTAAAATAACCAAAATCACAAGAGTTGGCAAGACCAAGACTGCTGATATCCCAAACTACACGTGAAGCATTAGCAATTTATGGAATCGCAGTTATCAAGATTGAATTCCTGTCGAATTCACTGTCAGCAATTTTTGAATGTATAATATATAGTTGTAGAAAAATCTTTAAGCATGGAATCATTGTGGAGACAGCGTAACATAAATTAGTGATGTAAAAGCTGAAGATGGTTGTATAAAAGCATACCCCTTTTGCTTCTGTGTCATTTTAGTGTTTTTCAACTAAAAATAAATTGCATTTGTTATGGCACCAATAATGTCAACATCTCAAAGAACTTTATGCAAAAAACCTCAAATATAGTTATTCTTTATTTGTAGGCAAAGAGGCAGTACCACTCAGATGACAGTGGCAGAACCACTATGTTTGTTATTTCTTCTTAATATTTTACCTCAAAACATTTGTTATTTTTTTTCTGGTTCAGTCTTGGTTTTCCATCTGGTATAATAATATATAATCTGATTGGCAGATTGCTTTTCTGGGGGTAATAATGCCTTCAAAAAAAATTAACAATAATTTGGTCACTCAATCCACGATTGTTTGTGGGACACTGCTGTTCACAATTGGCTGACACTTCTCGTCCACAAAATATACAGTCAATTCACTTTACAGTATATTCTGTGAAGTGCTTTGTGACGTCTCAAAGATAGATTAAAGCCCTATAACAAATGCAAGAATTATATTATTATGATTGCATGGGAATTTGCTGTATGCAACGAAGTGATAAGGCACTATATCAAATGCAAGTATTATTATAATCCTATTTCATACACACAGAAAAATCAATATTCTGAAAATGGCATTCGTAAAACAGGAATTATGTCTAGTAATTGCTTCTGTGGTTTGCTGAGATTTAATAAATGCTCTTAAAGTATTTTTAGAGTGCAGTTACTAATGCACATATAATAAAATATATGTGCCAAGTTTTTAAAAAAAATTTATTTAAATATTTTGCATTATGATCAATGGAGCTCAGCCTAATGTCATGGAGAGCCTTGAGCCCAGAAAATTTGGTCATCCCTGCCCTCGCCAACCATCCCCCAGATAAAATTGGTCATTCACTTCGGATATTTGTGGGACATTGTTATGAACAAAACAGCCACCTTCTTTCCTGTAGAGCACGTCGATGTATCCTGAAATTAAAGATTATATCGAATGCAAGAATTATTATTAAAGTTAGCCAACAAAATTCTAGATGCCATTTTTATTCTTTGGGTAAAGCAATATTTAAGGTACTGCATGATGTATATTGTATATGTCCAATACAAAGGTCTTTATTTTCTTGTCACTTCAATCCTTTAATAATGTTGATGGATTGAACCCATTCTTACAGTATTGAGAAGAAAAATTGTTCTAAATAAATAGTGAGGTAACTGATTACCTGTAAAAGCTGAGTGACAAGGAAAATACAATTTATAACACTTTCATGTTTTTATTTTTTTTCACAGGAATCTAATCTAATGATGCATTGATCTGAAGCAAAAAGGTAAGAAATTAGTTTCTATAGAAGCAGAAGTGGTGTACCTTTAATATAAATACTATATATTAACCAGAATATTAAAGTTGAAAATGTTCACTCTATTTGTGGTATTAACGTGTTAAGGGCATCTCTTGATCCAAGCATTCATTTTTTCCCTTTTGCCTCTTGGGAGCACAATAGTGTTTAAATAAATGGTAGTCAGGAATAACTTCTAACTTGATGTGTTGCAGGCAACTGTAGCATAATTGAAACATTCTCAACATTACAGGTGCTGTGTCAGATCCAAGGATTGTAATACGATATTTATCTGTAGGTATTTCCCATTCATTTAGTGGAAGTAGATTTTCACTAATCTTCATTTCTCTGTTTCCAGTACGATGCAGTCAACGGATTTGAAAAAAATGTTCAGTTGGCAAAACTGTAGTATAAGAGATGCTTTGTGCTGTAAAAAGCATGCAAGCATATAATGTACAATCAGACCAGTGACAATGTGAGCCAGTATTACATATTTGGGACTTTGTGCTGGAGATCTTTGGATCCTGAGGTCCTTTTACATTGTGGTTTTGCTATCTTGTTCTTTTTCAACTGTAATGGAGGCAATGAAGAATTTGTGTGCTGGTTTTGCTGTTAGTTTTAGGAAACTTGAATATGGGATTGCAGAGGGGGAAAGATAAGCAAGCAGGAAGGAAACAGAGATGAAATTAATTTTTTTTAAAAATGCGTATATTTAATTTACTGTCATTATAGTGGATCTCATGTTTCATGTGATTGGCACACCTTTTATAATCTCGGCTCATGGGCAGAGTCAGATTATCTGTTTTCAAAAGTGGAAGACAGATCTATTAATATTTTACTGAATGAACGAGTTTTAAGATGTTTGAAGCTAGAGCAAAATTGATGGAGGCAGATAGTTTTTTCAACTAAAAGATTACTTTTCTTAAAAAGTCTGTAACCTAAAGAGTCTTTTGCATATTTTTCAAAAAGTTTTAAAAACAAATATTGCAATTTAGTTTGTTTTGTTGAATTGCAAAAAAATTAAAACTAAAAATTATAGCATTTAGAAAATAAACTTATGGTTCTAAGTTTGAGACCTTTGGTATATTTTCAAAATGAACTTCTTTTTCTCTTCCCCACCCTTCCTTACTGTAGACTGGGCTTTCCTTTCTACACAGCACTTCTCCTTTGGATTAAGCTTAACAACTCCCTCACACACTGGTCTGTCCTCATTAGTGCTTGTATATTGCATACTTTTAGTCTTTACACAAACGTAGTATATGGTAATGAGATTTTGTTTGTATTTTTGTAGGCTATTTCGCTTCATTATTGAAATCTATTTTTAACACTGCAATGGCTGGAAAATCAACTCTACTGAAGGTGATCCTGCTGGGTGATGGTGGAGTAGGGAAAAGTTCACTCATGAATAGATACGTTTCCAATAAGTTTGATATACACTTATTTCATACAATAGGGGTTGAATTCTTAAACAAAGACTTGGAAGTAGATGGACATTATGTGACCATGCAAATATGGGATACCGCTGGTCAAGAGCGGTTTAGAAGCCTACGGACACCGTTCTATCGAGGCTCTGATTGCTGCCTCCTTACATTTAGTGTAGACGATCACCAAAGCTTCTACAACTTGGGCAATTGGAAAAAGGAATTCATTTACTATGCAGATGTAAAAGAACCAGAAAATTTCCCATTTGTAATTCTGGGTAATAAAATTGATGTCAGTGATAGACAAGTTTCAACTGAAGAAGCTCAAGCCTGGTGTAAGGATAATGGTAACCATCCTTACTTTGAAACCAGTGCAAAAGATGCCACCAATGTTGCAGGGGCCTTTGAAGAGGCTGTTCGTCGAGTTCTTGCTGCCGAGGATAGATCTGAGAGTTTCATGCAAACGGACACAGTGAAACTAAATCAAGGAAGGAAACATAGGTCTACTTGCTGCTGATTCTGTTCTCTTAAGAAGGAGCAATAAACTTTCCACTGTGTGCCACTTTCCTAGACTGGTATTAATTGGGGTTGTACAAATGCTCAGATCTGCGTAAACTTTAATTTTGAAGAAAATGGTGCCAGCCAACTGAATTAATTGAGGGGTGACAATTTGATAAATGTTGCTATACAAAGAATATCCAGAAAACTGTCCTGGCTACGGGTATGACCCTCCTCCATTTTGTCACAATGATTGGGCCATTGTATTTGCTTTTTGAGTTGGTTGCTGGGATGCTTGCTTAACCCAGTTATTTCTGGAGTTAAGTTATATTCAACAGCTGCAACTGCCTTCTGGCCAACCATTAAGACAAAATTGGAAGGGGAGATTGTGCCGTACATTAATAAGGCAGAATATTCTGCAATGTGAATCACTCCTTACAGTTTTGCCATAGACTGGTTTGCTGCAAACAATATAGATACGCACATGTACGCACAAAATTATAGGTGTGCTGCCAACTGTTTTTTATTGTTGGTTGGATGTGATTAGACACAAAATAATTTTTCAAATTTCATTTTTTTAGATTGTAAAAATACTTCAAAAACAAGAGTAAAAAGAGTTCATTTTGGTATCAACAATGAGGCATTTCTAACCAAAATTTCTAACTTCTTTTGAGAACAGCAATACTAGAGGCCATTTGAGACAATGTTTTGGAATTTAATAAATGAAACGTCTGCCATTGCTATACACTGTTGTTTTCAACAAACATTTATTTTCTGAATGCAATTCTTTTCATATTTTGGTCATTACTGGATATTGATGTAACATGAAAATATATGTTGGTTTTGCACTATTTGAAGGATCATTTTCTCTTTTCTAATGTGCTCTGACCACAAACTAAATTGAATACATTCAGTTTTCTGAGCAGCATTGGAGGAATCTTACAATTGTTTACAAAATTTATGTCTAATCTCATTCCCAATATTTGAATTCTGATTAACTAGGGTTTTTTCTATCACGTTGTGTGTTTTGCTTTCCTTTCTTAAGTGGAGCTTTTGCAGAGCACCACTGAGAATGTCATCTATGTCTGGTATAGCTTACATTTGCTTAATGTGGCAATGTCAAGTAACCATGAGATTGTTTGCTATTTTAGGGGTTTGAAGAAAAGGTAGCATGTTTGCTCAAAAACCCTGCTGGATCAGTCGGCTATTGAAGGGTTCATTTTGTTAATATACAGATAAATCAAGAAAAGCATTGTGATCATGAAATGATGTAAAGTACAATATATTTAGAAATATCCTGTAAAGAATAGAGATGCAATTTGAATTTCCTTTACATGTGTTAAAAAAAAGTAATGGTAGGTTCAGTTCTTACTTTCTGTTATTTGAAGTAGCTCTGAATTATATATTTTTTCCTCAGGATTTAATGTAACCTGTAAACAAAATTTATACTTGTACATACTCTTATTCTGGATATTAAGATGTCAGATTGCATAAATATATCTACTGGACTGACATGGCTTTTTCAATTAACTAATTTTCAAATTGTACTTCATATGTGGTGTCAAAAGATCTTCGATGCTTGTAGCTAATTATTTAGCACAATATGAAATTAGTCACTGATGTATGTTCTGTTGCTGTAACATATGTTGCAACAAACTATGACTGGTTGATTTTGATCAGTTAACCCTAACATTTGTGAACTGTGTTGTGCACCTTCCAAGGCCAATAGATTTGGTTGCAAACCTATTCTAAGGCTTATTACAAGGAGAATTGAATCAATAGCAAGAGGTAACTAGCTTTCTTTCTCCCTTGCCCCCCCTCCCCACACACACATACTCAAACACAAACAATTCTAGCACCTTCTCAAACAGCATAACTAAGATCAGGAATTTACTGTGGAGAAATTATGAATCTAAATCCATGTCTTTATAGTGTGGTGCTGTATCACCGTGCTGTCTTTCTAAAGGACTATATATTTACTTTAAGAAGAGTGCAATGTTATTAAATGACTACTTCAGATTGCACTTGGTAAAACAAATTCACAAGCATTGATCAAGAAATATTGTTTAGGAGTGCCAAACAGTTTACTCCTATTTAGTTTACTGTATAAAATTTACTTGTACAATTAAAACTAAATATTGTAGAAGGGTTAGTCACTATAAATTGCTGTATGCAGTTCCTGTTAGCTTGTCAATGCTGCACAACCCAAGCCGTTATCTTATAAGGAGGATTCTATAAAAATTCAAGTTGTACTATTTTCTCCCGATGGCCACTTATCCTTGGGAGTTTTTTTAAAAAAATCAAATTGTAAATCTATGAAAATTGCATTACACTGCAACTACTGTCTTTTAAAGAAACTGATTCATATACTAAATATAACATCTGTGTTTTGAAAACTGCAAAATTACATTTATATGGCTCCTTTCAGTGGAAGGCCATCCCAAGGAGTTGGACACTTAAGGGTTTGCATACGAGCTGTAGGTTGGAATCTAAAGGGGTGGGGAGTAAACGCATTTTAAATTATAGTAATGCTAAAGTTTAGCAATCAGTACAATTGAACCATGGGGGTTATAAAGGGAATAATAATCCTAGCATTTCATGTAGCACCTCATGATGTCAAGACGTCTCAAAGCGCTTCACAGAAAATACTGTAAAGTGAATTGACTAGATTTTCTGGGTGAGACGCGGCAGCCAACTGCGCATAGCTGTGACCTCACAACAGTCATGGATTGAGTGACCAAATCATTATTTTTTGAAGGGATTATTACCCCCGGAAAGCAATTCGCCAAACAACTAACATCCGGGTTCCTACTTACTGCTGGAGAGGTGCATGGAATAAGGCAGTTGCTTAAGGTTTCAAAGACAGACAGGCAGAGACCCAGATAGGCTTTATGTTGTTGAGAATGAATGTTATGCAGTCCACATATGATTCCAAATACAAAAGAAATGCTTCCGCCTCCGGCTAGATACTATAAACATGCCTCTAGAATTGATATTGCCTCACTAAATTTACCCTCTTTGAGTATTTAAAAATGGAACTAATTATAGTTTACATCTTTTACACTAATAGATTACTTATTTCCAAGATTTGCTATTGTGCATTATAGAATGCAAATTTGGTGCCTCATTTAAAAATAACTACCACATAGGTCAAACATTAAGCAATTATGCAAGCATAGTAGTTTGATAGACATTTGTTATGGAATTATCACTCACTCAATATATTTAATGAGTAAATATAACCATAGTTTTAATATTTAAATTTACCCATATCTTTTAATTTCTCTAAAGGTACTTTCAGATAGTTGCTTTAATGTGTGTAGTAGTATTTTTGTATTTTGATTGAATTCTACTAGTTGTGGAAGTTTCCTGTTGAACCGGTTTTAGCTCCGTTGTTATTGAGTAATTGATAGCTGCACCGCACGTGAAGATGTTTTGGGTTTGAATGCAGCCTCTATTGTTCATAATCTGGTTTCCCCTAAACAATATTGTGTCTAATGCAAGGATGTCCTTACTTTAGTACCTAAAACACAAAACCTAAATAAGGCCAGACAAGAAGGGAGGAAAATAATGTGAAAGATGTTTGTACTACTCTTCCCAGAACAATGCCACATCATGCCTATAAAGACAGACAACATTTTCAGCCCTGAGTTAAAATAATATTAGTTAACAACTATCTTCCAGAAGATGAGCAATGGTTCATTACTAACTCATGAACAATGTCAGTCCTTTCTGGTGGAGGATTGAGTTAGTAAATTTATTTATGATAACATCCCATTGTATAAATTCCCTTCCATTTCACATACAAACAAATGTAATGAAAAAGAAGCAAATTGTTGCACCTAGCATGAAATCAACAGTTATCTTGTGACAGCACACACAAAAATACAATGATCAGAAATGTTATATATTGATTTAATGCAGAACAATAAACATTTTCTTTTAGTGATACCTTATCTATTGAATATATATAATATATATACACACACACACATGAGCATATTATCATTTATAATTTAACTCAATAGATGCTTCTTTCCCAAAAACTGAACTTTTCTGTCAAAGGCAGTAGATCGAATGAGTGTGTTGGGTTCATAAAAAGGATTCATGGCAAACTGAAAGAGACAAAAGCAGATTAGGATGCTAAAACATTTACTCCAAAGCAAGTAAAACTAAGATTGGTAGTTTGACAATTTGAAGGGTTTTCTGCTCTGATTGAAATAATTTAAAATTTAAGTGGGTATACAGAGTAACTACAGGCAGGTTAATCATTTAAGCTTTTTGATCATTTGTATAAAAAAAGACTGGTAAATATTTTATGCAGCAAGAATAAATTAAGCATCTAAATGTTTTCATTTTTTAAGAACATAAGAATTTACTAGGCGAAAGAAGTCGAAGGTCCATCCAGTTCACCATCCTGGCATTCGCTTAACATGTCGTATTCCAAACTATAGTATCCTGAGATATTATTTTCTAACAGTAATCTAATTTATTCTTGAAACAAACGACACTTTCTGCTTTCACTGTCTCCCTAGGGAGCCTGTTCCATATGTTTACTACTCACTCACTGAAATAGTGTTTCTGCAGATTTGTTCTGAATTTACCCCTTTCAAGTAGAACCAGAAGGCTGTGCCTTCTGGTTCTACTGTTCAGTACAAGATAAAACAGCTTGAAATGGTCTACATTATCTTGTCCCTTCAAAGTCTTCAACTGTAATCACATCGCCCCTCAACTTTCTCTCCGATGTGAACATGCCCAGTTTATCTAATTGCTCCTCATAGTCCAGTCCCACTATCTCCTCAATCATTTTGGATACCCTCTGTAGCTCGATCGCTGCAACCTCCTTTTTATATTGCGGAGACCAAAACTGCACACAGTATTCCAAGTGCGGTCTCACCAGTGATTTATAAAGTGGCTGGATTATCCAAATATTTTGGCTCAAAATTGCCTTTTTAATACAACCCAGCATCTGGTTTGCTTTACTCATTGCTATTGAGCACTGTTGCGATAGCTTCAATTTATTGTCAATCAGGACCCCCAGGTCCTTTTCATTTTCCGTACAAATTATTTTCTTTCCATTTAAAAATAGTCCATTTCTGGATTTTTTTTGTCGCCATGTTAAGCACTTTGCATATCTTTTTAAAAATAAATGAAAATGCACGTCAACGTGAATGGGCAAAACTAGCCGACCACAGTCATTGAAGAAGTCTGTTCAGATCGCTGTATATGTTCAAATAGTATTTTACACAGTGGTGTTCCATTCATTAATCAAATACTGCTGTGCTATAAGATTCAGATGCATCAAATCAGATTTCACTCTTGCTGGTGACTGAGGGAAGCTGCTAGTTCTTCACCAACACGTTGTAAAACAATGATATACATGCCTCAACAGATTTGTGCTTGATCGTATATTCCAATGTTACGTAGTAATAGTTAACTTCCAAGATGGTTGGGTAGATTCATATTTCCAATGGGAAAACAAGAGTGATAAATGTGCTAAATTAATGCTTACCTTGATGTATAAATCATAGACATCATTGAAGAAATTCTTTATTCCATCTTCTTGCCTGACATCATGCAACATAATAAATCTCATATGTGAGGCAAAGTTAAGGAAACGCACAAATTAAATGGAATGGAACTGACATTTTCATTACATTACTACTCTTCCCCAAATGCACTCATGAATTTTTGTGGCTAGAATATTTTCTGACGACCAAGTAGAGTGATCCATATATTTCTGGACATTTGGCAGCCGTGGGGTTGATGAGAAATTTCACCCAAAAATACAGTCACTGTACGGTATATCCTGTGAAGTACTTTGGACAAATGTGGCAGCCGTGGACAAATGTGGCAGCCAAGGAATTGATGACAAATTTCACCCAAAAATGCAGTCACTGTACAGTATATCCCTTGAAGTACTTTGAGACATCCCCCTGATGTATACAGGCTCTCTCAAATGTAAAGATGAATTATTATTATAAAATTTATCTGGAGGTATCTTGGCTGGGAACTCCACGTTTTCAACAGGTGTTATAGAATCTAACACCCACATGAACAGGCCGACAAGACTTCATTTTAACGACTCATTTGAAGGTAGTACCTCTGACAAGGCAGCACTTCTTTAGCAATACACTGGAATGTCAATCTATACTGCATTAAAGACAATATTTAACTTCCTGTTCAAGTTTCTTGTTTATGTTTAGTAACGCTTAAAACAACATCTTGTACATTTCCATCTACTTTCAAAATATTCTCATTGTCAACTGACATATTGCCACTGTTATTAAAAAACGTGTATTCCATATGCTCTTATGGGATGTTGATTACATTTGTACAAACAGACAATTTTAACATTTAGAGAAGAAACTCCAAACAGCCAGGAATTAATTACAAGATGCAACAATGTACACACATTGTACAAGATACATTGTACAATGTACAAGATGCACACGCCTAATAATCCCTCCAAAACAAAAAAATAATAAATTGGTCATTTTCAATCTACGACTGTTTGTGGGACACTGCTGTGCGCAATTGGCTGCCGCGTTCGCCCACAAATATACAGTCAATTCACTTTACAGTTTATTCTGTGAAGCGCTTTGGGACGTCCTCCCGACGTGAAAAGCGCTATATCAAATGCAAGGATTATTATTATTATTATTATAATGTGTAATATGCTGTCCCCTGTTGGTTTTGGATGTGAATGTACTCAGACAATCCAAAACTAGTTCTCAACTTCTGTAGTTTTGTTTTACTGTACTTCCATTTCCAATGGCAACACAAGAATAACTAGTTTCCGATAGACTTTCTTAATCACAAGGGAAAAAAAACACTCGAGTAACACCACTTCCAATTAGAAGAGACTGGATGTCACAGTGAATGAAAACATTTTTAAGCATTAATGTTTTCTGCTACTTTGAATGGTTCTATATTAAATAAACTTGGACAGATTCCAACCAAGAAAGTGCAGTCCCAAGAAGGTGAGGAAAGAGGAAGACAATGAAGGGAAATTCAATAGTTGAAAATGTCAAAGATACAAAAGAGTTTGAGGATCAGAAAGCTGATCATAAAAGGGTAGGATGTCAGTAGTGACTTTAATCAAGGCTGTCTCAGTGTGTGGGCAGATCAATAGCCATACTGGTGAATAAGGAGAGAGGAAAGAGATGTGAACATAGTTGGGTGGTGATTACAGAAAGAAAGGACATTAGAGATAATTTGGAAGGGTTAAGAGTGCACAACAAATGTGCAGATAAACCAATAATAATAATCCTTGCATTTGATATAGCGCTTTTCACATCTAGACGTCTCAAGCGCTTCACAGAATATACTATAAAATGAATTGTATATTTTGTGGGCCAAACGCGGCAGCCAATTGCGCACAGCAGTGTCCCACAAACAGTCGTGGATTGAAGTGAGCAATTTTATTATTGTTATTATCAGGAGTGTGGAGTAAGGAAACTTGCCCAAGGTTTCGCCCTGTCGGGAATCAAACCCAGGTCTCTCGCTTGTGAGGCGAGTGCTCTAACCACTGACTACAGGACTCCCTGGTGATGCCAATCTATATTGTTGCTTCTGCTTGGGACGAGGCAATACTAGCCAACTAGAGATTTACTCTGTGTGAACAACATCAGAAGTGTGTTTATCGTAATCCTATCCTTCAATCAATGGAGATATCCAGCACAACAGGTGAACATAACTGACTGAATACAATCTATATTTCTGTTAAATTATTTTGTGATTTTGTTTAGTCTAAAAAAATTCAACTAAAATAACTAGATAAAAGGCAACATGTACAAAAGGATATGTCCAGCTGTAACAAATGCAGAGACAAACCATTCATTGAACTTGTCAACAGTCTTCAAGTACATATTGTTGGATAACCACATGTTTTCATCTACTAGGTCGAGAGCAGCATGAGCTATGAACTGGTTAAGATGTCGGTGATCATCCTGTTTTGGAGAATTAAACAAATATCTTAGAAATAAATAAGGAACTCATGTGTAAACTCAGCCTTCCTATAAAATTCCATTCCAGAAAAGATTCAGATCAGAATCACTATTACTTCTGGGGCTATGCTGAACACAAAATAATGTCTTCAAAACATTGGTTGTAACAGTAGAAATGTGATCAATCATCGGATGAATTACTGTAAACAAACTAATGTTAATACAATAGAAACAGAATAATATGCTTTTCCTATTCCAAACACAGCTGCCAATTGGTGCAGACAAAAATCCCACAAACAGCTTTGAAGCAAATGATAAATTTATCTGGAGGATATTGGTAAGAACACAAGAAGAAACTTCTTTTTTCAAATAGTGTCATAAGATTTTTAACATTCACCTGAACAGGCAAAGCAGACATATTGTTAGGACAGAGTAGAGAGATTTATTCCACATCTGATCTGTGCTATAAACTAAAAGTGTTTGATGCAGACACTGTGTAACAAAATATGACGAGAAAAAAAACTTCCATTCCATCACCGTTTAGAAAGACCCACAGAACAACACACAAAGAAATGAACCTGATTTGCTATTTGGAATAATGTTGAAATCGTTCTGATAACAGCAATATCAGTATTGCCAATGAAAGATCATTCCTTTCTAAAAGTTTTTCTGCGCATCTTAAATTCTAGTGCCCAGTCATACCTTAGAATAATATTTTACAATATACAAACATTGGATACATATCCACTGTTTTTATAGTATCAATAATCAATAATTCTGGTATGATTAAACAATATTCCTATACCAGCTATTGTGTTTTCTTCCCAATAAACATTTCTACTAATACTCACTTTCGGCTCCATCTTGCCTGCTGGAAGAAACTCCATTTCAAACACTGGGTTGTCATGATGACCAACAATAACAAAATAAAAACTGCCAGACATGATTCTGATACAACCTGTTAAATAAACTAGAAGAGAAAGGTCATTATTAAAATGGATACAACGCATAAATCAGAAACATGGTTGTAAACAGGGAACTGTCCTGGAAGAAAGAGCAAAAGTAAACAATGGCAGAGTTTGTGATTTGAGCTTTGGTTTAGATGGCCAAGAAAATTTGCATACAGCAAATTCCCATGCAATCAGCAAATTCCCATGCAATCATAATAATATAATCCTTGCATTTGTTATAGGGCTTTAATCTATCTTTGAGACGTCTCAAAGCGCTTCACAGAATATACTGTAAAGTGAATTGACTGTGTATTTTGTGGGCGAAACATGGCAGCCAATTGGCGCAAAGCAGTGTCCCACAATAGTGGTCGATTGAAGGACCAAATTATTAGTGTTTTTTTTTTGAAGGGTTTATTACCCCCCGGAAAGTGATCCGTCAATCAACGAACAATCGGATTCCTACTTACTGCTAGGTAAACAGAGGTGTGTGGTGTAAGGAAATGTTTCGTCCAGGAATCAAACCCAGGTCCTCTCACTTGTGAAGCGAGCGCTCCAACCACTAAGCTGCAGGACTCATGGAAATGACTGATCTCCCAGAAGGATCGAATTCAAGATCCTCATCCTCACCTACAAGGCCATTCACGGCTTTGCTCCCTCCGACCTCTCTGACCTACTACTATCCCCCTACTTACCTGCCCGTACCCTCCGTTCCTCTGGCTCCGGTCTGCTCCACATCTCCCGCCCTACCATCGGTGGTCGGGCCTTCAGCCTCTCAGCCCCGAGGCTCTGGAACTCCATACCCCAGTGCCTTCGCCACCTCCTCCCTTTCCTCCTTCAAGGCCGGTCTCAAGACCTTCCTCTTCGACCGTGCCTTCAGCTCCCCTCTCAACTCTTTACCCCCTCCTCGCTCCCTCCCTGACCATTTCCCCCTGCTCGGGTCCTGACCCAACTGTCCAGCGCCTTGGGACGTCCTCCCGACTTGAAAGGCGCTCTATAAATGGAATCTTGTTGTTGTTGACTAAATTATCTGTTGGCTAGAACTCCAGGAGAAAATCCCTTCTCTTTTTGAAATAGTGTCTGGACCTCAGTTTAATATTTCATCTGAAGGACAGAAACTCCAACAATGTAATGCACAATACGACTGCCCTAATGTAATCTCTGACTCCTCGAGGCCAAAGGATGCATTACTTCCTAACTGACCTAATCTTTACTCTTCTCCTCAACCGCATCCTGTCCTGACATTCACCCATTGACATACATTTCCAAACAGTAGCCTCTGAAATAACAGAAATGAGTTGAACCCCCATCCCAAGAACACAGAGTCCACTTGTCTCCATCAGCTAACCCAACATAGGAAGACTAGGGTGTACTCAATGGGCCTGCCCACAAGTCATTACTCCAGAGGATAAAAAGCAAACTGCAAGCATAGAAAGAAATCTAGATATCTTCTGCACAAAGTAGGACAGGCATGGTGTCAGTGACAGCATAGCTGCTTTTCTACATAGTTGTTTAAAAAGAGAGACTAGAGTGAGAAGCTAGACTGCCTCTCTACCGATAATGGGAGTCCTGTAGCTCAGTGGTTAGAGCACTCGACTCAAAAGCGAGAGACCTGGGTTCAATTCTCGGCAGGGCGAAACGTTGGACAAATTACCTTACTTAACATGCCTCTCTTTACCTAGCAGTAAATAGGAACCCGGTTGTTAGTCGATTGGAGGATTGCTTTTCCAGGGGTAATAATTCCTTCAAAAAAAATAACAATAATAAATTGGTCACTCCAACCCACGATTTTTTGTGGGACACTACTGCACACAATTGGCTGCCGCGTTTTGCGCACAAAATACACAGACGGGATAGGGCGCTATATCAAATGCAACAACAACAACAAGGTTACATTTGTATAGCGCCTTTCACATCGGGAGGACGTCCCAAGGCACTGGACAGTGTACAGCATTTCAGACCCGAGCTGGGGTCAGGGGGGGTTAAGGAAGGGGAGGGGAAGGCGGTCGATGGTACGGTCGAAGAGGAGGGTTTTGAGGCGGGATTTGAAGGAGGCTAAGGAGGGGGCGAGGCGGAGTGACTGGGGGATGGAATTCCAGAGGTTGGGGGGGCAGAGCGGCTGAAGGCTCTCCCGCCAACGGTGGGGCGGGCGGGGCGGGCGGGCGGGGCGGGGGGCGTGGAGCAGGACAGAGCCGGCTGAGCGCAGGGAGCGGGCGGGTTGGTAGGGGGTTAGGAGGTCGCAGAGGTAGGGTGGGGCGAGGCCACTCACATTCAACTGTGGGAAACTTGCAAGGATTATTATTATTATTATTATTATTAACCCCCAAATATCGGAAGCGACGGCCCGTAAAGGCGCTCAGTCACAGTGATGGCAGCTTTGGCGACACAGAGTCACTGACTGACAGACTGACGGTAAAGGCGGTCAGGAGGGAGGGGGGGAAGCTCTCACCGGGGCCGGGCGGCGCTGCACTGGCACAGTCCCGGGTGGGTGGGTGGGTAACGGCGTCAAGTGGTCAAAGCCGCGGGACCGAGAGGAAGGAAACGCGAGTCTCTCCGCACAGGTCAACCGCCCTCTCCCCCGAGTCTCCCACGACAGCCGCAGGACTCGGCCGCTCCTGGCTGAGGCCGGACGTGACGCGACGCGGCCGCGAGCCCGGAAGCGGAAGTTGCTGGCGCCGCGGCAGCCGGTTGCCCGAGTGACGGCGGGGATTCCGAGAGCGACGGTTGCAGCGGAGAGCGCGAGCCACCGGCAGCGGCTCAGTGTGTGCAGCCGAGACAGCGAGACGGTAACACCCAGAGCAGGTCAGTGGGTACAGGGGGTACAGTGACCCCTTTATACAGCGCGACATTAACACCCAGAGCAGGTCAGTGGGTACAGTGACCCCTTTACAAATATAGCAGTCAATTCACTTTACAGTGTCTTCTGTGAAGCGCTTTGGGACGTCCTCCCGACGTGAAAAGCGCTATATCAAATGCAAGGATTATTATTATTATTATTATTATTTATACAGCGCGACATTAACACCCAGTGTAGGTCAGTGGGTACAGTGACCCCTTTATACAGCGCGACATTAACACCCAGTGTAGGTCAGTGGGTACAGTGACCCCTTTATACAGCGAGACATTAACACCCAGTGCAGGTCAGTGGGTACAGTGACCCCTTTATACAGCGAGACATTAACACCCAGTGTAGGTCAGTGGGTAAAGTGACCCCTTTATACAGCGAGACATTAACACCCAGAGCAGGTCAGTGGGTACAGGGGGTACAGTGACCCCTTTATACAGCGCGACATTAACACCCAGTGCAGGTCAGTGGGTACAGTGACCCCTTTATACAGCGAGACATTAACACCCAGTGCCACCCACTTATCTCAAACCCGTTTAAATCGACATCTCGCGTAATGTCGACAACAAGTTGAAACAATTTCAAGTCCCCGACAGTATTGTTTTTATTACCGCAAATGCCAACAACCTGCTGATGTCGACAAAATCCGCTCAGTACCCACGAGGTTGACATAAACGGTTAAGGCTGTAATTGCTGTTTAATGCAGTGACCGTTTATAATAATAATAATGATAATAATCCTTGCATTTGATATAGCGCTTTTCACGTCAGGAGGACGTCCCAAAGCGCTTCACAGAACACACTGTAAAGTGAATTGACTGTTTGGGTCTGCGAACGATCTTCATTCTGCAGATCTGGCAGTCATTACACTTTACAGTAAATTCTACAAAATGTTTTTTGAGACCTTTTGGCAACTTGTTGCGATGTTACATCAAATGCAAGGATTATTATCATTATAATTATGGTTATGATAAGAGGCTTAAATCCACTCATTTGAGCTGGAGTCCAGGACTCCAAAGTAAAAGAACAGTTGTGAAACCCATTGTATTACCCAGTTCCCAAAATATACTGATATATTTTATTTGCTCTTTTATTGACAAATATTATTACATTTCAAAAACCTTACCCTTTCTTAATGAAATGTAGGAAGATATTTTTGACTTTTCCACTGCAGATGTTGATTTAAAGTACCTTTGTTTTGTATGTACAATTAATGCATATGTTTGTTTCAGTATTTCAAATGGCTTGTGAACCAAGTGAAGCTATTTCTTCGGAAGAGCTCAGGAGGAGACTTTATCAGACATTCAAAAGTCGAGGTGTATTAGATTCTTTAAAGGTATTCATTTGAAGTTTCATTTTCAATTTCTATTTGTAACATTTTTCGCCCACAAAATATACATTCAGTTCACTTTACAGTATATTTTGTGAAATGCTTTGCGACGTCTCGAAGACGTGATAAGGCACTATATCAAATGCAAGGATTATTATATTCTTCTATAATAATCCTACATTGTGCTTTTCAAGTTGAAATTTCTTCAACTGTATTAAAAAAGAATAATTCTTGCATTTGATATGGGGCCTACAATAATGAAACATAACAAAGGGCTTCACAGTTATATGTTAAGTTAAGTGACTGTACCAGAGGTAGTCAATTTACGCACATCAAAGTCCCACAAACAGCTATAAAGTGAATGCCCAATATAATCTGGAGAATGCTGGGCGAGTACTGTGTTGTAATAACAAGATGTCTGTTGTAATTTACAGTTCTTAGACAACAATAATCTCAGCACTGCAGAGTGTATTTTTAATATGCAGAACTCTGTCGGTCGTGTCCTCCAGCACCAGGCTCCGCGAACCAGTCACCCCCGTTCTTGCCCAGCTTCACTCAGAGAATCGAGTACAAAACCCTCATTCTCACCTTCAAAGCCCTCAATGGTCTTGTTCCCCTTACCTCTCCGACCTAACCCCATATTAGCATGTCCATTCCCTCCGCTCAGTGGATACCAGCCTGCTTCAGGTCCCCCACACTTCCCAAGCCCCACCATTGGTGGTCGGGCATTCAGCATCTCTGCTCCCACACTCTGGAACTCTATCCCGCAATCCCTCCGCCTCACCCCCTCTCGTGCTTTCGGCTACCTTCCCACCCCCATACCCCCCTGCCCTCCACCCTTCCTGACCCCAGATTGGGTCCAAAAACCCCTGATTGTCCCCTAGGACTTCTTTCTGATGTGAAGGGTGCTATTCCAGTGTAATTTGTTGTTGTTGTTTAAGTAACATTTTATTAAGGTACCATAATAAAGCCTAAGGCAATGCATTACTGCTTCACTTTACCAGGGCACAAAGTAGTAGGGTATAAGTTTTGTGGTCCAAATAGTGAGAGCTGATGTTTTAATTTCAAATAATTAAGATCTCTTTCAAGATTACGAGTATTGGAAGAAGTTCTATGTTGCTTCTCATTTGATATTTTCCTCACTGTTAATCTTGTATTGGACAGTCTCAACTTCGAAATCAGCTTGTTCATGAATTGGCACGGCCAGTCTTGAGTGGAGATTTATCAGCATACCATCATCATCATCATCATCACCACCATTCTTCAGCTGACACGGATTCCTTATTAATTAAGGCATCAAATAGCATTGTAGCAGATCATTTGCGCCGGATTGGATATCAGTACACACTATCTGTCTTCTATCCAGAATGTGGCTTGGAAAAGGAGAAGGTAAAGCAAATCTAACATTTGTGGTTTTTATTTAATATTAATATATGGGAGGGAGAAAAGTAACATCTGTGGGCAACATCATTTACAAAGCTTCATGTTATTCAGTTATGTTCTTATTTTACCCAAGTCCTGAATTTTATGCAGTTTTGGCTGCAGTTATATGTGTATTGCACGTTTTGTGTCACTGTGAAGTTGTTTCAGTATTTTGCAAAGTGTACGAACTGGTCTAATAGATAATTATGGATAAAACATACATTTATAAATTCAATGAGAATCATTTGTTTCCTCTTTTATTTCCAAAGGTATTTAGTACAAGAGATCTCCTACAGATTTTGAAGATTTGTCCTGGATCAGACCTTTACAAATCAACAGTGAGTTGTTTTTATTTTTAATCTACAGCAGTTTGATTGTTCCTGGTTTCATTTTAGTTTATTGAATGCTGTTCATTCTTTATTATTCTTTTGCCAGATCTTAGGCCTCCAGAACGAACATGAAAAAGGTAACCATGCTGCACCAGTACTTTTGAAAATACTGTACTGGAGAAATATCTGATTGTTTTTAAATTGTACTGTTCTGTAATATATTTTCTATTACATTTTAAAAAAATAGTTTTGTGTTGTTGGTAGGTTTTCTTGTGCAACTTCTGATGGAATTCACTGAATATCACCAAAACAAGCAGCATCGAGATGCAGAAGCGCAGACCAGATCAATTCCAGAGTACAGAGAATCCCTTGGTAATGGGGAGAAACAATCTTATTCCAATAAGTGATTTGTAGCTTGTCTTCCATTACATTTAAGTTTTTTTTAAAAAAGGTCTTTAGTTATAATATTTTACAAGTAAATGACATATACTTTGAACAGTACACTTTACAGTAAATCCTGTGAAGCACTGAGACATCTTCCATCAAATGTGAGGATAATAATAATCCTTGCATTTGATATAGTGCTTTATCACGTCGTTGAGACGTCTCAAAGTGTTTCACAGAATATACTGTAAAGTGAATTGACTGTATTTTGTGGGCAAAACGATTATAATTATTATGCTAAATGCAAAATACTACAGATGCTGGAAATCTGAAACAAAAACAGCAGTCACTGAGAATACTCAGCAGGTCAGGCAGCATCTATGGAGAAAGGAAAGTGAGTCAACGTTTCGGGTCCACAACCCTTGGTCAGAATTGATGAACTGTGGACCCCAAATGTTGACTCACTTTCTCCATAGATGCTGCCTGACCTGTTGAGTGTTCCCAGCGACTTCTGTTTTTGTTTCATGATTATTATACTATTGGTACTGCAGACTATTATGTAATTAAACAATTGAGATTGTAAGTTCATAACACCCAAAAAATGAAAAAATAGATAGACTAGAAGAGAGTATTCAATGGAATCCAAAATGCTCCATTATGAGCAATCTGTGTAAGTGGGTTTGTTGTCTCAAACATAATATGTTAGAAATGGTGTCACCTTTCAAGGTGTCAATAAATCCACAGTGGCTTTATTGATTTGTTGCTCAAAATCAAAATAAGATACATTTCAACAAACACAAATCACACATATCTTAAAATACAAAAATGTATTTGCTTCTCTTCCCTTGTTGCAGGTATACGATACATTACAGTTTACATTTATAAAGTGCTTTTTATGTCGGGAGGATGTCTCAAAGTACTTCACACTGCTCTCTGGGTATCTCAGTAGACGAGCTCCTCCAAAAATAGTTTCTAAAGGGTTTGTGAGAGTAGCCATGGGTGAATCTCAAACTTTTCTATTTCTTTTAATGTTGCCTTATATGTTTTTCTTTAGTTGTTGTACTGAAGGCCAAACTCCGTGTGTCCTTTCTTACAGCTGACAAGTTTCAGTTGGTTGATGAAGAATATGCAGCACTTAGCCCAACGTGTGTGAGAGAGGACTTTTGGGAAGCAAAATTGCTTGCATATCGGAAACAAGTAGAAGAACAACTTCAGGCAGAAATGTACCAAGAGGTAACAAGCACATTATCATTCTTTAAACAACTGCTTAGTTCCATTTAATATTGATCCTAATACTTCAATTTTATTTTGTATTACTCTAATAGTACATAAGAGTCAATGTATTTTCCTTAATTTGCTACTTTTTGAGAAACAACAAAGGTAGGTTTAATTCCAACTACAAAGAGAAGCACATCTTATGCCACATCTTCAGCTTTTACTGAACATTGTTTAAGAGGCAGGAATCCGGTTACTTTCCAGGTTGTGGAAAATCAGCTTAGTTTTTAACTAATTCATCAAAATGCTTTTGATTTTTATAATTCAAAAAGTAGCTGTTTTTCAACAACCTGGCTTCAATCTTCCAAAATTCTGTACATAATTCTGCTTAGTCTTACATTTTGACATGATTGCCTTTTTTAAGTCTTAAGGCCATGAAAAACCTGAGCCTCTCAGTTTTACTCTGAATTTTCTCTGAGATTTTGTATTGTAAGGAAATGACACTCAGTATTATAACAACCCAAGTGTAATTAAATGAGTGATCAATTATTACACAGTACCCATTGAATTATACTCAGAAAGGGAAGCTCTTCTTTCTACAGCGTGATTATTATGTAATTCTTCAAGTTGATGTATTGTGCAAGATAGCTTAATTTTGATTTTGCAGATGGATTGCAATCTAATTTTTTCTACTATTCTTTGCAGATGCAACGATTCAAGGATGTTGAAGTAGCTAAGATTCAGTTGGAGGAAAAAGAGCGGTCACAAAAGCAGATCGATGATCTTAAATGGAAGCTGGATAAAACGTACCAGACAAAATCTGAAACTTTGATAACCCGGGAAAAAAATGCAATTGAGCGACTTCAAAAACAGCAAGAGGTAGGTTTAGGTACAAATACATAAAAAAGAGGTGGAGAACTTTTGTTTCCACGTAGAAGTAATGCCTGTTATAATGTTTTATTTACGTGCACAATTGTTTCTTAACAATACAAATTTATTTCTATAAAATCTACTATAGCTATATTGAACTATCTTTTGATTTTTTTAAATGTAATTTGTTACTATTTTGTTTATCTACCATTTTCGGGTCCTCTTGGTCTTGTGCTGAGAGTGCAAGTGTACACCAATCAAATTGGCCTTAGTGCATCTTCACAGTCACGGGAAGCACCTGGAATAACTGATAGTAGGTTATATGTCATTGTTCCTACCCCATCTCATTTGTCACACATTCATTTCTCAATTTCATTTTGTGCATCTAAGGGGAAAATGTCAAATTGTTTGTTCCTGCAGAGAAGAAACAAAACCAATATTGATCTCATGCACAAACTAATAGTTGATTTAAGAAGGTCATTGGCAGAGGGAACAGGCCAGATTCTTCCAGCCCTTGTAGTCAAGAAATAGTGCATGCTAAAAGAGAATAAGACTTTAAATAATTTTAAAAAACAACTTTTTAAAAATATATTATTAATGCATTGGAAACGCACTCTTGAATATTTCTTAAATCTGATTTGAAGCTACACAATCTTCGTGGTTGGAAAAGTAAGAAATTATACCAGTTATGTGTTTATTTTACTATGAAATTGAGCAAATATTGCAAAATGTAAGTATCCACTGTTAGCGATTACACTGCTGATAATGTAAAATGTCTGTTTTGTTACAGATTGAGGAAAAAGAGATTTATGCACAGAGGCAAGGTTTACTGAAAGATATTGAAGTTGTCCGATTAAGGGAGGCTGAATTAAATCAGCGCATTGAAACCGTTGAACTGTAAGCAGAAAAGCCAATTAATAATGTACCATTTCTCAAAGCTAACATTAACTTGTGTGTGATTAATATTCCCAAGTGGATATGTTGGAGTAATTCATATTTTCCAAGACAGTAATCCAAAGTTACATTTAAAAAAAAAATTGGATTGAACCACAGAATGCCTAGCTGAAAAGTTATGACTTGTGAGAAAGAGTTTTCACTATTTGCTAATTGGTGTAGTGAAAGGTTCTTTGACAGGAAACAACCATAGGCAGTACAGGAGATTATTGCTTAAAGAATTGCAAAAGAGCAATTGTAACTTTGCAGAAAATGTTTGAAAAGGATGTATTTGATTAATTGAGGAACCAGCATTAGCATAGGCTTGCTTAATGGGACAAATGGGATTCTATGATGCTGTAATTTCTGTGGTTCTACAATATAGTTTTAAAATTGTGAATCCAAGGGTAAATTAAATCTAATATATTGACTAGAGTTTGGAGGCTGTACACTGGACTGTCAACCATTGTATTGCAATAATGATGTATTTAGCTTCAAGCAATTTCAACACACTCCTGTCCAATTTGATCGGTTCTGCTATCTTTGACTCAGTAGTTCACTACAAAATATTCATGGACTAAATGCAGTCAATATTCATTGTTTGTAAATGTATCATATGATATAGATAATAATTTGGCAACTAATGCAAAGCACGACAGGTTACCCTTATCATTTCACACATGGTGTTGCTCCGCCACTAACTCTCCTTTTGGGTCATTGAGACCCTAAACCGTACATTTATCACAGCCAGGCTTCACTGCGCCAATTCTCTGCTCTGTTGACTACCCAACTCCTCCCTTCACAAGCTGCAGCCATATCCTTTCCCACATTAAACAGTAGGTTAAACTCCCAAGGCAACCTAGCACTGAAATTGATTCATTTTACACTGGATAGGTTATAAGGTTCTTATAAGGGATCCTAAACTGTAAAGCACTCTGAAACGGCATCCGGCGTGGAGGGCGCTATATAAACCCAAGTTGTTGTTGTTAAACTCTGTGAGCCTATTACTCCCACCCCCCCCAACCCCCCATCATCCCCCAGCTCCATTGGCTTTCCATTCCCCAGCAAATCAGGATCCTTGTCCCAGTGTACCTCCGTTGCCTCCTCAAACTGTACTAATCCAGCTTCTTCCTTCGCTCAGCAGGCGCTGGGCTGATTCATGCCTCCCGCCCTAACCACCCCACAATGGGCTTTCTGCCCCCACTCCCTGAAACTCCATTCCGGATGTCTCCAACTCGTCTCTTCCCTCACTTCTTTTCAGGTCCATCACAAAACCTTCCTTTTTGATCTTGCCTTCGGTCATCTTTTCCCTCCCCACCCCTCTTGGCTCCCACCCTCACCTCGGGTGCCAACAGAATTATCAAACGCCTTGGGACATCATCCCGACGTGAAAGATTCTATATTAATGTATAGATCTGTATTTGTTCTATTGACCATATTTATATAAAATTTTGATCTTCTGATTTTGGTTCCAATTGTAAAAACATAAAAGTTACCTTTTGTTTGTCATCTTTCAGCTAATTGTGATTTGAAGGAAAGGTTTTACTGCAGCAAAGCTCTGAAGGATTGGTTGAACCACACAGTAGCAGTTCTTCTCCATAGATTGAGCTATTTTCCTTCGTGAACCATCTAGTGGCCAAATCAAGAACCTTATAACTTATCCAGTGTAAAATGAATCAATTTCAGTGCTAGGTTGCCTTGCGAGTTTAACCTACTGTTTCATAAATGGATTTTTAAGCGCTTGAGTCACACTACTTTTTCAAATTTTTTCTGTGAGCTTCAGAATAAGTTTGCTAATAGTTTTGTATTTGTCTGGCTATCTGTTTATCTTTATCTCTCTCTCTCAAAAAAAATGGGTTACCAGCCTAGTTTGAATAAAGTTTTCAATGGGAGATAAAACTGGTGATTCCATCACAGACACTTTTTACTCGGAGTCACACAGTTGTGATGTTGATAGAGAACGTTTGAGACACCAATGCCATTGAAAGTAAATAGCAAGATATTTAGAACATTCTCCTGAGTACAATAAATAAATTTGGAGTGAGCTAATCATATCATAGCAGTTCATTTTGGAAGAAGACAACTGGATAGGGAGGTTGCTTTGTTTTTGCTAAAACAGTTGATGCAGTGTCAGTTAAAGAAGCTTTTCATCACAATTGATAATTAGTGTATTATCTAACCATTAACACTTCTTACCCTGTCTAATGTATTTCTGTAATCCAACTGTTGAATTGGAGCAGTTCTACTCAGGTCCCTAGTTTGCCATTTTGGTTGCAGTGAGTGTATCATTTTTATTACAAGTTTTCTGTGATTTCAGAACCCAGAAGTTACATGAACAAAAGAACAAGTGTATAGAAGAGGATCTCCGAAGACGGGAGCTTGCAGTGAAAAATATTGAAGACCGTTATGAAGAAAAGCTCGAGAATGAGATGTGCAGGTGACGTGTGTGATTGAGGACTATTGAAGTCAATTTTAATCCATAAAATAAAATTCTAACATACTGTATAACTAGTTTGCATTCTTCCTAAAATGTCTAATTGGAATACTAACTTTAACATACTAAATGTAACATTTTCCTAATTAGTTAGTAGTCAATGTTAATGTATCAACGATTGTTTCACATAGATATCAACTGGAGGTGAAGGAAGACTACCTTAAAAGGACTGAGCAAGTCATTGCCAACGAGAAAAGAAATGAAGGTCTATTTCATTATTTTGTTCATAATTTGATGCCGGAAGTATATACACTATGTATTGCTCAGGATAATGTTCTTTAGGGAACTAGTTTAAGAAAAGTACCATTAGCTGCCTCTTTGTATACATGTGTCCAAAGTGTTTAACTTTTTGCTAATTATACTTACCTTTTTCATTCCTATAATGAGGCTTTGGTTTAGTTCGGATGAAGATTCAGACCCACAACATGTTTCTTTATCAAAAGATTACTTGTTTAATTTTCTTACTCCAAATCTATTTTCTTATACCTACAGTTGTGCAGTTGTACCTCACCTACTGCCCATTCAGTAATGAGGGAAATTCACCAATCAGGCTATTATTTTAGCCATCTTTTTACTTTTTTTTAAGTCCAAAATATTTACTGTTCTTAATGTTGAGTTTTCACTGTATTTGGAATCAATATAATTTCCTTTTAGATATCTATACTCAGTGAAACCAGCATCTGCTGCACTAGGTGGCAGTCTTCCACAAGTCAGTGATTTCCAAAATGCAGAGATCCTAATATTTTAAACTACGCTTTTAGTTTGTTATTTTAAAATTTCGGTTTATGTTTTTTATCCATCTTATTAATTTTTTTCATCGTTTTATAGAATGATCCCACAATTTTAACTCTTGTTGAGAACAGATTCAGTTTTTGTTTCTAATTTTCTTCCCTCCTCTCCTGAAGGGACTCACTCAAATTGGGATATGGGTCCATGAGAGCCAGCAGCCTAGGGCAGCAGCCATAGTAGAACGACGGTTTGCGTTTTCTTGGTAATGGGGCAGGGTAGGAGATATATTGGCAATAGTTTTCAGAAGTTCTGTTCTTTAATGTTTATTATATTAACCACCATGCCTCGAATCTCTAGAACTTGTGGAGTCCTGTAGCTCAGTGGTTAGAGCATTCGCTTTGCAAGTGAGAGACCTGAGTTCAATTCCAGGCAGAGGGCGAAACCTTGGGCAAGTTTCCTTACTCCACACGTCTAATAATAATCCCTCCAAAACCAAAAAAAATAATAAATTGGTCATTTTCAATCTACGACTGTTTGTGGGACATTGCTGTGCGCAATTGGCTGACGCATTCGCCCACAAATATACAGTCAATTCACTTTACAGTTTGTTCTGTGAAGCGCTTTGAGACGTCCTCCCGACGTGAAAAGCGCTATATCAAATGCAAGGATTATTATTATTACAACTCCCTGCCTCAATCCCTCTGTTTTGCCCCTGCTTTATCTGTCTTCAAATCACAACAACAACAAAATTACATTTGTATAGTGCCTTTCACGCTGGGAGGACGTCCCAAGGCACTGGACAGTCAAAGTTTCGGACCAGAGCTGGGGGTCGGCAAGGGAGTCTCCTTGACTTGAAGCAGGCAAGGGAGGGGGTGAGGCGGAGGGACTGCGGGATGGAGTTTCAGAGGGTGGGGGCTGAGTGGCAGAAGGTTCGTCCGCCAATGGTGGGGCGAGCGAAGCGAGGGACATGAAGCAGGCTGGATCCCGCTGAGCGGAGGGAGCAGGCAGGATGGTAGGGGGTTAGGAGGGCTTTGAAGGTGAGGACCAGGATCTTGAACTGTCTTCTCTGTGTGATGGGAAGCCAGTGGAGTTGGGCGAGGATAGGGGTGAGAGAGTCAAGGAGCCTGGTGCGGGAGAGGACACGGACTGCAGGGTTCTGGATGATCTGCAGCCTATTGAAGGAGGAGTTGGGGAGGTTAATAAGCAAAAAGTTTGTGGAGTCAAGCCTTGATGTAATGAAGGTGTGTATGAGGGTTTCGGTGGCCTGCGGTGTGAGACAGTAGCAGAGCTGGGCGATGTTACAGAGGTGGGGGAAGGCAGAGCACAGATGTGGGGTAGAAAGGATAGTTCAGAGTCAAACAAGACGCCAAGATTCCGGACTGGCTTAGTAAGGCAGAGTGTGCATCCGTGGATGGTGATGCTGTCAGCGCCTGAGGTGTGGAGGTGCTGACGGGAGCCAATCAGAAGAGCCTCGGTCTTGTTGACGTTCAACTGAAGAAAGTTCGCTCTCATCCAGGACATGATGTCTAACAGACATTCTGTCAGGGCAGCAGTGGTCCTGGAGTCAAGGGTAGAGGGAGAGAGGTAGAGTTAGGTGTCATCCGCATACATGTGGAAGTTGACCCCATGTCTGTGGATGATGTCACCAAGAAGGAGCATATAGATATTGAAGAGGAGGGGACCAAGGACAGAGCCCTGAGGAACACCGCACGAGATGGCGCGGGGGCTAGAGGAGAAACCATTTGTGGAGATGAAGTGGAGGCAGTGTGAGAGATACGATCTAAACGAGTCAAGCACAGAGCCATGAAGGTTGAGAGGAGAGGCGGATGAGGATAAAGTGGTCGATATTGTCGAAGGCAGCAGAGAGGTCAAGGAGGACGAGGAGGCTGAGGGAGACCTGGTCGCAGATAGACAGAATGTCATTTGTCACTTTGACCAGGGCTGGGCGGCACAGAAACCCGATTGGAGGGGTTTGTGAAGGGAGTGGCAGGAGAGGAAGGAGCGAATCTGGGAAGCAACAACTCTTTCCAGGACCTTGGAGAGGAAAGGGAGGTTGGAGATGGTGCGGTAGTTTGAGAGTAGAGTAGAGATGGGTCCAGGGAGGGTTTTTTAAGGGTAGGATTGATGACGAACGTTTTTAACAGGATGGAAATAGTACCAGTGGGCAGGGTAAAATCACAGACTTTCCTCTTTGACCATGGCTTCAGTCAAATCCGCTCTCTTTCCAGTTCAGGGTCGAACCACACTGTAATCTAGATGCTAATGTTTGAAGAGCACTATATAAATGCAAGTTGTTCTAGTATTACCAAGATAAATATTTCACATTCCCCAACATCTTGCATTTTTTTTCATTTGATCAAGATTAGTTTTATATTTAACTTTGTAACTTTCATGCCATTTTAAATTCCATAAATCAAACTATTTAGAAGGGACTTTGTTAGAAGAGACAATGTAGGAGAGAACACTTTCAGCCAATTAGGGTCATGTTTTCAGTCTATTTTTCTTTCAAAAATCACAAGCCTTGGGGGAAATAGCTAATTTTTCTTTGTTGTGGAGCCCTGCCATTTTGGTCTTCTCTATCATTAGGAAGCCATACAACAGTTGTCAAGATACAAGAAATATCAATGAGCAGTTTTGCAGGAAATCTGGCAGATTGGCATCCTTTCCAGCTGTGATATCAGGGGAGTACCCAGCCACTACTGAATTTTCCTGGCTTGGCCATGTCCCATTAGGCATCCAGAACCACAAAGACTGCTAAACGAGATATGTTTTGGAGTCTTTCATTGATTTTTCTGTCCCTGATAATAACTCTTGATGGTGGAAGGAAGTACTTCATTCTCCTTCCTTTCCCTCCCCAACTATGCACACCCTTGCTTTCTTTTCACCTTCCCGTACCATACATTATAGATTCAGGATAGATTTTCTCCAAATTTCCTATATGGCTTGAAGCTATTAAATAAATGATTTTCAGGATGATTGTGTGAAATAATAATAATAATCCTTGCATTTGATATAGCGCTTTTCACGTCGGGAGGACGTCCCAAAGCGCTTCACAGAATAGACTGTAAAGTGAATTGACTGTATATTTGTGGGCGAACGCGGCAGCCAATTGCGCACAGCAATGTCCCACAAACAGTCGTAAATTGAAAATGACCAATTTATTATTGTTTTTGTTTTTTTGGAGGGATTATTATTAGGCGTGTGGAGTAAGGAAACTTGCCCAAGGTTTCGCCCTGCCTGGAATTGAACTCAGGTCTCTCACTTGCAAAGCGAGTGCTCTAACCACTGAGCTACAGGACTCCACGAAATGTATTGTATACCTTGATTCTTTTTTCCCTGCTAAACCATTCCTGTGTTTTCTGCCATTTCCAGCAGAGGCAGCTAAATTGAGTGAAGAGTCTGCTATCATCCAATCAAAAAGGCTGGAACTGCAACAAGCCATCGATCAAATTAAGAAACTACAGGTAAACCGTAAAACAAAAAATGGCAACAAACAATGATTTGTAGTTTTGCTTTCATATATATTTAATGCTCAATAATTATTTTTAATTGTCTAGATCAGGGTGGTTCAGTGGTGGACGTTTCTTCAATAGGGCACCTGGCCCTCAGGAGCCAAACGTTTGGACCACTCAGGTCTAGATATTGTCAGGTTACTGGTACACTTGACCAGATAACTGGTCCTGTGCTAACCATTCCTAGTTTACACTTCAAATTTCATTGTAGCTTGACCACATTGTAGGTTGCTCCACTTAGTTTTAGAGCTCAGTCACCGTGACCATTCTTATTGATTGTTTCGACACCAAGTGGGGTGGGGGGGAGTGCTTATTAGGATATAGATAGCTGGTGATGAATTGAATATTGATAATTCTATTGCTAACACTGGCAATTGAAGCAATCTGCTCTTTTAAAGATATTTTGAAACATCTATAATCAACTACCATATTTCATAACAATCCACAGGAATTACATTTGTAAACTATTAGACATTTGTTTCATTAAAGTAGAGGAACTGCTTAACATCTTTAACTCTGTAGCGCTTCTGGTGCATTGTAACTTGTTAAAAAAGAAAAGCAAAGAAAGGTTTCTGATTAAGCACAAATGATCTCTGTTTTCCCATGTCTTGCTGCACAGTTAATCTATAATGGTGCTGCAAAACTGGTTGCACTGTGATGCACAAAATTTGGAATCTGGTAGCAAAATACTAGCACTGATTACGTTTTTTTAAAAATTACACACACGTAGAACATAGCTTAGATCTCCCATAGGCTTGATTAAGTTGACCTGTATGAATTGTGCATTCTTACAACATGGTTGTCAAATATGTCAAAACTGTGCTTTCAAAAATCTTGACATTTTTGGTAGTCCAGATGTTATTTTATGAGGCGTATCTTCTAGGTTAAAATCTAAACTGATCAAAACAAGATACTTAAACCATCCCATTATTTCCAGGTGGAATTGAATGCAGCTGAGGTGCAAGTGGATTTGCTGAATAAGCAAAATGAGTTGCTAAATGAAAAGCTAAAGGATGTAGGAGACTACGCACTGTTAAAGACACAACAAATAGAACTTCGGACTGAAATCAAACATCTGAGACAACACCTGGACAAGGCTGAATGTGAAAATCACAATTTGCACCAAAGTTAGTAAGCTTCGGCTGTTTTTTGCTTATGGAAAAAAATACTACAGTATTACATTGGAGCCTATACTCCTTGAATAAATGCAGTTGAACCAGTTTGAGATCCCTGAGAACTGAGGACCAGATTATAACTGTGAGCTCACATCAAACTATTTAACATTGTTTAGCAAAAATGTATGGATGCACAGCTTGTCTTATGTTGTCTTAAATATGTGAAAAATATGAATGTATATAATGCATGTGTTTTTAAAAATACAGTGAACCTAACTTTACAGTGAACAGGAACAAATAAATTAGAACTGAAATAAAATGTTGATACTGTATTTTAGAGTTAATTTTTAATTGCCTTTTCAGAACTACATCAACCTACTCCTGAATATTTAGCCCTTCAAGCTGAATTGAAGAGAGCAGAATGTGCTAGGAAACTTGATCAGGATGAATGTCAAAGTTATAAGCAAATACTGGAACAACAGCTTAAAACTGAGGTAAAGTCTAAACTGAAACTTTGCAAAATGGTATATTATAGCATTCAAAGAGCACGGTGAAACAAACTGATCTAATTCATCCATTTTCTTCACTTCCAGCTTAACTTTTATGAAATAAGAAACCTGCATATCTGCAGCAGATCAGTGAGAATCATATAACAACAACTTATTTATATCGTGCCTTTTACCCGGGGTAGTGTTTAGGAGTACTTAACAGTGGCGGAGCTTGACACCGAGCCTGGGACAGTGGGGAGGTGACAGTAGGCAATGGTCAAAGAGGAAGGTCTTCCAATATGATCTGAAGATGGGAAAGGAGAGGGCAAGGCGGAAGGATTGAGAAGAGGATTCTATAGTTTTGGGGCAAGGTGGTTAAAAGCATAATTGCCAATGGTGGAATGGAAGAGACGAGGGACGTGCAGAAGGTTAGAGCCAGCTAAGCGAACGTGGCAGTTAGTGGAGTCGGGTGTAAGCAGACCGGAGAGGTAGGAAGGTCACAGGGCATGTAGTGATTATACACAAATGTGAGGATCTTGAAATCGTAAAATTAAATTTCTTATATTAAAAAAAAGGTTGGACAAGAAAAAAAGACATTGGAAAGAAGTTTAAAAATGATTTTACATGGCCATCAGGGAGCAACTGATGGGCTATTAAAAAATTGTGGAATATTTCCAATGGGAGGTTGGGAACAACTCAATATAATACCGTGTTATTGGCAAGGGAAATCGATTGCTCTCAATTTTGATTATAATAATAATTATAGCGCCGCGGGACGCTGTCCCACGTGAAGGGAGCTATATGAATGCAAGTTGTTGTTGTATTTATTTTAGTATGGAGGTGAAAAAGGGTCCTGTAAAAACTATGAATTTGAAAACTGAAACAGAAAGAGAGGATGAATTTACAATCTAATCTTATCTAGAATTTTTGCGATGATATTTCTGTCCAACGTTTCTTGCTATAGGTGGAGCAATGTGCACAGTTGCAAAGCCAGCTAATCAAGTTTGAGGATCAAACCAGAAGACTGAGTGGGCAGGTTGATGATTTGAAACTTCAGCTGCAACAAACACAGCTAGGTGTGTTCCTTTACCACAGCACTAGAATTAGTTACTACAGTAAACTCCTGAAAACTCATCATTCCAAGGGAAAAATAGTCATTTCTAATCCATCTAAAGATTTGCTCTACAGGACTATTTGTGTGTGGAGTCCTGTAGCTCAGTGGTTAGAGCACTCGCAAGAGAGAGACCTGGGTTTGATTCCTGGCAGGGCAAAATGTTGGGCAAGTTTCCTTACTCCACACACTGTTTACCTAGCAGTTTAGCAACACCTAGCAATTCCTTCCAACATTTTTTTATAATAAATTGGTCACTTCAATCCATGACTGGGGCACTGCTGTACGCAAATGGCTGTCGCGTTTCGCCCACAAAATGTACAGTCAATTCACTTTACAATATATTCTGTGAACTGCTTTGAGACGTCTCGAAGACGTGATAAGGTGCTGTATCAAAATGCAAGGATTATTATTATTACTTGGGAGTTGACCAATAATTAAGTTGTGAAGAAATTTAATATATTAGTCCTATAATACAGAAAATGATCACTCTACAGTGATCAGTGTTTGTGTTTGAATTTAAAAGATTTATAATACATGTAAAAAGTATGAAATGCATTTTTCACCTGTAATTGTATTAATAACTTTGCTAATATGGCAAACAATCTTGTTCAACTTCCCTTTCACTGTTAATGTCATGGGTTTAAAATTATGCCTTTGTTACTCTTTCTTTTCTTTCTTACTAAGTGCTCTGGAATGCCACACTCCGTGGAGGGCAGGATATAAATACAATTTGTTGTTGTTGTGACTCGTTCTTACTGTGATTCTGTTTTTTGTTTTCTGGTTGTGTAGCTTTGGAGAATGAAGTGTATCGTAATCCCAAATCCTCGCTGGTTGATCGGTCAGCCATTAGCCTCACTCCTGATAGAACCTCATCTCATGACATTTACGTAGATGCTGGTTTACTGAAGAATCAGGTAGCACCTGAAGATCACCTCTTTTATTCAGGTTTCAGCTTGGGTAGAAGCTCCCGCAGGCATACTGAAACAATGTGCTCATCACCAGATTCTGACCTGGACTTTGTGGCAGGGGCCAAGGCTCGCATAAGTGAGTTGGAAAAAGAGTCCGAAAACCTTGAAGAAGCATATAGGAACTATCAAAGACAAATCATTCGCTCAGCTGTCCAAAAGAATCTGGAGTCTGGGACCCTTTCCCCATTACACAGTATTCTCAGTAGAGTCCCTTCCAGCCACAATCATAAAGTAACATTTGCAGACTGCATCCTTCCTTCCCAGCACCTGGAACTGACTACACCAAGAGGCTATACATGTGCCAAAAGTAATCTGACTGAAATTGAAAATCACACTCACCCTGTAAATGAGTTATCGTCACAAAGTTGCTGCTCTTCAACAAATGTCACACAGACAGACAAAAATGAAGTGTGCATGATGAGGATTGAAGGTAAGATCTGTTGGAATCTCTAAAGTTCAAAACACTAAGAAAGTGATTGATGTCGGTGTTCACGGAATTGATTTTAATATCTTCTCAGCAATGAGAATTTGAGTTGAAATATTTTGAAAGAAATTATCAGATATTCTTCAAGCACATTCTTTCTAGGTTGACCAAAGAGCAATCTAGACTGGATTATTCACTCTTCTGACTGAGGAGGGTGAATGTGAGGAATTACCATTTGCGTCTGTGATGAGAGGAATATTTTTGGTTTTAGATTATTTTGTATGTGTTAAGAAGTATAAATGCTAAAGATAAATTGGAGAATAAAACTTGGAGAATTTGCCAAACAGCTTTTTATTAAATATTTAAATATTGTAAAACTATTAATAAAAATAGCTATTTTTAAGCATAATATTGGTATGTTGATTGACAGCTCCCCAAACACCAGGAAGTCAAATATCAGCAACTGTAGCCGATGAATTCCATTCTTGTGGATCAGAAGAATCCATAATCTGAGCTCTTCTTTTTCTGTCCAGTATGGTGGCAATGAAAGGTAAAGGTCCAAACTATCCATTGCGTCTTTCTGCATATTATGATTATGACTGTTATTAGAAAATATCAAGTTAAATTAGAATAATAAAATATCTGATAATTTTGAATGTCACTGAGGCTGCAATCCAGGTTATTTCCCCTTTCACTATTCAATTCTTTTTCCTCCAATGCGATCTTTATTTAAAGCAGATATTATTTAATAGCCATGTTTATAGTCCTGTAGCTCAGTGGTTAGAGCACTCACCTCGCAAGTGAGAGACCTGGGTTCGATTCCAGGCAGAACGAAACCTTGGACAAGTTTCCTTGCTCCACACGTCTGATAATAATCCTTCAAAAAAAACAATAATTAAATTGGTCACTTCCATCTACGATTGTTTGTGGGACGCTGCTTTGCGCAATTGGCTGCTGCGTTTTACCCACAAATATACAGTCAATTCACTTTACAGTCTATTCTGTGAAGCGCTTTAAGACATCTAGAAGACTTGATAAGGCGCTATATCAAATACAAAGATTATTATTATAGAAACAGTAGGAATCCTTGCATTTTAATGGAAAACATTAACATTATGTCAGATCTGCAGTTTAAAAAAAAATGTTTGTAGAATATTTTATTGAACATTTTGTTTCCCCTGGCTCTTTACAGTATTTCCTTCTCTATTGATTTGCAGGACAGAAGATCTGCTGGCAGATGATGTATCTCATCAGGTATCAGCAGATCTAAGGTTGGAAGAACTGGATGCTCAACCAGATTGTGTTCATAAAAAGGGTAAGACACAGCAGCAACAACAAGATTACATTTGTATAGTGCCTTTCACGTCAGGAGGACGTCCTAAAGCGCTGAACAGTCAGATGTCGGGGCCCGAGCATGGGGGAGGGGTAGTGTAGGGGTGAGGGAAGGCAGAGAGGTGGGAGGGAGACCAAAGGCACGGTTGAAAAGAAGGATCTTGAGACCGGCCTTGAAGGGAGGCAAGGGAGGAAGCGAGGCGAAGGGACCGTGGGATGGAGTTCCAGAGTGTGGGGGCAGAGAGGCTGAAAGCCCGGCCACTGATGGTAGGGTGGGTCGGGCGGGAGACATGGAGCAGGCCAGAGCCTGATGAGCGGAGGGAGTGGGCAGGTTGGTAGGGAGTCAGCAGGTCAGAGAGGTAGGAGGCGGCAAGGCCATGGATGGCCTTAAAGGTGAGGACGAGGATCTTGAACTCGATACTCTGGGGGATGGGGAGCCAGTAAAGTCGGGCGAGGGTGGGAGTCATGGGTTCGCGGAGCCTGGTGCGTGAGAGTACGAGCTGCAGAGTTTTGGATGATCTACAGCTTGTGAAGGGAAGAGTTGGGAAGGCCGATGAGGAGGGAGTTCCTGTAATCAAGCCTTGAGGTGACGAATGTGTGGATGAGGAATTCGGCAGCGGTGGAGTCTGGCAATGTTGCGGAGGTGGTGGTAGGCAGTGCCGGTCATGGCGCGGATGTGTGAATATGTTCAAGGACTGAGCATCTACAGCCCTTTGGGGTAGAGAATTCCATAAATTCACTGCCCTTTTCCTCAACTCAGTGCGAAAGGGCTTACCCCTAATTTTAAGACTGTGACCCCTGGTTATCGTTTCTCCAACCAGGGGAAAAAGTCTCCCACTATCTATTCTGTCGTGCCCCTTAATAATCTTATAGGTTTCTATAAGATCACCTCTCATTCTTCTATATTCTAAAGAATATAGGCCTAAATTGCTCAACCTATCCTCATAACTCATCCCCCTCATCCCAGGAACCAACCTAGTGAATCTACGTTGTACCCCCTCCAAGGCAAGTACATCCTTTCTTAAATAAGGAGACCAAAACTGCACACAATACTCTAGGTGCGGTCTCACCAGTGCCCTATACAGTTGCAGTAAGACTTCCCTACTCTTATATTGTAACCCTTTTGTAACAAATGCCAACATACCGTTAGCCTTCCTAATTGTTTGCTGTACCTGCAAACTAATTTTTGTGACTGGTGTACAAGGACACCCAAGTCCCTCTGAACGCTAGCACTATCTAGTCTCTCCCCTTCTAAAAAATAATCTGCTCTACTGTTTTTGCCACTTCCCTACGTTATACCTCATCTCTCCCCAGTGTCAGCCTCCCCAGTGTCCCCAGCGTTCCCCATGTCAGCTTAGCCTATTTGAATTTAAAATCCTGACGTGGAGCTTGAACCCAGGATCTCCTGACTCGGAGACAATAGTGCTACCAAAATGAGCCTGGCTGACATCTAAAATTTTTGCTCTGATAAAATGAGCATGTTCTTGCCAACCTGTGCCTAATACTTTCTGGAATTCGGTAAGCAGGATACATACCTCCAGGGAGAGAGTGCGCATTCCATTCCATCAATCTCTCTCTTGGATTTCCATGTGTAGGTGGAATGCCTGGAATTTTCAGTTTGGTTTGGATACTCTTAAGCATGGGGATGGGTTTCCACATGTGTTAAGACACCCGGCTGACCAAATTAAAACAACATGCAACTCAAATGACACTAAGTTGAAATTTTAAAATTAAATATAAATTTCTCTTTGGTTATGTGTATATAAATGGAACACATTGACTTGAATGAAATGCTATTTATCAACCTTTGCGGCATACCCTTCGGATAATTATTGTTCTACTGTTTGAAAACATTGACTGTGGGACAAAGGAGGAGAATTAAAGTTTTACTGATTGTGAAACCTATGCCCAGTTATATGGAGGGCTTTGCGGCCATCTAGCCATTGTTACTACTGGCATTACTTATCACAACAAACTTTAAAAAGTCACACATTTTACTTTATAGTTCTTTGTGGATAAGAAAAAAAAATAATTATTGATCTTCTGCATAAACCACTTTTATTTCTGCATTGTTAAAGTCAAACAAAGACCTATTGTGCTGTTTATTTTAGTGGAAGACGACAATTCAATAGATGAAGAGAGTTTGTCCCAATCCTGGGATCAACAAATGAATAACGGATCTTTTTGTTTATTGAACCACAAAGCAATTTTATCTCCACCAGATAAAAGTGAGTTTCTTACCATCACTTGGCTGTGGCTTAAGAATTTAAGCTACGATTTTGACTTTAAAACTGTTAGAAAATACTCCTTTTTTGAAGAGAAATTGTATTTAGCGGTATGTGTGTGTGTCAACACTAACTTGGAATGTTATCAGTATGTTGTACTACAACTGCTTTATAAAGATGAGTGAATTATTAAGATCTTCACCATTTGTTCAATTTCCATTTAAGAATAGGATAATCCCAAATCTAAAGGATCTGAAAGGTTTGTTTTGGTTAGCTGAGTGACTGACACATCACCATGCTTAAGAGTATCCAAATCAGACTGAGGGTTCCACCTATATATGCCACCTACACATGGAAATGTATCTCTATCAGGAATGGAATACTGCTCTCTCCTTTAGGGATGGACCTTGCTTACCTAATTCTAGAGAATATTAGGTGCAGGTTGGCAAAATCCTGGCTTGGAGACAACAAAGTATTTGTTGAGGTACTGCTGAAGTTTAAGCAGCTATAACCACATAGCTTGCCATTGACAGCATTATCTGGCAAGGTTCCCGTTGGTTGTCCAGCTAAGACCATCCTTCCCATTGGGGCTTTGGCATGCAAGGTTAACAGGAACTGATTTAGAAGAATCTGTGCCTCCCAATGTGAAAGGTGCTGAATAAATGCAAATTGTATTGTATTATAACACTGAAGAATTGGATAGGAACTGTGTTTTGGTACTGGTACTATTAATTTAAAAATCTACTACAGGCTAAGTGAAAAATCCAGAACATAACTAACAAACTTAGTTTCATGTTGAATCCATGTTTATTCGTTTCCCTTAAAGCCATTTTTCATGATCATCTTCCTTCAGCTTGGGAGGATGGTTGGAATAGTTTGGTGTGACTACCTGCACCAATAACACTGCATTGAAGGCTATATGGTGAAATTGTAAAGGTTTCTTTATAGAAAATCAAATCATACAGAGACTGCCAAATTCCTTTGTATTGAGACTGGAAAAGATATTTCTTGACTTCAGAAATGTTGAAGTGGGAAAATAAAGACATCTGCTGGAATGCTCCTAATTAACATTTAGATCTGATATACAGGTGAACAGGGAAGTACAGAAGATGAGAAAAAACAGATAGAACCACAAAGGAATGGGAACAGCAGAGACGGCAGGATGAGGAGAGAAGGTTTTTGGAAAGGCAAGAAGCTTGGGAAAGGGAACAGAAAGAACTTGAGCGACTAGAGCAAGAAAAGGTGAGAGGATATAAACTCTGTTTTATTTGTAGTCCTAAGCATTTGTCCCCTTGTGGTATAAAACCACTATTATTTCATCTTTTATGTATTACTGTATAATCTTGTTTTTGTCCCTATAATTTATGGTGCTTAATTCTTTTTAGGATTTAGGTGAGCAGGATGTGACCCTCCAGGCACTTGGATCACATTGTTGTTTGTATTCAGTGTACCATGTGGTGGCTTATTTGTTTGATATCTAAGTTAGCCATTCGTCACGTGTAAACCTAGGTAGTGGGACTATTTGACTGTCTGGCCCTCATCTGAGTTTATCATGTCTTCACATATGCATGGCAGTTGGGATAACTGGATAGAAATCAAGATAGAAGCTTGGCTGATATCTTCCCTCCCACTTCCCTTTCCCTCCCTAGCCTAGGATCCCGAGGCTAATTGCAAAGCCACTACTGCTGCCCCAGTTAGGATAGGCTAACTGCACAGGCAGATTCTAGATTCAAACCTGGCATCTTCCTACTGTGTCTGTATTGTTTATTTGCATTCTAGGTAGTGGATTTACCCACTCACCTGTACTTTGTCTTTTATTTATAGACAATATATATAATAATAATCCTTGCCTTTGATATAGCACCTTATCACGTCTTCTAGACATCTCAAAGCGCTTCACAGAATATACTGTGAAGTGAATTGACTGTATATTTTGTGGGCAAAATGCAACAGCCAATTGCGCACAGCAGTGTCCCACAAACAGTTGTGGATTGAGTGACCAAATTAATATTATTTTTTTTGAAGATAATTAATATCCCCAGAAAAGTGAGCCGCCAAACATCTTAACAACCGGGTTCCTACTTACGGCTCGGTAAACAAAGGCATGTGGAGTAAGAAAACTTGCCTAACATTTCGCCCTGCCCGGGCATTTCGCCAGGTCCTCATGCTTGTGAGGCATGTGCTCTAACCACTAAGCTACAGGACTCCACACATATATATATATATATATATATATAGGTTTCTGGTGCAAGTATGAAATATTAAGTAAGCTCTTCTGGACAAAAGTAAGTCTAACTCAATAATGTGTTTATATTTTATAGAGGTTAATGGAGGAGAAGCCAATCGTGGAGCTGAGTGAACAGACCTGTACTGAAAGTAAAGGGAATCAGGTCCAAGAAAATAAGGAGTCGCCAGCCTTGAGTGCAGATCCACTGGAGAAATACATGAAAATAATTCAAGAACAGAGGGCACTCAAGCAGGAGGACAAGGTGAGTGATGTTATTAAAAGATAACTACTAGCTAAATGGTATTGAGCTATGGTCATTGTTACCTTGTGGATCAATTACTTCTACTCCCTGAATAGTGTCTGGATCATTGATTATAGCTAAATCAAGGAGAAAGCTCCCCCTTGGTGGGCTTCCTAACACTCTTGAGTCAGGAAGGCAGTCACCCTACACTTACTACCTCAGAGTCATTCCCAGTTATACTGGGCTGATTGAAGTTCCCCATTAGTACTTCTTCAATTCGTGGAATCCTGAATCCTATAGCTCAGTAGTTAGAGCGCTCGCCTCCCAAGCAAGAGACTTGGGTTCGATACCCGGTAGGGCGAAATGTTGCGCAAGTTTCCTCACTCCACACGCCTCTGTTCATCCGGAAGTAAGTAGGAACCTGGTTGTTAGTTGATTGAAAGATCGTTTTTCTGGGGGTAACAATTCCTTCAAAAAATAATGAATTGGTCACTTCAATCCACAGCTGTTTGTGGGACACTGCTGTGCTCAATTGGCTGCCACGTTTCGCCCACAAGATATGCAGTCAATTCATTTTACAGTATATTCTGTGAAGCGCTTTGAGACATCTTTAAGATGTGATAAGCTGTTGATTACCCTTTGCCTTGGTGGTGGTGGTGTTGTTGTTGCCTGAACTTAGTGTGATTTGTGAGGATTTGATCTCAGTAAGTTTGGCCACATAGCCTAGGATTCTGTTCATAGTTATCTCGCACTGTTAGGCCTTGATGAAGGTATCAATCTGGTTTGAATGGTTGTACTCTCATCTCTGAGTCAGAAGATTATGAGTTCAAACCCATTGGGATTTGGAGCTCATAGTCTAAGTTGACGCTCCAGTGGAGTGCTGGGGGAGCACTGCATTGTCAGGTACATACGATCCTTCGAATGCAGTGTTAACCAAGGAAGGTTCCATCTGCCAGTTCATTTGGATGTTAAAGATCCTATAGCACTATTCAGGGAGTTTGTCCCTGTGTCTTAAGTCAACAATCCCCAGATAAAATTGGTCATCCATTACTTGATTGTTTGTGGGACATTGCTGTGAGTAAATTAGCTGCAACATTTGCCTACAATTAGTCACAGAACTTTACATTAATTCATATGAAATGCTTTGAGATATTTTATTAAAAAGATAATTGTAAGGATTATTAAAATGTTCTTTCAGAGTTTGAGAAAAGAAGGGATAGACGAGCCTTCTTTACTTCATTCATTGTCTGATGGAAAAAATGCCAGGTAAGCTTTGGAATGAAAGAACTCCTTTTAAAAAGGAATGTGAAGATATTGTACCCCATATATATTGTATAACAGATTGCTTGCTATATTGTTTAGCAACGAAAGCCAAACCACTGCAAAAGATTTGTGAGGACCTCTTCCTCCCCCCCCCCCACCTTAATTCTGTTCATTATTGTAAGAAGTCTTCTGAATAAATTATTTGCCATTTCACCTGACTGAGAATGCCCAGGTTAAATGTACAGTGGCAAATTTAATGTGGCCACTACCTGTGGATGGTGTTGATAGTGGGTTTGATATGGATACAGCCATAATGTGGATTGAAGCAGTGAGAAGTTGTATAGCTGAGCATAAAACCAGATCATGGAACAGCACAAACTATAATCTTTTAATAATAATAATAATAATAATCCTTGCATTTGATATAGCGCTTTTCACGTCGGGAGGACGTCCCAAAGCGCTTCACAGAACACACTGTAAAGTGAATTGACTGTATATTTGTGGGCGAACGCGGCAGCCAATTGCGCACAGCAATGTCCCACAAACAGTCGTAGATTGAAAATGACCAATTTAATTATTGTTTTTGGTTTTTGGAGGGATTATTATTAGGCGTGTGGAGTAAGGAAACTTGCCCAAGGTTTCGCCCTGCCTGGAATTGAACTCAGGTCTCTCACTTGCAAAGCGAGTGCTCTAACCACTGAGCTACAGGACTCCTTTTCTTTTCCTTACCTCTGGATTTATTTAGTATAGTCAGAAGGCACCAGTGATTTAACAATACAAAATGCTGTTCCACTTTAATGAAATCATTGCCATAAATCTTTGCTATTAATTGGAAGTGTTGATGCGATTCTGATATTAATTGTGCCACCATTTTTTAAAGCTACATTTGTGATTTGAAGTTCTGCAGTTTGAACAGTTTACAAATAAAAAATGTTTCTGTTCTTCAGTCCCAATTTAATGTCAGAACCATATGAAAGTGGCTCACATCAAACTTCAGTCCCATTTAATCCACTTAGGAAATAGCATGAAAAGAAGGAAGGGAAAAGCTGGTGTACATGGGACATGTGTGATTCTAAACATGTTTGTTCCATTATAGTGAAGGATGTTAGTCCCATAGAAATTTTTTTTCACAAAGATCCTTTAATTTGACTAAACATTTATTTTGAGAATGTCTAATAATGCTTTTGGATATGCTTACTATCTGCTTTTAAATTAAATTACTAGAATTTACTAGAATTGCATTAGCTTGATAGTTGTAACATTAATGGAATATGGTAACCCACAAACCATCCACCAAATTCCTTGTGTTTTTCTTGCCCTTCAATAGTGTCAGTTCAGGATTTTTACCATATCAGGATGGAGGATTACAAAATAGGTTCAAATAAAGGCTCTTCAGCCCATTTCATCACAGGCTTCCCGAATACTGACAAAACTGACAATACATCATTCCTATTAGGGAAACATATCAGTTATTCCTTGTACCGTTAGTTATAAATAGACCATACATTGCACTTCAGAATTAACACAAATTATAATTTTATGTTTGCTCCATTATAAATAAGTTATTCTACAAAATCCCAAGAGATGTTTGGTTAAAGAAAACCCTTGGTGCATTTTTTCATCTTTCCAGAATACAAACCTGCTATCTTCAGCTTTAAGCCTTACCACCCTTCTTCGTAACTTGTTGATTATCTTCTGTATATAATCCTCCCCTCCCTTCTCCCCCCTGACCCCAGCTCAGGTCTGAAATGCTGTACACTGTCCAGCACCTTGGGATGTGCTCCCGACGTGAAAGGCGCTATACAAATGTAATCTTGTATATAGAAATAGTTCCTGGTGTCTGACATGAACTTGCCCTTCAAAATCTTAAATGTGCTCTTTTGTCCTATGCCTTTAATATATTTGAAAGCATTGTTCCAGAATACTTCATCTTGTTAATACAAAATTACATTTGTATAGCACCTTTCACGTTGGACGGACGTTAAGCATCTTATATGCCTCTCATAAGGTCTGAGACATAATTAGTTCAGCATCAAGATGAATTTGCTGCTGCTGCATTGTTTTTTATAATCTCTTTGATTTTTGCTGGCCAAGGATGCAAGTAGACTTGTCCTTTGGTCTTCATCCTACCACTTTGTAATAGCCACTAGGAAGAGAAGAAAGCTGCCTTGGTTGAGCAAGAAGGATTTCTGTCATTTGCTCAGTTCCCCATGGAGATAGCTGACATTGGAATTATACTTGGCTTAATGCTAATAACTGCATATTGTAATGGGGGACTGGGAATGTACAGCTCACAATGTGGTTTCTTTACAGTTTTGAAACTTCGCACGAAGAGGCCGATGATAATTTCTGGTGAAATTGTAGCCAGCAGCAGCTCTGATGCAGTAGGTTCTCAGAATGTGTTCAAATGTATGTCATTTTCGTTTCAATAAAAATAAATGTTATTGGATTTTTATACTTTGAAATGAATTCTGCAAACAATGCTTTTGTCATCTTGAGTCTAGATGCACTCCTTGATGGCTTCTATAGCTCCACCTCATAATGCCATAAACTTCAGCTTACACAGGACTCTACAACTTGTTCATCTGCCTGCACCAAATCCCACTAGTTTCCTGCAGATGAACTAATCCTCGCCTTCAAATTCCTTTATGCTCTTGCCCCAAATTACCTCTTGTCCACTCTCCCAACGCAGGCTTTCTGCTCACTCCTTATCCCTCACCTCACTGTTGATAACAGCGTTTAGACACTGCGGTCTCCAGAATTCACAAAATCACCGCAGCTTGTGCCTTCTTGCCCACCTTCAAATCCTTCCTAAAAACATATTTTTGATCATGCCTTTTCTCACTGCTCATTGATAAATATCATCTTTATGAAACACTTTCACGTTACTCTACAAGAATGTTTCTAAGTGACATTATCCTATGTGAAGGACGGTATATTAAAACCTCGGCTAGCTGGACTTATGGAGTGGGGGGGAGATCTGATCTGGAGAGCCAGAATATCTGGCTGAGTTTCATTTCAATGGCAGTGTTGGCATTTACCAGGTTTTTCCAGTGGGACATTATAATTATTTAAATCCCGCAAACAGAGGATTGTGAATAAGCTTTTTTTGATTGTGAGATTCAAACTGAGTTGAAGTCGATATCTTTGGCCACTGAAGGCTAGTCAGGATGATGAGGCGGAGGCAGAGCCAGGAGAGTGGGCTGCCGGGAGCCTACCTGCGTACATTTTCCATTTCAGGCCCAAATGGGCTAGGTATGAATTCCTAATAGTCGGAGTACAGTAAACTGGAGGAGGGGGGTTACTCTATATAAATACAAGTTGTTGAAATTCCACCTAAGCATTTTGATGTATTAAGTTACCTTTTGCTGCTTCAACATAACTACTTAATAAATGTTAGACAGTACATTGATAATCCAGTGTGTCCATATCCAGTCAGTGGCAAGATTTGTTGGTCCTATTTCAAGTTTTTAAAAATATCCTGATATTATTAAATGTTGCACACTGAATACTCCTGATATTTAATTTTTTAAATGTTAGTTGTGTGATTAAGTTGGTTCTGTAGTGTAAGTGAAAAGCATGTAAAACTGAAAATGGACGGTCATTTCTTTAACTTTATACTGGTTAAGAGGGTTTAAAAGCACCACCTTCCCAGTCTTACTTTTTGTTCTGAATTTGGCCATTTTCCAATATAATCCAGCCTTTGTAGAATATTTTGTTAAAAACATAGGAATGAACCTGATGGAAAGCAGAGTGGACAGCAGGAAAATAAAAGGGAAAAAAAACAGGAGAGAGCAATTAATTTAAGATGATTTAAAAGATAAAAAGACAAAGTTAGCAGAAAGTGAAAAGTGAAAGAAACCTAAGTTGAATTAAAAAAAAACTTGCAGTGCCAATTGATATTTTTGATGTTGGCAATGCAAGTGTACACATTAATTATTCTAGTTGCAATGATTTATTAATCATTTAAATGGAACTACAGGAATCTACTGGCACATATAATAGAAAATATTAACTGTTTACTAAGTTGTTATAAAAGTGGTAAATTACAGAAGATTATGCTTACCAGTACACTTTCATCACATGAAATGTATTTTTTACTCAAACAAACAGCACAGAAACGGTGGAACATTCAGTTATAGCCACAAAATCTATTATTTTAGTCAAAAGAAACTATTTAATAGATATACGTACAAGCTCTGTCCATCATAATGCATTAGTTATTTATTATCTTAGAAAAGAACTTATTAACATGCTTCTAGATGCACAATTGGAATACTCTAACATCTTGACTCGACAAGGAATAGATTTTATTTGACTTTCAAATCTAACCAGTACATAACTAGTTTTTTTAAAAATTGTTCCACACAAATGTAGTTGAAACACAACCACCGCTAATCTAGCTCTCATATATGACTTGAAGTGGTTTTAGGTATAGTTACAGTTTTGGCTTAATGCATACTAAAATGTTTAATTATAAAATGGAACATAAAAATAATGGATTTTGCAGTTCTTTTGTTACTGACATTAGCTTAATACTGTGTAAAGGATTTATTGCAGCATTTTCCCCCAAAATAAACTGCTGTTGTAACCATACTATTATGTTTTAAAAATTCTATAAACCACTTGCATATTTTATGTTTTATAACTATATTTAATAAAGGAACAGAAGTGATACTTAAAAGTCAGCAACTGACGTGTTCTGTTTGAAATTTGGATTTCAACAGAACAAAGGAAAGGTTTACACTGTCTCTTGAAATCTCAGTTTAATTAATCAAATTATCAATCTGTCTATTAAACAGGCATTACCACTGTGTAATAGTTGTTTACAGTTAACTTTAAAGATAGCAACTAGACTAAGATTACTAGACTAAAATTAAACTATATAGTGATGAAAGAATGCTTAACATATAGTATTTACTATTTGCACATGAGCAACACTGCAAGTACCCATTTCAGGCTGGCATATAAAAAAGCAGATATGGTTAAACTAACTAAAATCATTTGACTTTGTAAGATTATTGAAATTACAAAATGAAGGCCATGATCTACTGTAATGTATCCAATATTACTGTATATGGAAAATGCCCCCATTAGAAGACAGAACACATGTGGAAATACGCTGCTTGGATTCCACAGCTTATCTTTATTGTGTTTCTGTACTCATGAGCAATAATAATTTCCTTAGGAGTTTTTTTGGTGCTTGTCATTGACTTGCTTTATTTATAATATGCACTGCACGTGTCCACCCAAAATGGAAAAACAATTGGGTAGAAAGGTTAATGAATTAATGATTACTAAAATGATGGAGTGGAGGGTTTCTCTCCAATTATAATTCAGAGAAAAAAACTTCAATTTTCTGCTAAATTGGCCACTTTTTTGTAGTCTATTAGAAATTGAGAAACCGTAATACAGGAACTAATTTGCTTAAGGTTTTCAGTTTTGGTACTTAACACGTGTACATCTGGCTGTTAGTAGACCCATATATGTACTGTACAGCAGTCTATTGATTTGTCACAGCTGCTAGGTTTTCTGTTGAATGGCTCTCTTGATAAATGTTAGACTGCAACTTTCTCATGTGTAAGAATTCAGTCGTTCTTTTGATCGAGACGCATGGATATCATGGAGTTCCTGCTCTTCTTTCGTTTTGAGATCCTGGTATATTTGCATTTTGCATGCGTCCTTCAAATATGCCCAGTTTGCAGACTGAATCATGAGGAAATGGATCTGGAAGAGAAGGGTGAGGAGGATGGCTAGTAAGCATGTCAAGTTGTACAGCATGCTGCTAGTCAGACTACTCCGGCTCTGTTAATTAAAATAAGATTATAATAAAAGGAAATATCACAGACTGCCATCCTGAGGCAGCAGTGAAATAACCCAGATGTCATTTGGAATCACAAAGACACAGCAAACAACACAATGGAAGCAAATCATGAAACACAGTCTACTATGTCAGTGATGCCAATGGAATAAATAGCATTTCCGTGTATTCCGCTTCCTGCAAAACCTAATTTGTAAACCGAGTCTTTAATTCAAATCATGTCTGTTTTAAGAATAGTTTTTCAATTTTATTGCAGTTTTTTTAATGTAACAGTATATATTTCTACACTTTAAGAAATCAGAATTCTGGTTACTTTAGATAAAAAAATATGGGTAAAAAGATCCTGAAGTCAAATTAAAATGTAAATTTATGCAGTTTAGACAGCGCTGCATTTGAAAATACAACTAGATAACAAAAAAGTGCTGTGAGAACCATGAATAGTACTTGAATCAAGTCAGTGACACTAACTGTTGCCCCAGTAGTTACATTGTAATGTTCCAAAAATAATTACCGCAATTCAGAAAGACTAGGTCATAAAGTCTAGGCCTGAGTCTTTAAGGTACCTTGAGGTAAAATGAACAAATTAAAATGCCAAAAAAGTAATTACTGCTGGACAGCTAGAAACTCACATTTTACCAGATTTTTAATTGCATTTCCCATAATTTCCTTTTTTAAAAGTTAATTTACTAAACGCACACAGAAAATGTAAATGTATTCTGATTGCTTCTCAAATGCTAACTGCAATGCATAAGTATTTCTGCTCTACTGAAGCAGTAACTCTCAACTTTCAAGGCTGAAGTTTGTATTAAAATTCCTTTTGAATACTGAACAACCTTTGCAGCTTTCAAAACTACCATTGTTTCAAAGTTTTGAAAAATAAGCACAATCAAAAACTCCTTTCTATATTCAATATATTCTCCAAACAAAATTATAAAAGATTTAACAAAATAAAAGGGGAAGAGGGAAGAAAAGGTCTGCACTCCTAACAGTGAATTCAATCTGCACTTGGGGAAAAAAACACATTGGTCCAGTCCATCCTTAATCAGGAAAAATCATTGTAAAATTGCAATCTTGTTTCCAGAATTCATTTTACAACAACAACAAAATTACATTTGTATAGCGCCTTTCACGTCGGGAGGACATCCCAAGGCGATGAAGGAAAGGCATCCCAAGGCGAAATTTTAGTAAAAGTACTACAGTTATCAGAGGGTTAAGTTAGTAATCAGCATTTGGAATAGACATTCAATTATGCTCCACTTTTCAAAGATACAAGATATTTGATACAGATCACATCCTGTACCATTTATGTTAGGAAGCAAGTGAATTAAAGAATTAAACTTATTGAGGAGGTGGGTGTTGATTTCTCAGGTGCTTTGTAAATGGTTAATTCCCTACTTTCCAGAATGCTTTGAATTTATGTCACTCAAAATAATTTGTATGTTTCATATATATATTTTTTCTAATAGATTGCTTGTTACAAGAGAGGAGGTATAGTTAGCAATGAATTCATTTGGTTCTGCAGTCCACCATTATGTTTTAGGCTTTGACTGCATTCATTTGAGCTATAGATACATCAGAGAACTGCATAAAGAGAAGATGATACCAGGATGAAATAGATTTAAAAAATCAGAGGAACACGGTAGGAGAAAGGCTGGGAGCAAGAGGAGAAATCAGCTGTTGCAAAAGAACAGTTGCAAGAACAATATTGCCCTTCGTGAGACCACAATTGAGCAGTGAAGATTAGATAGAAGACCATTTGAATAAGATCCTGTAGTGGCACGAGTCTTGTAAAGACACCAAAGATATATTTTCTAATGTTATAGCCAATACGTCACAAGATATTGTAAACTTAACAGCCAATTATATAATTAATGTTTCTGATGAATGAATCAGTGACAAAGAGTAATATTGTCACCTCAAAATGTAGCGTATTTTTGTGACTCATGGCTCATGAAGACATCTCATTGACACAATAATTTAGAATCCTAAACATAGCTATCTCTAACCTGACCAAAGCAAGGTAATGCAGGATACCTGACCCGTAAGCTTTTATCTGGTTAGTATATTGTACGTAACTAAGCAAAAGATTAGAGAACCAATTGATTATGTATGTATGAAGTCCACTTTGCCTCCTGCCACTGAGCAAGTGAACTAGGATCGGCAACTGCAGTGTTTTAATAAGGATACAGTTCACTATTCAAACTAAAGTGAGGCGACATTTCTCAGATTGGTAATAGCCTTGCTTTAATAATAACACAACCTTCTAGAAACCAGTTAAGATGAACCATCTTATTCCTGAAACACGATATTCTAGAAACAGGATTAGAAATTTCTCATCTTGTTAAATTTACTCAGCAGTGAAGAACACATTGAGTAGAGAATAATAGACACCACCAAAAAGTCAGTAAATTTACTAAAAGAAGATAATAGCCCTATATACAATATATATCTTACTCTATATTTTGACTTTTCAAACTAACTTGGACTGAGATTATTGTCCAGCATCGTAAAAGTCTGGTATTGAAAGGAGAAAGCCCTGAACAATCGTAAAGCTCAAAATGCTTGAGAATTTCCTGCGCATTAGATTTTCACTGGAAGCAATATTTTCATGAATAAAATTGTGAAATCCAAGCAGCTTTGATAGACCTAGCTGTATGGATTAAATAGATTCTCATTCAATGAGCCTATACTGAAACTCCATTCCAAAAATTAATTATCCTCAACGAGCTAGTTTTGTTGTGCCACTGTAAATGCACTATGTTGAAATATGGTGTAGAGTTAAAATGGGCATAAGCATTTCTGTGCTGCAGTTCATCTTTTGGTTCTGGTGAAACAGAATTGACAGGAGCAGTCAAGAGATCTATTGGTCTAACCCCCACCCCACTGAAAAAGATGGGAATATGCAGAGAACAAACCTAAATCATAAGAAAACTAATTCCTCAAAGCACAACTGCACTGAATAATGATGAGAATCACAAAAAGGCAGCATTTTTGTAAAGAGAGCATGTTTATTTTGAGTATATGAAGAAAAAAATGACTCAGAGTCAATAAATTGTCTATACATACAATTTCAAATACTGTATTAAGAAAATTAAATAATGCTGAAATGTGGGAACTTTTTAACAAAAGGCGACTAAAAAAAACAAGCAAAAAAGCATGCAGTCTTGAGGTTAACAAATATTATAATGGCACAATTGAAGATTTTTAAAAAAGGCAAAGGCAAGTATTACCCTTAATTAACACAATACAATTATTTAATCCTTTGCTGCCATCACAATGTAACTATGGGGCAAAATTGTCGTTAGTGTTAAATGCAGTCACTGGTTCCCTTTTTCATTAAATCTCAGTTTAAACTGATACCATTTCCTCAATTTCACAAGAGAAACTTCCTTTGTGAAAAAAGAACATCCCAAATCAATTTTAGAACCAAATCTATCTAGTTGTCATCATTTGTGTTGCAACAATCTAAAAACATTATATGCCATGCTTAAGATACAAAAGTTGACCATTTAAGGAGTCCGTTTCTCACAATCAAATCATTTTGCCAATTTATTTTTTGTTGTCAACATTACCTAAAAAAAGAAATATCATATACACATTTTGATTAAACTGTTCTTATACCAAGTTCAACCATTTTTAGATCTTATTATATGGTTTATCTTCTAGATCAATTGTTCATGTTTGCAGTTCTTTAAAAAAAAGGCATTTAAGCATCAATTTAGTCTTACTGCTCTATTTCCATAGCACAGAGACAAACATTTACAACTATATCCTTCAGAATGAGTTTATGATAATTTGTAATTACTACTTATACAAATCTAATTTATCTTACATGCAGTTACTGCTGTGATTCCTTAGAGGAACGCTGATGGTTACATTACTGATGCTCAGGAACTACTCAGTAATAGTATTTTTTTGATTATCAAAATTAAAACAAATGTTGTTAAGATACTATGACACAAATACTGTATAGATTTAAAAACTGAAAATGTAATGCTTAGTAAATTGAGTTGACAAGAATGAAAGTCGAAACAGTTTATTTAAATTATAGATTATAGTTTTATAGATTGTAAATTCATGACTCCCTGTGTACTATTTACAGATACAGTATTACTCCCCAATGTATCCTAAAACCTGATAAAACAAAGCGGTACTGAGCTGAATTTACCTACAATGCACAGATGCTTTTGAACACTAACTCTATCAACAAAAAATAGTCAACGAGCTACTTAGCACCAAGGCACAAATTGGGTACAATTAACCTTGGTTTGTAGCCCCCGCCAATAATAAAGTAAGCCTATGAGTAATAGCAAGGTTTGAAAGATTTACAAAAAAACTGAATGTTGGAAATATAAAGCGGAAAATGTTGAAAATCCAGAATAGACAAATGTTGATTAGTTTGCTGTGCATTTCCTGCAATTTCCGGTTTAAGGTTTGAACTAGGGTGACGGGAAATTTACTCAGGATCATTGTTAAACTTTAACTTCTTACTGTTTGAAACCAACAAATAGTTAAGAATTCAAAGTGCATTTGGACTAGTAATTGCCTTTCATTCGCTTGAGAGGAAAATAATTTTCAGTCAACCGCCTTTGCACTATGCTTACTGACATGAATACCAAATTAATTAAAATAAGCTACTTTAAGGAATGGTGGTATGTGATTTCAAGTAATCGGGGAATTAGTGTAGAGGAATTAATTTTACAAAACAGCATGTCCAGGAATTTGTTCTGTACGAATATTAACAGATATTTTAATTACAATTAATTAATTTAAAAAGTAAGTTAATTCCTGCGTACATTCAACATGACATTTCAGTGGCCAAGTAAACCAATTCCTACGAACCAAACAGTTCTCAGGATTGATGAAGGACCAGCAAAGTGTTTTGAGTGAGAATTGAGCACCTGGATTAACTGAAATGGATCTTGAGTTTATTTGGGAACATTTTTTTTATAATAAGCTTCTATTATAGTTAAGGGCGAGGAATCAACTTTCTGGACTTGATTTTCTTTACCTGTGATTCTCAAACCTGCTTTTGTTGCAATCGTACCTCTTATGAATACTGTACCAATTCTTTTAGGCAGATTGTTAGCTCAAAAGTTTTCAAACGCAATATGTGGTCTGTCTTTATTTAAAATAATAAAATAGTGACATCAATCACTAGGTTTTTTTTAAAAATCTGTTTTTTACCTTCAATGGGCACATTATTGAAACCAGCTATATAATTGACACACTGAATAGATCTTTCTTTGTCTATTGCTGAAAGATATGCAAGGTCTTTCAGCAAATAAATTCCTTAGTGTCTCTAAGTAGTTAGATTGATGATGTGCGATGACTGGGCATATGCAGCTGTGTTAGCACACATTGTCACTGTATATCACGTATACTAACATGACCATTCAGCCCTTTATCACAGATCGATAATGGCCCTCTAATTAGACGCATAAGGCATTTTGCATCCCAAGTATTCATGACCAAAGGTTTGTAAATAAACTTCCAGGGTAAAATAATTTAAAGGGCTCAATATCTTTCATCTCTGTGAAATAGAATTAATTGTATCACCTTTTAATCTGAGTTGCATTGGACTGCTATATAGTTCCTCATATTCCTGATTTTCATATAGATTTTATCCTTCTATTAATTTTTTAAGACTTTTTAAATCATCCAGGGAGCCTTATTGTTGGCCTTTTGGCTATGTGAGTGCCTAGGAGTTTATTAAACATCGGATTTTACATCTGGTGTTAGAATTAACAACAAGCTCTCTGTTGGACAGCTTTGGGCTGTGAATGACAAGAAAAGCTATTTAATTTGCTTCTCATGACTGAGCCACTGATTCTTGTGATTGAACATCTATTTGACTCCTTCACACAAAAAATAATAGCCAGATTGTGTACCTTAATGCTGGTCATGTTATTTCAAATTATATACTAAAATAGTACTGTTAAGTGTGTTGATACTACAATATATGATGCTTTCTTGTGCTATTTACAAGTTATTTGTTTCAAAATGTAGATTAATAAGTTGTGTTTTAGTCCATGGTGTCAGTGGTAGTTCAAGCTACTCAGTGCAGCTGGTAGAGCTCTGTATAATGCTTCTATAGCAACTCTAGAATTTTGTGCAGCAGTCTTCTCGACTCTTAAACTTCAAAACAGCATAGTTATATGTGGTAGCCATCATGTAGATGAGCTGGTAGAAGAAAACAGAATAAAGTGGTAAGAGACACTGTTGGCACTGACAGCCCAGGCATTCCCCTGCAAATCCACGGCACTGATCGCAACACTAATTTGATGGCAAAAAAAAAACTTCAATTCACATTGAAAATTTTGCCATTGAAACCATTTAATTACTAAGCCTGAAAATTAAAAAGAAAGGCTGTTGTACCCCAAACCTACTTTTCTTGGGAATCAGTAGCTGCAAATGTAATTCAAATGTGCTCCATGGACTCATTATTTTGCTAGTCCCAAGTCCCGCTGTTAAGTCTTAAAACATCTGCCCTCAAACAGGTCTCAAATAATCTTTTAATGCCTCGTGGTTACGACTCTGGCACCCTGGAATACTGACGGGTTGGACCTCAATCTCACACTGGCTTCTTCCAAAGTGAAAGCTTGGTGGGTTAGCCAGTTAGCCAGGCTGGCTGTGATGTGAGATAGAGGATGGCACAGAAGAGGATCTGGTGGGTCCCTTCCCACACCAGTGGAATGCACCAGCCAACCCCTTCTACTGAGTGGAATTGGCTTGCCTGAGCTAAGGATGATATAGATTAGCCTCACCATGGAAAGTTTAATAAAACTACCAAACAAAACTACTAAATTAGAGGGAAATATGTGAAACAGGTTTTTTGTTGTTTAGGTACCATCTGTAACAGTCATTATTTTCATAATGTTGCTCCTTTGTTACCTCCTCCTGCATAAAATTGATCCCATTTATTCAGATTTTAAAAAGGTTAAACATAACCTCTTCCTACTCTCTCCCTGAAAGTAGTATTTGGAGTCTTATAAGGAGTAGAGTTCTGACTGGCCCTTTTAAAAAATTATACTTTACTGAAAGCAGTGATTGAAAATGGCATCACTACAAAGAATGCTCTGTGCAGTGGTTCTTGAGATTGATGCCTCCAGGCTGCAGTGGCAAATTCTGGGTCGAAAAATAATATTCATAACAGGAAATTACAAATAACATCTCTTGCCAGTAACCATGTGTGCCCCATACTGACCTGTGGGAACTCCTCTCTGATCTAATCTCCTTCTGGGCACGTCAGATCACAGTTCTTGTGGGTCGGGGGTGATGGGCATCTAGTTGCTGGGGGTACGTCTAGCAATTTGCAACTTTTTATGTATATTGTGCTCCCCCCCCACACGGTCTAATTGGACTACACATCACTCACCAGTGCAATGACAGTAGCACCAGCTCCCGCACAAGCCACGATGAACAGATGATAGGACAAATCAAACTGAAAAAAGAGACAAAAATGAGTAAGATATTCCAAGCTACACGTTTTTTTTTAAAAAAGTAATCAATTTCCTTTTAGGAGAAATATTTCAAAGCTACTGGTATTTTCAATCTATTTTGAATGTGCATAGAATTCCTCAAATATAGCAACGCTTTCCAATGAAGTTACCTCTGGTGTCCCGCAGATACTAGCTAGGAACGAGCCACAGGCCTTTCCGGGTGAAGCATTCCAGGGTACAATACCTGGTGAGATAAAAACAAATCAGTCAAATCATTGAAAAAACAAGGTTAAAATCTGACGATGTTCACATAGTACAATGAATCTCCTCCCTGATGTTATCAATGTATGGTAAAATAAAAGATATTTGCAAAGCACATTTGATTGGTCTATGTTGTAACCCTAACCCTAATTATTTTTTTAAAAAAACATTGTTAAAATGACAAAAAGTAAGTTTGGTCTATAATAAGCAACAATACAATGCTTTGTTTGGGACGGACGCAGGAAATCAGAATCTGTGGCCAAAATGCAGGAAATAAAGACCACTAAAAATCGTGAGAGATATATGAAAAACACTCAAGTTGATTATGGTCTTAACACATCTTCTAAAATTTCTGCAGTATCAAAGTGAGTATTTAAAATTAAAAATGAATGGTTAAAAAAAACATTCAGAATTAAGAACACATAGAGACCAAACAGTTAACAAGAGGATCCAGAGACAAAGTGGGAAAAGGTTTTCAGTGAGAGTCAAAAGTTGTGTTTGGATAGAACCCAAGTCACATCTGTTATTGGAGGCCACCCCACTCGTATGAGATATCACCAGGGCCCAGGGTGACCCATGATATGCATTGCATAGCGGGACATTTTGTTAGCTCGTCGTAATATCTGGTGCCCGATACTTTGGTCTGTTGTCAGAACATTACCCTGAATGGGGCTCAATGGAGGCAATATATTTAGGACCACTTATCCCAAGAAAGGCATGAACAGAGGAGAAAGGCAGCAGACAAATTGCACTCTCTCACTGTTTCATACTCCAGCTTTTTTTTAAGATAATAATCCTTCCATTTGAAAAGGTTTATTAACCTCAAAATGTCTCTAGGCGTTTTACAGTTAACACAGTGAATGTGTATTTGTTGGCGAATGCGTCAGCCATTTTATGCACTATAAAGTCTCACAAACAAGCACATAAATGTCACTTCATTTGTAACGGTGTATTACACCTCGAACAATCGGTGAATAACCACACAGAATGAAGGTGGTGAATGTTAGATTGGAGAGCACTGTACCGTACTGCCGGATGTCCACACAGATCTGGTCAATGGGTGTCGTCAGGTTCACTGACTGGAAGTTGATCGTCTGACAGGCTGACCACATATTGTAGTACATAAAGACTGGCACAGCAGAGAAGCCGAATACTCCAAGCCAAGCCACTCCCAGCACGTAGGTCAGAAAGACAAACTGCAGAGGAATTGAAACAATGAATCCGAGGTCAGCGAGACATTAAACAAATCAATAACATAGTAGGTACACAAAATCGACACGAGCAGACCGTACTTAAATTAGATGTCTCTCCGAAATGGTAATGCGAAAGAGCTGTTTTATAAACAGATGTATTGTATAACGGCTGGCTATTAATTTATGCCACTTGGAACTATGACAGAATGAATTCTCACATTATTGAGCGTTCGTTCAATTAAGCGATAGGAAAAGTGCCTTAGGACATAATGGCCTCCTCCACCTCATGCAGAGAACCCTATGTATGTCACATCAACTCACAAGTCCATTCTTCAGATGAGCTGTGAGACCCAAGGCCAGTTCAGGTGGATGTTAAAAGATCACATGGCACTATTCAAAAAGAGAAAGGCATTTCTCCCGGTATTCTGGCTAACAATTTCCCAGATAAAAAATTGGTTATTCATTTCATAGCTATTTGTGGGATATTGCTGTGTGCAAATTGGCTATTGCGTTCACCTACAAATATACAATCCTACACTTAAATATCTCTGCGAAGCGCTTAGAGATGCTTGATGATAAGTTGCATCAAGTATTATATTATATAAAACATAATATTTTATTATTATAAGATCTTGTCTCTAATCCAAAAAAATCTCAGAGCAAAGTACTCATGAGTTGGTGTGATCTACACGGGGCTCCCTGCAAGAGACGAACCTTATACCTCATTGCATTGTAATTGTTAGAAGCGTATTATTTCAAGAGTAGTGATAATTAACTTTGTAGCACTGATCAGAAAATAGAAAACCTGCACTTTGACACTCGGTCTCTGTATAAGCAGCTCATTGTGTGGTCTAATGAACAGTAAGTAGCTAATGAACCTCCAGAAGTACATTAGCCAGAGGCACAATGCTCCTGTAACAATTAGAGTGACTTTCACAGTACTTACTTTAAGAATGAGCACTCAGTGAGCTAGGGTTCTATGTGTAAATGCTTGATGTGTGTGGGATCTGACCAGTGCTAGTTGAGGATCAGTGATATAGTTCTCCCATTAGGCACTCCATTAGAATCCAACATATGAGAGCCCTTGGCAGTATTCAAAATGGGTAAGTACAACCTGCCAATGAATGGGATGTCAGTTTATAAAAGATTTTTTTCCCCAGCTACTAACTGTTCAGAACACAAATACAAATTTGATCAGCATGAGCGGGCTTTGTGATTTAGGAAGACTGATTCAGCGCTGCCCCATTATGTCTTGCTTCATTGTAGTGTGCATTTGGTTGTATTTTAGTTAACTTTTGGTTGCAATGTGGACTCCATTCACTGCTATTTCTTTTCCACATTCTGTACTATCTTGCATTTTAAGGTGAAACAATCAAAATTACTCTTGCTATTCTTTCCCCTTGCCCTCTCATCCCAAACGTACTGTGTTGACCTGTTTTTTCTTTCTGTCTATTTAGTGAATTCATCCTCACTTTAGCCTGCCTCTGCAACCGTCTTAAATCCTATCAATCTGCCTGCTATCATCACTCCTCAGCCTAAGAAACCTACCCTTAATCCCTCTAACCTCACAAACTTCAGACCCATCTCAAACATGCCCTTCCTGGCCAAAGTGTTGGAACACATCGTGGCAAATCAACTTTGCTCACACCTCTTCTTCCTCTCCCTACTAGAACCCCTCCAGTCTGGTTTTCGCCCTGCCCACAGTACAAAGTCAGCGCTCATTAAAGTAACAAGTGTAATCCTCTTTCTCTGTGACCGGGGCTCCCTCTGCCCCCTCGTTATCCTGGACCTCTCCGCTGCTTTCAACACAGTCGATCAAGCCATCCTCCTCCACTGCCTCTTCCCCCTCATCCTTCTTAGTGGGGCCGCACTCTCATGGTACGAGTCCTATTTAACAAAACCACCAACAATACATCTCGGCAAATGTTTATTCCTCCGCTCCCGCCCTGTCACCTGTGGAGTACCCCAAGATTCCATCCTTGGCCGCTTTCTTTTTCTTATCTACATGCTCCCTCTCACCGATGTCATCCGCAGACATGGGGTCAACATCCTCCAGCGATACCTCAAAACTCTGGAACTCCCTCCTTCAATCCCTCCCTCCTCACCTTCAAATCCTGCCTAAAGACCTTCCTTTTTAATCATGCTTACGGTCACCTCCCCCCGCCCTCTCCCTCCAGCTCAGCGTCAGACTGTCAAGCACTCTGAGATGCTATTCCACATGGGGCACAATATAAATGAAAGTTGGTTGTTGTTTTTAACAACAACTCAGCAGGCACACTCCACTCAGCAGGCACCTGCCTGCTTCACATTCCCACCATTGGTGATTGGGCGTTCAGCCTATCTGCTCCCACTCTCTGGAACTCCATCCTGGAGTCCTTTTGCCTCGCTCCTTCCCTCACTTCCTTCAAGTTCTATCTCAGGACCTTCCCTTTGACCGTGCTTTCAGTCATCTTTCCCACACACCTCCCTTGGCCCCTATCCTTCCAGAATCCAACCCCCAGCTTGGGTGCAAACCCTCAAATCTCCCAACACCTTGGAACGTCCTCCTGACTTCAAAGACACTACATAAATGCAATTTGTTGTTCTTGAACGGCTATATCTAGAATTATAATACAATTATAAAAGTGCTTCATAATGACTAGCCAGTAAAGTAGAAATATCTGAATGATGTCGAATATTCCTGAGCCCTTAATTGTAATGAACACAGCTCTGTCTACAAAAACAGACAGCTCTGTCTGTCTGGTGGTCACAGAATTTCAGCAGTGGCTGTAAGACTGGTCCAAAGTAATTCAATGCAGCTTATCATTCATACCATTCCACTGATGCATCGCCCACAGGCAGTCGTTTTGAACTCGCCATGAATTTCCTTCACGGCGCTGGTGGTGTAAAACCCTTCTGCCAGGAGGATTATACCATACAGGAAGAAGAAAGAGGCAATTCCATAGATAACGTACTGCATCAGCTGGATTCTGTGGGGGAAAGAACAGGGACATTTACACAACATTGCATGGGTTTTTCACTCATCTGGGAAGGGGGATTTTTCGGGTTGTTAGTACATTTACTGAGCTTGCTGGGCCAGGGTGTTTAATTAAGGGCTATTTGCTCTATCTGCTGCACTGCAGAACAATGGAAACAATGTGACCATAATTCCCATATGATAGAGCTCCTGATTTTAATCATTCCACCAAGTCTAGTTAAAGGTCACAGTATGGGTTTAGCTGAAGAAGGCTTGTGACCCATTTGATCTCCCTCTTCCAAAATAGCAACTCTACCATCTTCCCAACATAGCATTCAAGCTGCTTCTTAAATAAGTCCAGTGCCCCGGCTTCAACCACCCTTCCAAGCTGCCAAGTGGAGACCAGGTATTTCCCCACAAATTGGGTGAGAGTTGTAAGGAGACGATGACCACACTAGCTCTAGCTCTATGAATGTTATGGATCTCGCAGTTTTAAGCAAACACTTTTACATTCTTTATGACATTCTCTCTCTGGACACCAGAGAGCACACAGAGAACGGGATCAAAGCATTGCCAACAGAACCAACAATGTATATCAAATACAAGTCTTATTTGTGCTTTTTATGACACAGCCAGAAGCCCCAAGAAGAGATGTCATGAAACGCATAAAGCAGGAAAGGACGAGTTAAGCATGCTACCGCTCCTCCAACTGTTTTTTTAAGTACCACTTCATGTGTCTGGCTACTTCCCTGCTAAATTACATGATTGATTCATGTGCTTACCTGCTGTAAACATATTCCACATCCTCGCAACTCTTTCCAGAATTAATTTTCCTATGCCTCCAGATTTGCAATGCACTTCTTTTTCTTTGATGATAAATCTCCATTCTCTCAGCATGGGGACTTTCTTGCTAAATCTATGTCCCTCGCTTCAACAAGGAGCATTGAATTTGAAAAAATCATCTCATGCTGCCTTACAAAATGATTATTGTGCAAAATCTCTCTGATCAATTCTCTGGTCAATGGAAGGGAATATGTTAATTCCTGTTTGCTTTTAAAAATTAATCGCATACATGAATAACTTCACAAAGTATAAAAGGTCGAGGACAACAGATTTAAAAATAGCTACATTTTGTGCATCATCTCTTGAATAGTCTTCAGTTGGCCTGCTACCCTGAAGATAAAATACTTAGTCACAAGCACTGTATGTTCCACAAGCAGCCCCGAGGAGAGGCAAATTCTTTGAAATTCTGCTCCTTGACGTCATTGCAAACACTAGCACTCATTTGGGAGAAGCTCATTATCTGGAATTGCCAACACCCTATGTTAGTAGTGAGATTGATCCCCAAAATGAGGAAAGTGGATTGCAAGTCTCTAACTATAATGGAGCTTTCATTCCAATTTCACTAGATTTAGCTAAAATTTTCAGGGACATTTTTAAAACACTGAACAGCGCTTTGGGATGTCCTCCCGATGTGAAAGGCAAATGTAACTTTTTATTTTTATCTGTCCAAACTGGATTTCCATCACTCTTTCCATCATTGAGCCATCAGTCTCCACGGACCCGCTTTCTGGAAATCTTCCCCCAAAATCTTGCTCTTGCATCTTGCTCTTATCTGCCAGTTTCCAAAACTCTTTAAAATGAATTGACTGTGCTTTTGGTCAATGTCCTTAAAGTTTTTACTCTCCCTGTTGTCTGTCACCTCTGCAAAGTACTTCAAGAAATCCATCGTTCATGAAGAGCACTATCTAAGTATAAGTTGGTAATTGTAATACAAGAGGAATCCACCTGATAGTCCATACATTTACCAATTGTAGCAGGCACCTGCTTTTTGTCTTCTAGTTACTGAATTTACCCAGATGAGTGGTACAAGATTCCAATTGGTTTTATGATGCAAACATCCCATTAGAGAATCACACTGTTTTGTTAAACTTAATGACCAGCAGAGAATCATGCACGCTAGCTCACCAAGTTTGGTAAACTTAAACTCCTCCAATCTTTAGCTGGGAGCCTTAGCTACACAGTTATCCGGCTGCCTGCTTCATCTCAGTAATTAAGACTGAGTGGATTTTTTTTGTGTGTCAAGGATTTATTTTTGGAACAAAATTGCAGGGTAGTGCAGCTTTAAAACATTAAACCACTTCCCAAAGCATTTCCTGGACTCCATTCAATTCTTGACTAGGTTTGAAACGTGGCAGTAAACCCACAGCACATATGTAAAGTACCAAACTAAAATCACGTGCAAGCACAGCAAGTGTGCAAGTGGTATGAAACTCTCAACTGATCGTACTGAAGTGAGGAACACTACCGTCTCAAGTGAAAAGCAGGTTCTAACCCGCACAGGGGTCTTATTCTGCCATGAAACAAAAACTTTTCCATGAAGAAGCTTTCTTGGTGACCCTGCAATTGTGTCACAACATTGGAGACTGCAGGCTCTTTCCTGTCACATGAGTGAGCGCCACATGGAAAAAGTCAGCAAAACCAATGGCAATGGAAGATAAGGATTGTGATAGTAAATTCCAATAGGAAAGATCGGCATTCGATTTGGAATTAAAAGAAATGTTTAAATAACGAATAAATTTAAAAACATGAATTTAATGTATCAACAGAAAGCAATGGCATATTGATTGTGCGAATTAGTCACAGTTCAGAAAGTCTTGTGATCCACCCCGCACCCCCACCAAACCCTCCCAATGTGGCATTTACAGCCTGATAATCTAGATCATTTAACTCTCCATGTAATACACAGCTCACAATTCTAATGCAGAGTTTTATCGGTTTAATTTCCTCTCCCCATCTTTATTTAACCCTTTTGTATTATTTTAAAGCTTTTAGGAGAAAATGACTGCCCTGGAAGTGCATATGGCCTGCCTATGTTGGCAAACTGTTTCTTCTAAGAGGATCCTTAGAGACAAGCATCTAAGCAAAGAATAAGAAAAGTACTTTCAAACGTAATCAGCCACAAGGGGCACTGGTTTAGGTTACTGAGAGAATGTTGGAGGTTAAGAGACTGGATACAAATAACACTACCATACCATGTGAAAAGCAGATTCAAACCCACACAGGAGTGTTAGATAGAAGGATGAGTTGGCCTCCAAAAGGTGGATAAAGGTTTGTTGGATAGTTGTGCTCTTATATTTGTTTTTTTATGTAAAAAGCCATGGAACTTGGAGTAATCATCAGAGTTCCTTCTTGACCAAACCCATGTCTGATGCAGTGTGACACAGAGTGTAACAGCAGTGCAGAGCATGTGGGAGAGATACAACATACTCACATGTCTGTCAGCAAGGCATGATCACCGAAATTTGTGGAGATGTATGTCTGCACAATCTTCTCCGTCCCTGTTAGAGCCACATGGCCACAGCCACAGAACAGTGCCACCCCAGAGAAGCACAGAATGGTGGCCACCAGCGAAGCATATGGAACACCTCCAAGGCACTTGATGCAGCATTCAAAGCAACCTAGGGCAAGAGAATGGGAAAATCTCTTAGACACAGATATTTCACTTAAAATTATTCCAGCATTTGCAACTACTTTTGATAGGGTACCAGTATTGAAACATACTGGTATGTTATCAACTAAGAGAACATTTACCACGTTTGAGCCAAGACTGTATGTCCTTAGACCATTATACTGTGGGACGTTGCCCCACATAATAATCATGTCCTTCACCAACACTGACCATCCATAAATGCACATTTTAGCAAGGGCCAGGGGATACAGAATAAAAGTTACCCTGGCTAACTTTTCCCAGATAATAATCCTAGCTCAAGGTTGTTTAAGCCAACCGTAGCAGCCCAAGTTATAAGAGAACTTCAGGATCTAACATAGTACCTCTGGTTTAGTTACACACTTTAGGCAGCCACCAGGGAACCAAAAATTACTTTTAAAAACAATTAAATATTAACTTGCCAATGTAACTAATGAAGGAACCTGGTTATAATGCCTTTCATTGTCGTCCTGCCTCCCTTATAGATGGGTAGGTAATAGACCCTGTCAATGTGACATTAAAGCATGAAAATCCCATTATTTTGAGAAAAGTGCCCGTGGGTTAGGTTGTACATCTGGCAAGAGCTTCTAGTTAACTTTCTGTGTAGTGATGCCCCCAGAAGCACTGGCGACAGCTGTTTATGGTGCTCATTTAGAATGCAGTTTGAAATTTTTTGGATCCCAACAACAGTGTTAGCAAGGTTTCTCTGAATTTGCACTGCTGTGTGCAAATTGGCTGCTGTGCTTGCCTACAAATACACAGTCACTATGTTTTACAGAAAAGTCTGTGAAGTGCTTTTGAAATGTTTTAACTAGGCACTATATCAAATGCAAGATTATTATAATAATCTATAGGTTGCATTCTCATAGCCTCAATAATAATAATCCCTACATTTGGTACTGAAGCTTTTACGTCAGAAGGGCTTCCCAAAGAACTTCACTGGATAGGGGATTCAACTGTGTTTTGCAGGCGATTACATTCATAGGCAAGAAACCAGAGAGCATTGAAGCAGTTTATGTTAGTTTTGTACAATTTGTCATTATGTAGTTAGAATCTTGTTTGGATATTCCTTGAATTCTACCTCTACAAATATGAGCCCTATGTATTAGACTTACTATAGTTTATATGTAGACTAGTTGGCAACTGATTTGGCACCATTCATGAAATGTAAGCTTGGTGGCACTGAATATAAAGAAAGCTGCTGCTGTCATTTAGTTTGGGAAAAACAGGAGCCAGGTGTTGAAATAGATTAATCAGACAAGTCCTCAGAAACAGTCGAGATTGTAAATACTGAAGCATCATTGTTCCTCAAAATAAGCTTGTGCCAGACTGGATGCAGAACAATGGGTCAGAATTGGACAGGAAAAATATCACATATGTTGTATAACAATAGCCATGTTGTCAAAGATTCTGGATTGTCACATGTCGAGGTTAACTGCCAGTGTACTGCTGCAGTGATCTGTATCACAAATGGTATTGATGTAACCGAATTCACTGCATTAAATTTGTTAGGTAGGATGCAAACAATCTGCTTCTTTTCTTTTGGTCAGCCCAGTGCCATGGTGATGGGTTTCTGCATGTGCCAGACTGAGAGATCCATCTAACGCATGGAAATTTCCCTTTGTCTGCAAATGGTGTCCCAGCCAGGACACTATTAAAGGAGTTCTTTATACCATGTTCTTCAGAACTCAAACAGTTTGTTGTAAATACTGTATCTGGAACCAACTTAACCACGATTCTTGATTTTCTTGCACCCAAAGCCAGGAGGATTTAAAGAAATATGAATAATTTAACCACAATGAACTTGTCATTGTAACTGAAGATATTGCATTATGAAAAATAAGCAGTGTTGAAACATGCTAATTAATAGTTCTGATGCTAAAATGGTGGAGATTTTCCAATGCACATTGCACCCTGTGGTTCTAGACTGTACTGCATCCCTGCTCAGTCAAGTGGATCTTCGTGCTCTTGCCCTCACTACCTCAGCTAAAGAGGGGAAATATATCAGACAGGATTCCCTTGTTCAGTATCCTTGCAGAGAAGAGCATGTATCTGGATGTCAGAGCTATGTGTCATTTAGGTGCTAAATACTTCTCTAGCTATGAATAACATCCTGAGAAAATTGTATGAACCTCAAAAATCTAGTTAACCGAACCCGTTCCTAGTCTAGTTCTAATATGAATTTGAATTTTTCAAAAGTTAAGCTGTCTCTATAATCTCATAGTAAAAAAAATCTCTGCTTTTCCCCTACCAACCTTGACCCACTTCCACATCCCAGGTTATAGCTGGAAGGCTGACAAAGAACAGCTGTTTATTTAACAAATGACAGTAAAATGATTGTTTTAAACCCCTCTAGCGATTCCCCATGCAAACTATTTATTATCAATATTAAACCTTGTAATAGAAAACAATAGTGGTGTAATGGATTGTCATGTCTGACAGATATAAAGAAAATCATTACCAATTCATTACTGGAGTGCCGCCCTGCTTCAGCTCAGGAGCCTCTCTGCTAATGCTCATCAGTACACAGGGTGCCAGTAAATCTCTTAAAGCCAATTACTGTATTTGCTGAATATCACCTCCTGATTATCACAACATTTCTATATCACACACAGTTGGTGTACAAGACACAGCTTTTTGTACCTTCTATCAACAAGTAGCAAACTAAAACTTTTCAGATTCATTTAGGTAGGCTTTCATGTTCTAAATATGCCTATGATGGATACAAGTGCTGGAATATGGAACATTTTCCTTTTTATGAACACAGTTTCAGCATCAGCCATTCCCAAGTCACATTGGGTACTGATCGAAGCTCCTTTTATGCTGACCCCACGTTGCACCTCAGTTGAAGCCTCAGGAGAGCAGTACCGGTAAACCACATTCACCATTTCCCACACTCCCATCTTAGCTGATAGAGTAAGTGGGCCCTACAGACCCAATGTCCTATGTTTAATTGCTTGTCAATGGGAATTACCTAGTCTCAGCTGGGTCAGCAGCAGAGGTGATTCAGTATCCTCAGGCCATGGTGGAGTGAAATTAACCAGTTATTCGATCACTAGCCAGTGCCCACCTCACTCACCTTTTATCAGAAGGTATGTCTGTGTGTGTGCGGGAGTGAAAGGAATAATTTTTGAAGTGTAGAAAAAATACTTTTAAATAATGTAAAGAAAAACACCACACAAATGGGCCAAGTCAATGAAAAGGCAGAACAATATTTTTTGCAGCACAAATCAAAACTCCATCACAAAAAAAGCATTCTGAGTCACTTGACCCACCACATTTAAAAGAGGCCCCTCTTCATCCAACTCCAGAGAGGGAGAACAGCTGAACAGCACATGCAAGAAAAGCACTCATGCTTTGTAGCACAGATATTTTTTTGACATGAATCTTGTCATCACACTGCAATGTTTGATAAGCCTGCCTTTCATTTTGTTTGCCAAACACTTCTTAGGGAGGGCACGGAGTGCTCCTTTGCTCCTTTAAACCCTTTGGGGAGAAAATCTGATGTACAAGACTCTGTGAACAAGTGTTCAGTGGCTGCAGGATGTATCTGACCAGGACAATGAGGTTACAGCAGTCTGAACAGAGAGGGAGTTGAGAACAGGCTTGAGGGAAAACGAAAGCAGTGTGTTTTGCATGTTCCCATGGCCTTCTGATCCCTGGTAGGAATCAAGGCAGCAGAACTGAAAAGATTCCCAGCTCCTTTCAAGGCACACAGAACTGTTTTTTCGCAACCAGCTCAATGTTTTAAACTCAAAACCAAAATGGAAATTAGTTGTAACATGGAGCATATTTATTAACATAGTACCATTCTCCATTTGGTACATTTCAGTGATTTGTCCCAGTGCACTTACGGACAATTGTAATGCAATTTTAAAAGCACAAGTAATATCATGACAATAGAAAATGCAACCGAAATGGCATTTTTTAAAAATCTATGGCAATTATTGATGAACACAAAGGGAGAAAAATTTATCAACGGGAGGATGTTTAATCTATTTAATCTGTTTTCAAGACCCATCTCGAGAATTTTCTTATCGTCCGTGCCTTCGGTCATCCTCCCTCCACCACCACCCTTTGCCCTCCACCCCTTTCTGATCCCAACCCGCAGCTCGGGTGCAAACCCTTCATTATCCAGTGCCTTGGGGGACGTCCTGCAGACGTGAAAGGCGCTATATAATTGTAATTTGTTGTTATTGTTGTTGTCTTACTCCCCTCTCTCTCCTCTTTCCCCCATTCACCTAGAATAGAATAGGAACCCGTCGAGACATTACGATATACAAGACCATGAGAGGTTTGAATTAAGGTCCTTGGTCCCATTTGATCTCATCCATCTTATTCTTCGGCTCCCCAGTGTTGGGAATTAGCTAAGACTCTGATTTGAACTCTAACCTTAGTTAGTGAAGCCAATGTCTTACTGTTAAGAACTGCAGGGCCCCCATTCTCAGAAAAGAAATGTAAAATCATTGCTCAATCGAGTCACGTACAAGCACAGATTCTCAGAGAATCAAAAGAGAACAAGCTACACACAAATAATACAATTCCTTGCATTCGGGATCCTTGTTAACAACACCAGTTTCCATCACAAAATTACACTGACAAATGATATTGAATCGAGTCTGCCGATGGTCTGAAAAAATTGTAAATGTGTGGTAATGTACAACCTGAACTGAAAGTAGAAAAGTTCCAAATGAGAAAGCAAATTAAATCTGGACTCCAAATAGACGTAGCACTGGGGACGACTTTCACAGGCTGTCTTCCCAATGCATCTCAAACATTTCCATACATACGGTTTTCAATGGGCATTTTGTTCACAAGTGTCACTGTGCTCTTTTGTAAAGTGCTGCCGATTGAAAACATTTTTTGTCCTCGGGCTTGAGAAGAAGCGTTGCCAGGGAAACTCAAGTTAGTAACGAGCCAGTGATTTGCCGAGAGCTGGCTGCACAGCGTGCCATTGTTGGCGACACATTT